ACAGAGACCTGAAAAACTAAATTCAGCATTCACAGGAAGTACTCAGAGCAGAACCACTGACAGTAACTGAACAGTGCAGATAAACAATGTCCACCAGTGAATGAAAGGTAACAGGGAACCAAACATCTGCTCAGCAGAACAGCAGTCAGCACTAAAAATGAAGTAGCTGTGCAGGGTGGCACCTGCCCATGATCCCAGCACTTGGGAGGCTGAGGCAAGAGAATTTCAAGTAGCACCAACTACAAAGTGAGACCCTGTTTCATAAATGAAGTAAACAACAAATCCAGAACAGGTAAAGCCATAGAAACCGTCATGGCTTGGGTTTAGGTGTCCCATGTGGTCATAGGTAGGGCTTTTGAAGGTGGCTGGATCTTTGAGTGTATGATGCTGGGACCAAGGGTATATAATTACTAAACTAGTCCACTGATTGGTTTGGCATAGTTCTCGGCAGGAGTTAGGGTGCTCCACCTTCAGTGTGAGTGGTATCTGCCCCTAGGTGGGAGGCTGGATCAGACACAAGGAGCAGAAAGAGAGTCATGGGTCACTTGTTGCTACCCACTTGCTGTCCTGTCCTTCTGCTATGCTACCCTGCCTTGGAGCCAGCCAGCTATGAACTGAAACCTCTACAAACTGTAAGCTAAATAAACCTCTCCTCTTTTAACTTGGGGTGTTGGGTATTTTGTCTCAGCGACAAGAAAAGTAACCAAGACAGAAATGTGGTACCAAGAGTGGGGTTGTTGTTATAACTGTACCAATGTGACTTCCAAGCCTTTGGAACCAGCCTGTGAGAAGCTTTGGAGATGGCGGCTGCAAAGGTAGGCTAAAACACCCGAGGGTGCACTGATGGGAGATTCCGGTCAGAACTCAGAAGCCCAGGAGGTTGACAGAAATCTTGCTGGCAAAGACCAGGCTCCAGTGGTTTCCACTGGGAAGAAGGACTGCATTGGTTGTTAGGCTCTAGATGATGTGTGTTATGGCTTGGCAGAAAGTTAATCTGCATTTTGCTCAAGTTCAGAGACTTCACCTGAGACTGAGATGGGGTCAGACTAATTTATCTAGCAGAAATTTCAAGGCATTCAAATCCTGAGGCAGCGGCATGGCTACTGTTGAGGGCTTTTAGCCAGATTCACGTGGAGAATCAAGAGCAAAAAACCCAGTGGGATGATTTAAAACATTTTGAGCTTGGCCAGAAAGGAAGGACTTGTAAAGGTGCAGCCTGCAAAGATGGAACAGAGGAGAAATTGATCACTGAAAAGACTAGCAAGAAAAATCCTAGTATCTCAGAGCAGCTAACAGAAAGATGGCCTCCTCAGGCCATCATGAGAAATAGCAGAACTCTGTCCTCTGCAGCCTCAGGTTTTAAAGGTGAAAGAATTTGCTTTGAGCAGAGAGCCCCAGAGCAGCATGTTCCCGAGTAGCAGAGGCTTACCAAACTTTTTCTTGGAATTTGGTTTATAGGTACTTGACTTCTAGAGCCAAGAGATAAGGAAGTCTGGTTACTGCTCCAGCTGGCAGCATCTTGGCATCACCCTTGCAGCACTGGTTTTAGATGCATGCAGAATGCAAGAGTTGTGGGTCAGGGAAGCTACCACCCAGATTTTAGAAGGCCTGGGAGGCCAGGCAGCGTGCCCCTGAGAGGGCACCGTGTGAAGGTATGAGTGTGAATCCACAGGTGCAGAGGGGACCTCCAAAGGTTGGAGAAGCCAGGGATGTGGATCATCCAAGGAAAACTGCAAGGAGGGAGCAAAGACAAGAAGGAGGACAAGCAGTGAGAGCTACAACCACAAATTCCATAGGGGCAGAGTGACCCAAGCCACTTGGAACTCACATCTTACCACAGTTTGCTTTGCATGCTGCACAGGAAACTACAGAACCAAATGTTTGCCCTGTTGGATTTTGCACCTTTTAAAAAAAATTTTGTTTCATTTTAGTTTTTTGGTTTGAGATAGGGTTTCACTATGCTGAGTTTGAACTCACTTTGTAGCCTAGGCTGGCCTGGAACTCACAATGACTCTCCTGCCTCTGCCACCCAAGTGCTAGGATTACAGGTATGTGGCACTACATCCAGCTTAGATTTTGGACTTGCTTTGATCCCATTCCTTTACATTCCTCTACCTGTAACTTTTAGAATGGAAATATCTGTCTTGTGCCATTGAATGTTAGAAGCATTTAACTTTCATTTGTACAGGGGCTCACAGCTAAGAGTTTGCCTTAAATCTCGGAGACTTGGGACTTGGATTTTTCAGGAATGCTAAAACTTTTAGGGCCTTGGCAACTCTTAGAGATGCACTAAATGCTTTCTGCATAAGTGGTTGTGTCTAGATGTCACAGGTAGGTAGATCTTGAGTGTGTGATGCTGCATCAAGAGTATGTGATACTGAACTGTCCACTGATTGGTTTGGCATAGCTGTGCATATGGACAATAGGAAGTTCTGCCCTAGATAGTATAAGAGACAGAAAGAGGACTTTGCTGCCTTCTGCCTGCCCTGAGCATTTCTCCTCTGTGATGGCCCTCTGTCATGTGCCAGCCTGCCTTGGAGCCAGCCAATTATGAACTGAAACCTCTACAAACTTTAAGCCAAATAAACCTTTCCTTTGAGAGTCAGGTGTTTTGTCTCAGCAACAAGGAAAGTGACTGACTTGCTTAATCTCCTCAGGAAATTCCAGATTGAGCCCAGCCACCTCCTCAGCAGCCCCTGAAAGCAAACCTTTCCTTGGCTTTCTGTCCTTAACTTTTCAGTGGCCCCACCTGCCCTCAAGGGTCAAAAGAACCAACAGCCAGGGCCAGAGTCACCACTTGCCAGTGTTGCCAGGGAAGGCCTGATGATGCCCCTCTCATCAGACGCCCTCCATACACTGACAGTTGGTGGCTTCTCTGTAACTGACAGAAGACACCAATGAACAGGGTCTGCCCCCGAGATGAGCACAGTAAGGGCAAGAGCTGCATTTGAGGTGAACAATGTATACTCCCTGCAGATCTGTGGTGAAGGCGGACGCAGTGTGGTGCTCCCCAGACCACAGCTGGAGCTCTGTTTGGGTTTTTTTCTGGGAGGGGAAGTTTCACCCATGTATACATAAACACACACACACAAAAGGAAGAGCTCATGAACAAGAGGCCAAGGTTGGTTTCTGCAGTGGAAATCAAGTCCCTTCCGACTTCCCTACCTGACCTACTCAGGTCTCAGGGAGGAAGTTCTCTGTGGCAGCACCAACAGAGGCACCCACTGCCCCACTGCCCTGGGGAGGCCCAAAGCCCTTGCCAGGATAGGGGTGCTCTGCAGGATGAGGAGGGACCCTGTGCTCTGACATCAGCTGGCACAGGATTGGCATGGATGACAACAGTGGCATGGGCAGGCCAGGAGTGGCAACTGGGGCTATGGCCAGGGAGGAGGAGGCAGATGGCTGGTTGTTCTCACGGGGCCACTCGGCAGCGCAAGGTAGGTAATGAACTCAGTGTAAGTTCCGGGAAGAGGCATCCTGAAGCCTGGAGCAGCTACACCAGGACCCCAGACCTGCTGCTCCCCTGGTACTCTGAGGCCACCATGGGGGCGGGTGACAACTGCACTCACAGCCCACCCAGCGAGGGTCTGATCCTCAAGACAGCCACAGGGATGTGTGTGCCTTGGGGCTCAAGGATACTGACACATGGCAAAAACCCAGACTTTTAGAGATGGGACCAGACACTGCCACAAGGGCACAAAGCACGGAGCACCTGAGCACAACTCTTCGTCTCACATGGAGGCCGCCATAAGAGCACAGTTCGGGAGCTTTCAACCAACTCACAAAGCTGTACTCAACCATCTCTGCCCCACTGTACTTTCGAGGAGCCCCATACTCACAGGCAGTCATTCTCCAGTCCTTCCACCCCTGCAGCTGCTCAGCCACTCCACACCTCACCCATGCCTGCTCCAGCACAGAGGCATAATACCCCTTCCTCTGTGGATGGACATGTGCTTAGCTTTTCATTACTGACAGCCATTGAGGCTGCTCCTACCTCAGGTTACCACAGAGCCACTTTCTACTCCTGGAGCCATACATGGGGGAGCTGCTGAGCGACACGGTAACTGTTCCCCCGTCTGGAGAACCATCAAGCTGCTCAGCAGCAGTGTACTCAATACCAACTGTTCCATGCTATCAGAAACCCTCAGTGTCTTTTTCGATACAAGGTCTTGCTCTGTAGTCTAAGCCAGCCCCGAACTCAGTATCTAGCTCAAGTTGGACTCAAGACTCAGGATCCTCCTGCCACAGCCTCCCCAGGGCAGGGATTAAAGGTGTGCACTGCCATGCAGCGCCACTGCTGTTTCACTGTAGTCATCCAGTGATTGCAAAGTGGTTCCTCACTGTGGGTAGTTTGGTGCCAGGAGTGGGACCTTGCTGCCTTATGTCTGCCGGCACACATTCCACCCCAAGCTGCACCCCAGCCCTCACTGTGGGCCTAATTTAAATTGATGCAACATGGGGTGGGGGAGCTCCCAGCCTCCAACATGCAGCACTTGACTGCTGAGCCCAGCAATCCTCTCCAAGGAAAAATAACAGCCAGCCTGGCCCTCTCCATGATCAGAGTTGCACATCCCTACTCAGCGAGCTTACTATGCCTTCCCAGAAGGGCCCAGTCCTTGTTTTCTTGACCATATGACTGGTTCTACAAAACAAAACATTGGAAGGAGCTGACACTGCCACACTTGTGCAGAGGCTTCGACTGCGTTTCCTGTCACTGTGAGCAGTTCCCACACAAACACAGACCAGAATCCAGCCTGCCTACAGCCAAGCAATGCCAAATGTGCCACACAGATGCTTCACACCTGAACTGAAATCTTCATCTCTATTGCTAAGTATGTGAAGAAGTCAGAGCTCACACCAACTTGTTAATGGTTCTGATTACACTCACTTTACATTGTCTAATGACATTTATATTAGATTAAAAAACTGCTACCTGTCTTGAGGAAAAGACAAAGAATGATAAATAAAAGTATGGTAAACATTAAAACTGACAGTGCTACTTTTAAAAATCAACTACAATCATTATCTATGGTTTATTTATATTTAAAATATATATGCATTTAAAAATTTTACAAGATTCCTTATTATATCCAATGGAACTTTGGGCAATTACACGTATTCAACTCCATGTTGCATTAACTTCTCTTCTCTTCTGATTCTTCTGTTAATTCCACCTTCTTTTTTAATGACTTTTGATCTCTGGAATACTGTTCAAATATTGGTTGGTAAATATATATTCCTCCAGCAATTCCCATGATGCCAGCCAAAAGCACCTGTGGAAGAGTTAGTCTTCCAAACATCATCCCAGCAAACGCAGCACAATGCAAAGATGGTTTGGAAAAGCTATTCTGCACATCCAGCCAATCTCTTCAGATCTGTAGACAAAGCAGAGGAAAGGCAGAGGAGCCACTTAGCAGAGGACTCTTATAGGCTGCATGCGGCCACTTCTCTGGAGTGAACAGCATTTCTGTAATAAGCTTAGGGGGAATATAAATATAAAATGCAAAGGGGAAAAGTAAGGGAAATAACGCCAGGGCACGGTGTAAGCCAAGCCAAATCCTCTCCTATTGCAGAAGCTCCTCAGTGGCTTCCAAAGGACAAACCTCACACCTTTAAAAGTCAGACCATGAAACAGCACTAAAGAAAGTTGCAAGTTGCTCCTGAAAAATCTGTAAGAGAAGCTTAGCCAAAGAATCATCACTTTTCAATAGTTCTGTACTACTCAGATCTTTTTGCAATATGTATGACAAAATCAATTTCCAGAAGTTAAAATACGGCCAGAATGATGGCGCACACCTGTGATCCCAGGCCTCTAGGAGGCTGGGCAGGTTGGAGCCCAGCCAGAGGAACTTAGGGGTTTAGCGAGGGCCAGTCTCAAAACAAAAAATAAAGGGCTGAGGATGCAGCTCAGTGAGAAAACCCTGGGGCCCTACCGAGTATAATAAAAAATTTATAAGTTTCCTTCGATTTATAAAGCTGGCATCAAACAGAAATCATTTGCCATTACCAAAATTATAATGGAGCGCGGTGGTACATGTCTGAAACCTCAACTATTTGGAGGCTGAGGCAGGAGGATTGCAAACTTGGACCAATCTGGGAAACTGAGCCAGACCCAGTATCAAGACTAAAAGGACCATGGTTTTGTGCGAAGGCCCCGGGATCAACGCGTTAGAAAATGCACATGGATATACATTACACAGACACGGGGGTTTGCCTTTGTCCAGCTCCCATTAGACCGCGAACCTCAGCCCGCACCCACTGGCGCAGCGCCGTCTGTCCAGAAGACGTGAGGCGCCGCCGCTCCTGGAGAACTGCGCAGGCGCCCGGCTGAGGCTCCGCCTCTCCCGACAGCCTACGCGCCGCAAACGACAGCATCCTGCGAGGGCCAAACCTAGCACAGGCAGCTCAGTACAGGGATTGCAGTTTCGCCCTCTGCGCGCCGTAACAGTGATGGAGCCGGAACGCGGCGCCGGCGGCCTGGCTTTTCGCGGCTCACACAGCCGCTCCCCGGAGCAGGAGAGGCCCCAGAAGGGAGAGACGGGACCGGGCTCCGAGCGTACCAAGGCGGAGGCCCGCATGGCTGTGGACGCCCGCCTGGCCGCGTTCGTTGTCGCCCTGCGCGCGCTCAACTGCGGCCTGGTGCGCACGAGCTTCGTGCCCGACGAGCACTGGCAAAGTCTGGAGGTCGCGCACCGCCTGGTCTTTGGATATCCTTTCCGGGACGTCGCTGGCGGCCGCGGGGACGCTGGGCGGCCGGGCGCGGCCGAAGCGCTGGCTCCTTAACGCGGCTAATTATGGGCACCTGACCTGGGAGTGGACGGCGGGCCTGCGAGGCTACGCCTACCCGCTGCTCTTCGCTAGCCTCTATGAGGTGCTGCGCTTGCTGGGGGCGGACAGCGTCTGGCTGCTGGTAAGCGGCGGGGAATTCGCACCGCGCGCGCCGGGACCGCAGAAACACAAGGACAGCTCGGGCCGAGGTGGAACTTAAACCCCGAGAACGGTCTCAGAGACGCAGGCGCCGGAGGGCTGCCGTGCTTGGTCGCTGGCCGGAGCGCGGCGTGTGCTAATGAAATAAGTGCAGTGGGTTTCTTTTTTTTTTTTTTTTTTTTTTTTTTTGTCTTTTTCATTTTTTATCGGTACCAGAGATCGAACTCACGACTGCCTGCTTGCAAGGCAGGCGCTTATGCCGCTGAGCTAAATCCCCAGCCCTATGCAGTGGGTTTCTTGATACTGAGTGATAAACCAAGGGCCTCATCCATGCCGCGCCAGTGCTCCACCATTGAGCTACATCCCCAGCCCTGCTTATTTTATTTTGAGACAGCCCCCTAAATAGTTGAAGCCCCCTAAATAGTTGAAGTTACAGATACGTGCTAAGTATGTTTCTAAAATAGAAACTTAAAAGCCAGAATCTTAATCTAGTAAAGTGGCTTGCTGGATACTTAAGTTAAAATGTAGTGTTACAGGCATTGTGGCACACACCTATAATAGTGTACTGTGGAGGCTGAGGCAGGACGACCCCAAGTTTGGCCAAGCCTAGGCAGTTTAGTGACTTGGTGAGACCCTGTCCCAAAAATACAAAAAGGGTCTGGGTTGGAGCTCAGTGCAAAGACCCTGGGTTCAATCACCAGTACTGAAAAAAAAAAATAGTAGTGTTAATGAGTGTGCATAAATGCGCATAGGTGGATGTGCACATGTGTGCCTGGGCATGAAAACAGAAACAATGTGCACATGTGTGCCTGGGCATGAAAACAGAAACAATGGTAAAACTGCCTTTACTGTAGCTGAGTCATTAGTATGACTTAGAAGGAGAGTGTGTGCTGTCCCAGAGCAGAGTAGGCTGTGCTTCCTAATGTACTGGGAGTGGCTGGGTTGGCTGGCCGACTTGGGCATTGGCATGGACGGAGAGCAGTTCCATCTCTTCCTCTCCCTGTACCTTGGCACAGGTCTGGACACCCAGACTTGCCCAGGCTCTGCTGTCGGCTGTTGCAGATATGAAGCTGTATTCGCTGGTGTGCAGACTGGAGACCCAGGAGGTGGCTCGATGGGTGGTGAGTCCCGGCAGCTCTAGCCTGGGAGGTCTTTCAGGTCCTTCCTGGAGGGCAGCAGCTCCCCCAGGATCCTCGAGGGGCTGGGTGGGACTTGGTGCTGGTCGAGAGCAGGTGGCAGCTGAGGCTGACGCCTGGGAGCCCTGCCTGCACAGTCAAGTCCAGCCATTGCCCAGCTCTCCCGGCATTCTGAGTTCCGCCCAACTTGTGGGCACCCACTTCCCACAGCCCTGCCCCTGCTTCCGCAGCTGCGAGGGCAGCAAGAGCCCCAGTCACTTAGCTGGAAGGCTCTGGTAACAGGTAACTGCAGGAAGCCACTGGCTTTGTCCCCTGTCCTGTTTCCAGGTGTGGACACGAGGTCCCAACCTCTTGTCAGATCCTGAATGTAGACTGACATTCCCCAAATTAGAAATCCTACCACGTTTCATATTGTTTCTGTTGGAAAATACACCCCAATTCCTAGCAGTCTGGTCACCTACACACTGCTGGAGTAGAGTTTATTAGTAAATTGGACAAGACATTTCTGTAAGCAGTGTATTCTGTTACATTTACGAAAGATGAATTGGCTTATGGCTTAAGTGCCTGTTTCAATAAGCGTTAGCTCTTTATGTACATAGCTGAAGACTCAACATAAAGGGATGAGCAGAGGTCATATTACCTTTGAAATCCTTCTTCCAGGTGGCACACAAAGTTTTCCCAGTGGGGGGAGTACTTTTAACCTTATGGAATGTTTTTAAAGTACATCTGAAGAGACAAGAAGCTAGTTGCAAGTGTTCAATGGCCATGCCTCAACCGACAAGTTACATTTACCTTTATATGCTTGTACTGATGCTTTTGATTGCAGGTTCTTTCAAAATCTGGTTTATTAATTTAGTTTGCAAATTAAAATGTAATAATGCCTTCTTAAAATTTCTGTCGTGTTTGTCTTAATTTCTAATTAGGAAATAGGTCAGGCATGGTGGCACACACCTGTAATCTCAACACTTGAGAGGCTGAGGCAGCAGGATCCCATGAGTTCAAGGCTACAAAGTGAGTTCAAAGCTAGTCTGAATGAACTACATAGGGAGACCCTGCCTCAAAAAGAAAACAGAAAGAAGTGATCAATCAGGAAACAGGGCAGTGCACCAAATGAAGCTCAGTAAGGAAGTGAGAGTACCTGTTTGTGAGGCAGCTTGAGGAATCCTGACTGGGAGAATCTAGTTCTGAATTTCAGTCCTCTAGAAAGACCACCAGCAGAGTCTCTGTTGATGTCTTTCACAAATGGGAAGTGGGTTCAAGTAAAACTCAGCGCCCTGAAAATGCAAACTCCTGTTCACGCACAAACTCGACCCCTGGCACCTGAAGGGAGGTGGTGTTGGCCGCCTCCCTCCAGGGCCCCTGTGCTTTGTGAGGTTCAGCAGCGTGCAGCACACAAAGTTTTCCCGTGCTCATGATTTTTCTCAGTTTCTTTGCCAGTTGTGCTCTTGGTTTACATGGTACTGCTGCACCCGGACCCTCACGAACACCATGGAGACTGCTCTTAATACCATTGCGCTCTCCTACTACCCGCTGGAGGGTGCCAAGGCCGCACACAGGTGAGCACCTCACCCCATAGCCCTGGAAGGCTGCCTTATGCATACTCCGCGTTCTCCTTACACCCCTGCCCTCCTTAAACTGAGGCGGGCAGCCACGTCATGTGGGCAGTTTGTTCCTCTAGGGCTGCTTCCTGCCAATGCAGGGTGTTCCCAAGGTCGGGGGGATGCTGGTGCCAGCTCCCTGGGGAGCTGTAGTGAGGTAGTGGAGAAGGCGATGGGGTGGGGGGTAGGCCCAGCCCCTAATAAGCACTCCAAAGCCAGAATGCAGGGCAGGCCACGTGCAGGGCATGACCAGGTAAGGACAAGTGGAAGCACCCTTTTGTGGGGCACAGGCTTGGAGCCCTGCCCAGAGCGGCTGCAGTGGGGCACAGAGGAGGGGGACTGCCCCACTCCACATGAAGGCTCAAACCCAAGGGAGCAGCAGACCAGAAGGGTGGACAAGCGAGGCGGCACCAGTGCTGACTCTGTTGTGGTACAGCTGAGGGGAGGTCAGGGCTGTGCACTAGCTCAGCGTCGAGCACTGTCCCAGCAGCTTGAAAGAGAGAACAGTCTGCTGGGAATCTACTGCAAGGGGGAAAACCAAGGTCCTAGGAGTCTAATAAACTGGCCATGCTCACATCTTAATCCTAATTTCTCAGGAGGCTGAGGCACCCTGGTTCAGTCAAACAAGCATCTTCTGGAACAGGAGATCTTCCATGAAAACCTAGGCTCTGGGGTACAGCTCATTTGAGAAATCTCTGCCTAGTGGACAGAGCTGTGTCCTGCCCCCAGCACCAATGAAGAGACCCAGGGTGGCCTAGGCAGCTGGGTTTGCAGGCCTTCCAGCCTCGCCTGTATCAGGGATGGCTGTGTAGAGTGGTCTGGGGTTTGGTTTGGTTTGGTTTGGAGTCAAGAGTCTTGCTGGCCTCAAACTCATGGTGCAGGCCAGGCTGGCCTAAAGCTTGTGAGCCTCCTGCTTCAGCCTTATCAGCTTGGTGGGATACAAATTGAGCCACCATACCTGGCTGGTAGGTGCCTATTTTTATCAGTTACTGGGTATTTACTGGTACTATATGGTACTTTGGTTTGATTGCAGTTAACTGTTAGCAGGGCTGAGTGTTTCTCCACATAACTTACTGTGCAGTACTTGGGATTAAGCCACCAGTTGCGAAGTCCTGCACATCATTACGAGAGATTTGTGTGTCAGGAGTACGCATGTGTCTCTCAGTGGCTGAAATCAGCCTCCTTCCAAGGCAGATCGGCCACACTGCCGCTGCCTCACCAGTGCTGCTTCTGCCACCCTCCACGCTCAGGAAGAGGTTTCACCACTCACAGCCCGGGCAGGAGTGAGCTGCCGTCCCACTGCTCTGGGAGGCTGAGGCAGGAGGAGCCTAGGCAACTTGCTAGCTCAGCAAGAACAGTCTCAGAAAAGGGGGAGCTTGGGGACGTGGCCCAGCTCAGAGGCCCTGGGTGCAGTCCCCAGAGCCGAGGGAGGAGAACCGAGGGTGGTGTGAAGTTAAAACTCCCATTTACTGTCCAGTTTGTACAAGTTCATGAGACAGCCCTTAAGACATAGGATAACTTGTTACCTAAAAGCAGGAGAGCTAGGGTCTTAGGGCTAGAAAAGACTCCGGGCATTTCCTCCTCCTAAAGATGAGAAAAGGCACAAGTCACTTGCTCATGCTGGTATAGCTGCCTACACTGGAAGGAGATCACTCTCGTTGCTTGTGGTGGTGCAGTCCTGGGGATTAAACCCAAACTCTTGCATAAGCCAGGACTGTCCCACTCCCAGCCATACCCCAGGCCTTTAAAATTTTTACTCCCAGGCAGGCCTCCTGCATGGCCCCAGCTGGCCTTGAACTTTTGATCCTCCCACTTGGCCTCCCACGTTACTTGGTAAAACGTGGTCACTTTATTTCTAGAAAGTTAGCTCGCGGTGTAGACAGAGTCCTTCAGATGACCATCTGTCTCTTCCTCTGTGCAGCAGGAAGTACGCCTCTCTGGTGGCCCTGGCCTGCCTCATCCGCCCCACAGCTATCATCCCGTGGGTCCCCCTCCTCCTCAGACATGTGTGGCTGGAGCCAGCGAAGGGCCGTCTCATTCTGTGTTGCTTCTTACCTGTCGGGTAAGCCTGGCTGCGTCCATCCATGGTTACTGGGCTATCGATGACAGACTGTGAATAAGGCTGGAGTTTTCAGGCATGCGGGATTTGGTTTTGTTTTGTAGGGACTAGGAACCCAGGCCCTTTATGCTGACCTTTACATAAAGCCTTTTCATTTTAAGGCAGGCTGGGTTTGAGCCTGCAGTTTTCCTCCCTCGGCCTCACAGAATGCTGGGATTACGGGTATGCACCCCACACCTGGCTTCAGTTAATTGTCTTCTGATGATGTTGAGAACTCTCAGTCCAAGGAAAAAGCGCATTTCTAAATGTGTGTTTTTATATCCGTGACACTGATTGTGTTTTAACTTGTTCGAAAGAGTCTTCACAACTCTTTCTGGCATGGAGTTGCCCTGTGTTTCCCAGGTGCAGTGTGGAGGCCCTCACTCTGTCTCCACCCCAGCTGTGGGCCTCTGGGTTGCCACCGGGCCAAGTCTTCACTTTAGAGGGACTCTAGAGGGACTTCGCACACAGGACGGGAAGCAACTCGGAGCCCAGGCCACTCTCGGGGCCAGGGCCAGCACAGCCTCTGGGACGTCCAGCCTCCGCTGCCCCTGCCCCTGGGGCTCAGCACGAGTGGGGCAAAGGTGGGAGGGCACAGTGTGGGCACAGTGTGGGCACAGCTGCGGAGGGGAGTGGGGCTCCCACACAGGATGAGCTCTGCAGCTGGCTGTGCCTGTGTTTGGCAACCACCGCTAACGCGTGTATTTTAGGAAGTCTGCACGAATGCACCTCAGCTCAGGCTTTCATGCTGCGGAAGTCTGTATTTGGGGAAATTGTGACGCCTCTTCCCAGTAGCTGTTGACGCAGAACACTTGGAATCCGAGTGCTGGGTGCTTACTGGGTCAGACTGAATTGCTGTTTTGTTTTCTTTTCCAGGTTGGTAACTCTGAGTCTGTCTCTCATAATTGATCGGATCTTTTTCGGCCAAGTAAGTAAAAATATACTAAACTAGCAGTGGTTTTTATTTTAATCACTGCACTGATAATCGAAAGCTGGGTTTTTAATCCATGAGTATTTCAGAACAAACCTCATATAAAGATGATATGGGGGTCTATTAAAAAAGATTTGCTGTGTTTTTCTGGTCCAACTCACTGTGCCTTCTACAAGGTGCCATCGGCTGGGTTTCGGAAGAGCCCTTCGAATGCCAGGGACCTGCATTTGGGTTTGATCCTCAGTCATCAACCAAAATATTCTGTTTTTCAGTCACTTAGTTTGAGATTTTCATCTCATAACCAAGTAATGCCTGCCCCCGTTTCCTTTTGTGCAGTGCTGGGTGTAAAACTCAGCCTCCGCACTGTGTCCTTATGAGTCCCCCTGCCCCATTCCTTTCATGAGACCAAGTTTCACAGAGTTGCCCAGACTGGGCTTGAATTTTGGATCTTGTTGCCTAAGCCTCCCAGAGTGCTGGGATTATGGGCGGGCACCACCACGCCTTGCCCTCAGGTGTTTTGGGGATCTCTTTTCCCTCCTTTGGCTGTGGTAGCCTAAGCCCAGTAGTAGCCGAGTGGTCTGGCTCGAGTTTGGGGCCTTTGCTGCCGCTGTTTTGTAGAGGGTAGTAACCGTGCACCTGTGCAGTTAGTAGAGAAACGAGGCCACATACATGAGCTTTGGCCCGGCCAGGTTGGGCTCACCAAGGCCACAGCTGTGCACTGGCGATGAGTGGCATGCTTGGGGCGATCCATGGGAGCCAGCACCTCTGCAGCCACCCTGGCAGTGTCTAGCCGGAAGGAACGCCTAGGATTCTGAGATCCTTTTTCAGTTCAGTGTTTCAGGGATCCAGAAGGCATTGGTGGCCAGGAGGAAGGCCAGGACAATTCCCCGTGGCCCTCCGTCAGAACCACCCTCTGGCCAAGGCCTGGCTCCCGGCCTCTCAGCAATACACTCGAGATCCAAGCCGGTCCCAGCCGCAGACCAACGCTAGTTTTCTCTCACACCCAGTGGACGCTGGTGCAGCTCAACTTCCTGTGGTTCAATGTGCTGCAGGGCCTGGGCAGCTTCTACGGCACCCAGCCATGGCACTGGTACCTGAGCCAGGGGCTCCCAGCTGTGCTGGGCCCCCACCTGCCCTTCTTCCTGCATGGCTGCCTGTGTGCCCGGAAGCGCTGCCGGGTGCTCCTGGTGGCTGTGCTGTGGACACTGCTGGTGTACAGGTGAGGCTGTCTGTTCTGGGTCCTCAGGAAGGAGAATGACAGGGCCAGGAGCTCAGCTTTGGAGCACTGGCTGTACCTGAGGTCTGGGCCACACCCGAGCACTGCTGGAGGAGGGGGGAGAATCGTGCCTGTGGCTGCCATGCTCGGGCCCGCTCCACCCGAGGAGTGGAGCAGGCTCAGTTTGCTCTGGAGTAGGGCAGCGAACTGTGACACTTGAACTCCAGTGGCTGTGACCACTGATAGTTTTAAAAGTTTACCATCCCTGCTCCAGAGGAACAGAAACTGCAGAACTTTAAGGGTGCAGGCCCAGAGAAACACTATTCTCAAATAAAAATAAGCAGCATTATCCCAAATTCGAGTGCTTTCAACTGGACTGGGAACAGAGGTCTTCAGAGCATAACCGACTTAAACCACCAGGCGATGCATCCTCCGATGCGTCCCAGTCAGGTGTGGCGCCAGGCCACCAGGCAGGCGAGCGCTTGTGGTGTCGCCAACCGGCCCTCCCCCCTCCTCTTCGTGCCTCCCAGAGGCACCAAGCCTCAGGTGCCAGGAGCTGTTAGCCTGTGACTGAGAACAGGAGATCAGCCTTCCACTGCTTCTAAGATGGTGGATACCTCGTTTTAACTACATTAATGCCAACAACCCTGTGATGTGACGAAATGTTCTCTCGATATTTCTTATTATTTTAGCATGTTGGGCCACAAAGAATTCAGGTTTATCTATCCAGTCTTACCATTCTGTATGGTCTTCTGTGGTAAGTGGTTTTGTTTACTAAAGAAAACAATTGCATAGAGCTGGCTGAAATGTGACCCTGCTTTTTCCTTACAGAGATAACACATGAGGACCCCCTGTCTGAGCCACTGCCCAGTGGTGGTGTTTCTTAGAAATCATTCACTAGAAAGTGAAAGACCTATTCACTAGAAAGTGAAAGTCTATTTTAGAATAGGTATTTCAAGTTTATGGCTAAAGTATCCAGGTCATTTTCTTAAAGAAAAAAAATGCATTTATAGCTGTCAAAAAATAGTTTTCAATACTTTCATCCACAACATGTTCACCCTGTTAAGACTGATACGGTAGTTTTTAAAGTAATTCACTCCCATGACTTTATTTTTGGCTCTTTCTCCATTTTTCCCCAAATTCTTTGTTGTGTATTTTTGTTTTTTTGTTGTTGTTGTTGTTTTTGTCTTTTTTTTTTTTTTTTCGTTTTTTTACCGGTACCGGGGATCGAACTCACGACTGCCTGCTTGCAAGGCAGGTGCTTATGCCGCTGAGCTAAATCCCCAGCCCTGTTGTGTATTTTTGTAATTTGTAAAAAAATCTTATATTAGCTCACCTCAGGAAAATCTAAATTTTTACACTGGTTTGAGAAAATTTTGAATTATAATTAACTTTGAGTGTAATTCAGAACAAGTGAGTCTGAGCTTCCTGCATTGTCAGAAGAGAAGGCAGACAGTAACCAGCAGGGACCGCTGGCTCCACCTTCACCTCAGACCCCATCAGCTGTGAGCATGGCCGCACCCAAGCAGCGTGCTCTGTGGGCCCATCAGCCTTTGTGTCTGCATTAGCAACATCTGTGGATTGAACCGGGCCTTTGTCTGTCTCACCGTTTTACTTCCTACCAAGGATACACACATCCAGCAGTCATTTGGCAAATCTACAGCAGAGGGTCTGCCTTTCAGCAGGGTGGGCAGCCGGCTCTGCTGCTGCAGGCTGAGGCAGTGCTGTGCAGTTTTGTGGATTGACCTGTGAACTCTCCCTTCTTTGCCCTATTCCTTAGTCAGTGCAGGTCAGAACCAGGCCTCTCCAGGGGCAGGTAGGAGGGAACCTGAGCAGCAGGTCCTGTCCCACAGTGACCCCACCCCCCCTGGCCCAGTAACGCAGTCCCCATGGAGCAGACCCAGGCCAGGCCCCGCTATGAGCCAGGATTGTGGGGTAGGTCTTAAGACTGCGCTGTGTCTTGCCCCACTGAGGAGCTAGGGCTCTGACCTCACAACTACTGTTTTTCTGAATTCTGATCTTGGTCCACCTGTTGGATTTCTTGGAAGAGCAGGTTCCCCTGGGTCCTGCCCAGCTCCCTTCCTGGGGCCGCCCTGGGTGTACTTTAGCTATGACTTGGGTTCACAGGTCATGTCTGAACTACTAAAGGACACGCTTGCCAGTGCCTGTGCTGGGCCATCCAGCAGCTTCCTTCCAGGAGTGGCTGCCTGACCAGGTCTCCGCCCCCCAGACCACTTACCCCCGGGTGCCCTTCCAGGCACAGACCCCTAAGGAGATCGAGGCAGGAGAGTCATCAGTTCCAGGCCAGCCTGGTACACACAGCAGGACCGTCTTGAAAGCCCAAAGAATAGAATGGCAAGACTCACCAGTACACAACGGGGTAGAGCGGGCTTCATTCCTAGTAATTTTCAGTAATTCTAGCCACACTCAGGGCAGTTTCTGATGGTGTGATCAGGCACAGACCTAGCCCTCTTGGGGCCATGCCACACACCCGCCCCACCCCCTGTAGTCAGGACCTGCAGCCCATACCCTACCCCTGTGGATTGGACCAGCCCAGAACAGAACTCTGAAGCCTCATGGCTGCACAGCAGCGTGACTGGGGGTGGCATGGCACACATTGCAAGGTCACCTGCATGTCATCACACAGGCTAGAGCACCAGGGAACGGCAGTATGGGGCAGGGGCCCTAGTTTGGGAGCAGCTGTCTACGAGCCTTCAGCCTCCATCAGATCTGTCGGCCCAATAGGGCAGGTGCAATTAGAAGAAACCATGCTCATGGTTTGTGTGTAAATGTTTGTGTGCGGGCCTTTAGAATCTTCTAGCCCATTCCCTGGCAGTAACTGTTACAAAGTATGGCTGAAACCAGGCATGGCAGTGCACACTCACAATCTCAGCCCTCTGAGAGGCTCACCCAGGAGGATCTCAAGTTGGAGCCCAGCCTTTGATGAGCGACTCAAAGACCCTGTTCTCAAGATGTAAAAAGTTGGGATGGATGGATGTCCTGAGGCTGGGTTAAATCCCCAGCACTGTCCCTGCCAAAAAAAAAAAAACCCAGAAAATCTTTGTAGACCCAGATAACGGTAGCAAACGGAGCATCTGGGGTATCCTTCAGCATCCAATGAGCAGCCTGTGAATACAGCGTGATACACATGTCCTGGGCCCATGGATTCCCAGTGTGCATCTCCAAGTTCACACCAAGTCCCAAGCCACCTTCCTGGGGAGCAGTGGCCCATGTGTGGGTCAGGGATCGCATTACCAAGGTGGTGCTAATCCACTTTTGGGAGCCACACCATTGGAATGCAGACTTCCCCAGAACTTTGCTGCAATGTCAGCTGTGCCCAGGGTGGCAGAAGCTGGTGCCCTCTCCAAAGTATGCTAAAACCCCCAGGGTGCAGGCTGCTTTCAGGGCCCCTCCAGCAGCAGTACTGCGTCTCCCAACTCTTCACTCAGCGAGGTCCCTATTTGAAAAGTCCCCCCAGGACTTTAGGGCCTGAGGTCAGCACCTCAGTGGCAATGTTAGCATTGTCACAGCCAGCGTGGCAGTGGGGCTTGGTGCAGGCTGCGGCCACAGTGCAGTGCCACCCTCTCCACAGGACACTCACTTGCCCAGCTGCGTGCCTGGAGGAAGCCAGCACTCGGCTTCCTGCTCCTGTCCAGCACGCTGCTCGCCCTCTACACGGGCCTGGTCCACCAGCGTGGTGCACTTGATGTCATGGGCTACGTCCAGGAGGCTGGCTGCAGGAGTACCAACCTGTCGTCTGCCTCAACATTCATGCTGATGCCATGCCACTCAACACCTTTCTACAGGTAATAAGGTCTTCACCCTCCGTGCCATGGTGCCTGGGTTCGCACCAAGCGATCCCTTGCAACACCTCTCTCATCTACTTAGTGATGGATTTGTATGCTCATTTGAACTCTCGGTGAAATTTGCCTGCTACTTTTAAGTGAATTTTAATTTTTAAAAATAAGTCAGGCTTGGTGGTAGATGGCTGTACCCTCTTCAGCCCAGGAGGCTAAGTCAAGAAGAGTGCAAGTTCAAAGCCAGGCTGTGCAAGTTACCAAGACCTTGTCTCAAATAAGAAGGGCTAAGAGATGCAGCTTAGTGGTGATTCTTCCTGAGGTCAGTACCTCAAAAATAGCAGTAAAGGATTAAAAAAAACTTTCTACTTACATGATTTAAATTGGTACAAAACATCCTAAAAGGGCTGTGGGTGGAGACGCAGCCCAAGAGTAGAGCACAAAGCCCTGGCTTCAGCCCCAACCCTGTGAAAGCAGGAAAGGGAAGAGACTGTTACGGTCTCTCCCACTATAAACCTCCGTCACATCTGTCCTCCCACAGTTCTGAACTGTCACAGAACAGGAGGTTCTAATCCACATTTATTTGGGACTATGGCCCTGGTCTTAAATCAGTCTTAATCTCTTCAGACATCACCTGTTACAAATTAGAAAATGCAACTAAATGATGTTCTAGTGCTTGAGGTGAGGATTCCTGGGAAATACAAAGTATTCAGTGGTACAGGACTAGAACAGCCAGCTTTCCTACGGTAAATTTAACTCCATCCAGTTTTGAGGAGTCTGCAGTGGACATTCTGTATGCACATCCAGCAAATTTAGTATCATCCTGGATCTCATTTTAGGAGGATACTTAGTTGACTGCCAAAAACTAACACACAACTTGGAAAGTTGGTATTGCCAGGCACGCTGGCCAGACACGAGGTCTCAAATGGCCTTCAGCTGAGGGCGCTCAACTGCAGCACATGCCTGACCACAGCACAGGAAGGACAATGCGGTGACCAGTGCTGTGGGTTGCATAGTTCACCAAGCTCCCACTTACTATCTATCTGCTGGTTTTGTGAGACTGGTCCTGCCATGCAAGTCAGGCTGGCCTTGAGCTGTGCCTCCCAAACTGCTGCTTCTCAGGATTTTCACTTTGCCTCTGAAACACAAGGCCTCCACCAAGATCATGAGAAGTCATGAAATTATTAGGTCATGTTATACATCTCACAGATAAACAAAATTAAACACCTTTTCTGGTTGACCCTTTAAAGTCTTTTTACCTGGTGAGGCGTAGCTTTTTGGAGGCTGACCGGCCCAATGCTGGCTCAAATGCCCTACTGGGCCAAGATGGAGCTGCCTCTTATGCTCGCCCTGTAGCCACAAGCAAGCATGTCACTCTGGTGACTGATGGGGGCCGAGGGCAGAGTTCCCTTGGGAGGCATCTTCGAGCAGGTGATGCATGCTACGAGTGCTCACCATGCTAACGGTAGCAACTCTGCCACCCACAGCCACGTCCACTGCCCGCTCCCGCTGCGCTTCCTGCAGTGCCCTCCGGACCTGACCGGGCAGAGTGGAGATTTGGATGAAGCGGACACTTTCTACCGTGGTCCCACGCGCTGGCTGCAGAGAGAGTTTCAGGATGCTGCTTCCCTGCCTGCTCGCTTGGTCATCTTCAGTGCTTTGGAGGAGGTGAGTAGACTGGAGAAAGAGCACTGGGTATTTTGGCTCCACTCAGGCTTAGCAACAGGCAAACAGCTGATACCACTTGTTTCCAGCCCCCTCACATCCTCCCAGTTTTGCATCGGGTTTGCAGCTGTCAAGGTGCCTTAGTTACCATAAACAAAGAAATAGTGAGGCATGGGATACACACCTATACTCTCAGCACTCTGGAGGACCACTGAGTTCAAGGCCAGCCCAGCCTACGTGGCAAGACAAGAAATAAACCACATGGTGGCACATGCCTGTAGTAACATCTCAGGAAGCTGAGACAGGAGTGTTATGGGTGTGAACCCAGGCTGTGCAACTTTGTGTCCTGGTAACATTGTCTCAAAGTGAAAAGTGGAGGCCCAGTCAATCTCTGTACTGTAACAAATGAATACAAGGAAGAGGGGCTGGGGCTGAGCTCGGTCGGCACAGAGGCTCTAGGTGATTTCATCAATAGGCTGGATGTGGCTCGTGGGGAATGGAGGACTCCAGGCCCCATCCTTAGGGCGGGGGCAGCAAGGAGAGATTAGAACAGACGGTTGTGAATCTCCAGACCTGCCTCAAAGTGCAGCCTTTATGCACTTACATGTGGATTTACTTGTAGGAAATCCGTGCTTTCCTAGTCTCAAGGAATTACGAGAGAACTGCAGTTTTCTTCCACACGCACTTTCCAGAGGGTCGCACTGGAAGCCACATTTATGTCTATGAACGGAAGACCAGGATGGCCCGGAACTGAGTGGCACCAGGGGTCCGCAGGGTACCAGGGGGGTGAGGGCGCCGCCCACTCATGGGCTCAGAGACACATGCTAAGGCATCTGGATTCAATAAAGACCTCTGGTCTTCTCGTGGTGTGGTGGTTTTATTGTTTCTTCTAGAATCAGATGTGCAAAGGATTTCACAAGCAAACAAGTCAGCAAGCTCTGAAGGCAGCAAACTTCACAGGTCAACGGGCTCTCAAAATCACAAAAAAAAAAAAAAAACCAAACATTAAAGAAAGATGAGACATTAGCCATGAAACCCGCCACAGCGTACTTCCTCAGGCTCCACCTCCCTGCAGCCTGACAGGAAGGGCAAGGTTAGTCACCTGCTGTCACACAGGCTTGCACCAGAGACTCATTCGTGCCGAAGCCGCTGCACGCTGGGTTTCTGGAATCAAACTGCTGTACTTTCCAGTGCCAGAACTTACGTATTTTTGCACAAAGCAGAACTACAGGTCTACTGAGCATAGGTTAGAAGCATTTGATTGATGCTGTGAGTACTCTAGGAAGCCGTCAAACTCTTGATGATTCTGTCTTAGCTGCAGCAGCAGTGTAGGAAGCATCTATGCAGCTTAGTTTTCTACCTTAACACAACTGTGGTCATTATTTAGGGTGCAAAGGCAGCTGCCCCAGTCCCATCTCCAGGTCAGCTGTGTCTCCCGTTAGAGGACCGTATTTACTACGCCGTTTACCTTCCCCTTACAAGGCTGTGGCTGAAGGTGCTTCTGCCCATTTCGATGCCTGGCGTTTCCAGTATTTACCATAGGCTGCTTTTTATCAGGTCGACTGAAAGTAGCAAACACATTTTTCATCTGTGTTATTAGAGGTCAACTTAAGTTTAAAACAATTTTAATTCTATCTTCATTAATCTGTTACCTCAATACTATCAACGGATGTTAATGTAAAGTATAATCCTAATTACCGGCACCACGATGAGTTTTTACCCTGTAGAAAAACTAGCTGGGCATGGCAGCACATCCTTATAATGCGGGGCTGATGCAGTACTGTAGCGTTTCAGTGCCAGCCTGGGCTACATAATCCAACACCAGGTGTAAGTACATAGCAAGACCTTGTCTCAAAAATGCAGAAGAGCCAGGCACAGTGGTGCAGGCCTGTAATCCCAGCACTTGGGAGGCTGAAGCAGGAGGACTGCCTGAGTCCAAGACCAGACTACTGTATAATGGGACCCTATTCAACAAAAACAAAAAGGCCAAATATCACTGCTGGCTATAGAGAGGTAGAATGCTCAAGGAATAGAAACATGACAATGAGGTGGGTTTTGTTGTTTTGGTTGCACTGCACTCCCCACCCCGCAGCCAAAATCCATGGCTCTTACAAAGGTAGCCTCATGATCTGCCACAGGTCCACACTGCCTGCCCCAGCCTGGCCACATGGCCAATGGGTTCCCAAGCCAAGAAGCCCTTTTCCATGCCAGGCCTTTGGTGCCACATAAGCACAGCACAGTGTGCAGTCTTGGTTCTCAGACACCCAGTCTCCCCGCTTCCAGAACTCCCTGCGCAGGGCCACTGTGCAGTAGGGAGCCACAGGGAAACCACTTCTCACACAACCTGAGCACCGATACATTCACATCTATCTCCTTTCCACTCTGCTGTCCTGGTTCAGACACCATCGGCTCGCACCTGATTCTACGAGCCCCTGGCTTCACTTTCCACTGGGCCCTCTGGCTGCGGCCAGCTCTGAGAGCCATTAGCGTTCTACCGCCCAGGGCTGTCATGTCCTCTCCCTGTGAAACAAACCGCCTGCATCTTCTAGAATCAGTGGGCACTGCCAGCCTTTTGAGTGAATTCATTCTTATCTTTCAAAAGCTCTCTGAAACTCATGCTGAGTCCAAAGGCCACTCCCTCACACCTTTCCAGAGACCCTGCTGCCACCCCAACACTCTGCCCTCGATGGCACCACAGAGCTGCTCAGTGACTAATGACACCAGAACCAGTCTTGTCACTTTACACACACACTGCATTTATTTGTAAATGTACAGCTGTGTCTCAAAGGCAAGAAGTGACACTAACATGGGCATGCGGAGTTTCATGTTACAGGGTAGAAGTGATCGTGACAGGCGCCTGTGCGCACTTCCGCCTGCTCAGCTGCCTACTCACTGTGCCACTATCCGTGCACCGTACAGAGTGGTGGGAAGCACCGAGCAACCACGTCGGCACAGGGAGTCGCTGCACGGCAGCGAGAGCACTAACTACGTGCTTCTGCTTTCAGAGCATGAGCTGCACTGCCCTCACCTAGGAACACAGAGGGACTGGAGGAAGACGACGTCACACAAGGAAATCATCTTTCCATATAAATTACAGTGAAAGGAAACAAAATTAGCAGAAATAGGATTTACACACCCTTAACTGATTTTTAAAGATAAAATGATCATTCTGAAGTCAACAGTGATGATGTATGAAATTTTCTATTTGAAATACCTATAATTTTAAAGCTATCAGTTTAGTCTAAGCTTTCAGGGTAATAAAGTGTATCTCTGCATTACAACAGTAATCTTCCAAGACACTTGTCAGTGGTAAAAGCACTATGCACCAGACAACGATTAGAAGCTATTATAAAGACATGGTTCTATCTCTATGTAAACCGACCTGGGTCCATGCGGAGCGGGTGAACCAGTGGCAAAGTGTCTACATATGTATCCATTCAACTTCTCAAATACGCCAGTATCTACTTGATACTCCTTCATGCTTTTAAGATACTCTTTAACTTCATTAACAAAGTCTGCAAAGATCTTCTGATTATTTGTGTAGAGACCATTTATAATAAACTGATTGATGAATTCATTAAGTTCTTCCCAATGGTGGAAAGCACCCAGCTCTTTTAGTAAGTATCTTCGAATCACTTGCCTAAACTCACCTACCAGGGCAGAATTCACCACCATATTGCATGGGCTGAAGGGTTCCTGTTGAGCCCTTCCAAACACATGCTCGCCAGCCCCTCGGTAATCCCGACAGTCTCCCTGCCAGTCGTGGGCAACACCGTCCCTGGAGACTTGCGCAGTATTTCTGGCCTCCTGCCATCGAGCTGGCTGTCTTCTGCTTGGGTCCCTCTGCATGCTGTGGCCACGGTGCTTCTGGTTAGGGGAAGGTCCCTTGTACTGTGAATGGGAACAATCACTAAAAACTGGGGTTTTTTTTGTTGTTGCTGGTTTTTTTGTAGCTCCAAATTTCCTATTGCCCTTTTCATCAAAGATAGTCTTGGTGGTATCTTTAAAATGTCGGAAAGTGGATTTAACTGACTCAGAGAACTTTTTAAGATTTTCTTTCACAGCTTCTTTAGCCTGCTTAATTTTTTCTTTATGATGCCTCACAAACTCCTTGGTAGAATTCTTCATGGCATCAAAAGTTTCCTTAACCGTTCCCAAAAACGTCTCTTTTGACTTGCTCTTCACCCTGTGGTGTCCTCTGCTCCCCTTCTGCTCCCCAGTCTGATCTCTGGCTTTGATATATAGCCTCTCCCACAGGTCAGAGCGTTGCTGCTCGAAGTTCAGCTTCTGCTCCAGCTCCACCACCCTTTCCCTCAACACGGCCAACTCCTTGTCCTGGGGGGAACCAGGCTTGGCTTGCCACTGGCCAGGCTGGAGCTGCGCAATCTCCATCTGGAGTGAGGCTCCTACTTTCGGTTCTGTCTCCAATTCACTCTGTAGCATGTGTGTTTCTGCCAGAAGAATCTCCCTTTGATTAAGGAACCTTTGTGTTTTCTCCTTTGCATCCTCCAACTGCAGCTTGAGCTTCTCATTGTCCCGGGTCAATTCAGCACTGGTACTTTTCTCCTCCATCGTTCTAATCTGCTCTCTCAGCTTCTCTAACTCCTCCTGGAGAGAACCCAGGGCACTCTCTCTCTGCTCTAGAGATACTCTCAGATGGTGATTCTGGGTAGTGAGTCTCTTCTGAATTTCAAGGGACATCTTGCCTGCTGCAGCCAGGAGCCGACACCTTCTGAGACTTTCTTTCAAGTGCTATTTTGAAAAATAAATGTCAATAGTTCAAAAGCTGAGTTAAAAACTTTTAATACCTCACAAATGTCACTGGCTTTATTTCTATAGGCATTGTCCCTTAGGTTCAGTAGTGTAAAAACTAGAAAACCTAAGTTCTGTACGCAAGAAAATGTAGGGCAGACAGTTCCATCCAGGTAAGCCTGGGAAGTCATAAAGCCCAGGTCAGCCAGCCTATCCTGAGTTCCTCCCGAGTAGGGCTGCCACAGGAGAAGACAGGTGCAGCTCGGTGCTTCAGTGCTTGCCAGACCAAACAGGAGGCACCATGAGAGACGGTCACAGAGGGAGGGTGTCACGCACATGGCTGGGCGGTGGCAGCCCTGCAGCAGGAGACCCTGCAGCAAAGGGGAAGGAAGCTCAGCTGCCTCAGTGAGCACATGGCCTACAAAGCCCCCGAGAGGAGCAGTCCCCAAGTCCCAGCAGCTACAGGAGAAGCACTTCTAGGCCAAACACAGCAGCTTGAAACCACTGACTCCCAAAACTGCCCTCCTAAAAGCCAGCGCCCTCCTGTGGAACCACAGCTAAGGGGACAAAGGAAATGACACCTTCGGATATACACAGGAAAGTGATTACTGACACCTATCTTCAGCAGGCCTCCTTGAGTGACACAACCTGAGCCTGTGTGGGAGATGTGGTGGTCCCTGGAGCTGACCCAGTCCTTCCACCTTTCTCAGAGGAAAACCAGGTGGGCAGCCTAAGAGGCTGGGGGCGGGGTTGGCCACCCATGTAGGCTGCCACAGAAACTGCACTCTGTGCAGGAAAACATGCTGCCTTCAGTCAGAACTTACAAAGGTCAGGCTGGGCCACCTGGCCACCTGGCCACCTGCCACCCAGTAAGATCCTGGAGGAGCTGCTAGGCCCCAGCTCCTGAAGATGTTCTGCTTAGCTCCACTAACAATAAAAGTGTCAGCGTGGATGTGGAAACAGATTCCAAGTGTCAACTTTAAACTGTCAACTCTCACTCCATTACACTGCCCAGGATACAGCTATAAGCCCAAAGACCCGCATTCCTTGTTCAGCAGCCCACCCGTCTCCCAACAGCTGTTTTAGCTGACTGCTTTATGGCACAGTGCTGTGCTCTGTGCACAGAAAGCACTAAGTCAGCAAGGTGCGGTGCACATAATGCCCCACTGTGCGACCTGCTGGACAGTTAAATATCCAGAAACACGCACCACGCTATTACTGAATCACACTCTTTGGGGGGGGGTTAGGGATACGCACCTTCGTGTCGAGAAGGGGTTCCTGCTCCCGTGGGTGCTGGACCAGATAGCTCATCACGTCACTTGCTGCATTCTCAGGTGTGTTTTGGACAAGCTGTTGCTGCCTCTGAATTGTGCCTGAACAAAAAGTTCCATTATATGTATACTATATTATGATTATCATCATTTCTTTTGGGGGTGGGTACCGGGATCAAACTCCTGACCTCACGCTTACAGGCAGGTGCTTATGACACTAAATCCCCTGCCCGATTACCAGTATTTTTAAATATGTAACATTTCATCCACATATCTATTTCTTAATCTGGATCTCTTCTTCAAAATAGCACCATTTCACTGTTTCAGAATTCTGATTACACAAAGAGTAAATAAAGCTCATTCATCAGATGACAGTGTATGTTAATCCTAATATAGTTAGGTGCAGTAGGTTAATTTATGTAATGTTTGTTAGCATCCACCCCAAACACTTAGGGAGTTCACTAACCTTTTGATCAAGACAAGCTGGCCAGCCATGGAACACTAACAAAAGGGAAATCTTGTTTCAGCTCATTTTTTGGCTTTTTTTTTTTTTTTAAGGCAGAGTCTCATGCAGCCCAGGCTGGCCTCCAACTCAGTGATCCTCCTGTCTCAGTCTCCCAAGTGAAAGGATTATACGTGTTCGCCACCACACCCAGCTCACAGGCCAATATTTATGAATCCCACAAATGTGTAAGGGTACTGAAGCCCCAGGGCCCCCACCCAGCTGTGATAAAGTTTTCCTGATTTTTCACCTTAAAACAAGGGTTATGCCAAGACATGCCACTACATGCTTTCTGCAGAAGGAAAAACCCACTAGGTCAAAACGGCAGAACACATCTGCAACCTGCATGTCACATCTGAGTAGCCACACCACCATGCCAAGTTTTAAAAGGAAAGGATGCTAGGGTGGCTGTGCCCTTCTGCCCTTATTGCTACAAAAATTAACTTCTAATGTTTTCAAATCATCTAACCTTTTCTAACTCACCTGGTTAGACATTCCAAACATCAGTTACTAAGTATGAAATTCCACATCAGGACTCATCTTTTACATTATCTTTTAATTATCTTGTGGCAAACATTTCAAGAAATTTCAAAAATTATCCCTAAACTTACCTCGGATTCCTAGAGAAACAAAAAACCTCTTAACTTCCCAATGCTGACTAGACACATACGTCCCCTGGAAAATGAGACCCGCAGGGCGGGTGCCAGGCGCTCCCCGGCAGCACTTACATCCCCTCAGTCAGTGCTATGTGTGCACAGCCCCCTCACTGCCAAGGTGGCCTGGAAAGGCCACTGAGGCCAGAGCTTCCACTCCCCTTACAGGACTCACTACTGTGTCCAGCTACTTCATTTACTAGGTCATTGGTTTCTCATGTTGTGAAAGGCTGATATCGAAAAGATTCAGAAAACTTAATTGTAATTACTAAAGCGAATTGTGCTGGTAACAAAATCCTGAACGAATCCTGAAATAACCTCTCACTTTTGAAAGAATTCTTCTCCAAACTGAATTCCCTACACAACATTTAAAGGTCATGCAATGGTGGGATTGCAGTGTGCTCTATCTATGTTAACATTAAAATTACCCCCCAAGTTTTCTTCAGTGAGAAAAGAGGCAAAGCCTACCTCCTTTGTTACCCTCATGTTCACTGGGGGGTAGAAACCGCACTGGCAAACACTGAAGCGAGTGCAAAAGCGAGCGTGTGTTCACACCCAGCACAGCAACCTGGAGGGCCCAGCCACTCCTCGCCAGTGAGACGATCAGCCACCTACGGGCCCAGCTATGTTCACTTGTAAGAGGCAGTTACCGACTCAACATTGAACCACCACTGACCATTTTCATTTTAAAGTCACTCTAACTTTCCAGTATGTTCACTACTGCTTTAATGTACTTTAAGCTATATTAAGTAACATATTCTTCCCATAAATCAAAAGGAACGAGCAGTGAACACTTCGATCTCTGTATAAAAACACTTACAGCGAAACTGGCAAAACTGGAAAGTTAAAGTGTGGATTACCAACCAGGTGTGGTAGCTCACGGTAATCTCAGCACTCTATCTGGGAGGCCGAGGCAGGAGGATTTCAAGTTGGAGCCCAGCCTGGGCAACTTAGCAGACCTCATGTCAAAATAAAAAGGGCTAGGATGACATAGCATACTGTAAAGCTCCTAGGTCCAATCCCAGTACTGCAAAACTAATTAAGTGAAAAAGTATGATTACTTACACAGACAAAAAAAAAAAAAAAAATCCAAGTACCTTATATAAAGCAAACTCAAATGTGACACCTAGTCCCCTCCAAAGCACAGTGAGCAAGAAAAAAGCTCCATCCCCACATGCGCATGCGGTCTCTGGACAGGCTGTATCTCAAAGACCAAAGACAAAGACGACACTACACGGGACTTCCAGTCTTCCTCCAAGAGGCAGTCTCTGAGCAAGATAATCAGCACACATCAACAGGCTTCAAATGACAAGCAAGCAGAGCTACAGAAGGAAGAACAGCTGGGCATGGTCAGAGGCTGAGGCAGGAGGATCGCTATGAACGGGAGGCCAGCCTGCGCCACAGTCAGCCCATGGCTGGCCTGAACTGCATAGTGAGACTCTCCAAAAGGAAGAGAGAGACAGAGAGAAAAAAGACAATTCACTGTAATCATGGAAGTGACACTGAAGGTCAAAAAATGACATGTGCATTAAAATTCAAAGTACAGTTACTTTTAGTATTAATTATTGGAACATTTTAAAAATAAGTATTCTGACTAGGATCTAAGTAACACTAAATTCTGACTTGCCTCATGATAATCACTTTGCATTTTTATTTTTGAAGACAGGGTGTCACTATGTAGCCCAGGCTGGACTTGAACTCAGAGCCTCCTCTGCCTCAGCCTCCTGAGTGCTGGAATTACAGATGTATACCACCATGCTGGGCCCACATTTCACATTTCTAATCTTCCAGGGTTGTTTTTTTTTGGCGCCAGGGATTGAACTCATGACCTTGCACTTGCCAGGCAGGCGCTTATGCCACTGAGCTAAATCCCCAGCCAATCTTTCAATCTTTTTACTTCAAAAAAATATAAAAAATATACAGAAGCTGTACTTTATAAAAGTATGTAACTTTTCCTTTTTTGGAATAGGATTCAAAGGATCCTCTGCCTCTGTGGGACCACAGGTGTGCACCACTGAGCCTCACTCTGACCGTCCTGCCTTGTGTAGGTTTTATGAGACAGCAGCAGCACTGCCACCTTCCAATGGGAGGAGACACAACCAGATTCTGCCCTTGTGAGCTGGAACCAGGCACACAGCCCAACCACACCCCCATGTGCCACCTACACACAGCCCATACTCACCGTAGAAGTGGCCAAAGCCCATGCTGACGGCGACCACCAGGGCCAGTGCCACACACTTGCTGAGGCTGCCGCTGCAGCTGTACTGGCGCTTAGACACCACAAGCGGCTCAGGGTCCTGCTCTTCCCACTCGGTCTCCAGCATTGCCTTCTTCCTGGCCCGTCGCCGGCGAAGGGTGGGACTGGGCTGATCAGCAGCCTCCTCACTGCTGGACCCACTGTCACTGTGCTGAGATGAAAATCCTGTTTTTAAAAAGAAAAATGCTCACATTTAGGTATTCAAATTTTATCCCAATTGATACAAAACTCAGCACATTCTGCCATGCTTTCTATGCAAGGCAGCCAAAACCAGAATGCAGAACACAGTCTGCAGCGCACAGGCGTGGGGAAGCAAAGTCCAGAGCTGTGGCCCGCAGCATGGCCAGGGTGGGAACAGAGCCATTTGTCTCACTGCCGCAGGGTCACGGCAGGAAAAAAGCTGTCTAGCTCCACCCTGTACTGGTGAGTGAGGAGAAGCAGGAAAGCATGAACCACCCAGGCGTCCTAAAGCCTTGATGGGCCCTCCTGTTCTTGCCACCCTAGTCCTCAGCCACGGAGAAGCACCAGGGCAAGGCCGACCCAAGCTGCCTGCCCATCACCTGCTACACACGTTCTGCACCAGGAAGCGGCCCTGGCATGCACATGCACGCACACACTCTGGCAACATGCCCACTACACACACTGCTGCAGCCCCTCTTAGAAAACAGTAGCAAAAAAAATGGAAATTGGGGAAAGAAAATTGCACCAAAAACGTAACCCAAGGGAACACTTGGAAACATCAGTTTAAGATGTCCCCATCTACATGATTTCTTCACTGCTTGCTTGGTAACACATCCCCAGGCCCAAAGAGTGAGACACAGGTACGGTGCAGTGTGAGCCCCAGTTCCACACCAGGCTCCAGCGTGCCAGGGCCAGGGCAGAACCCAAAGCACAGCACACCGCAGTTCAGCATAGCACGTCTGGAGCGCTCCCCTTCCCCCCAGTGGCTTTTCCTGCAGCCAGTGACAGTTTGAGAGCTCTTGGTTATGACCCTCACTCATACCAGCCATCACCTCAGCATGAGGTTGCTACTTCTCAGATGAAGAGGAAGAAAGCAACCCATAAACAGCAGTGCAGCCACAAGCATGAAATCCTGTGGATGAGTGATGCAGTCAAGACTTGTCCACACAGGCTTACACTGAGGTAACCAACCACACGTCACAACCCTGTGCATGGATGTTGAGGCCCCTCACGAGGTGTTCTCAGAGCCAGCCGGCCCCTCATCAGTGCACGCCTGTCTTTGGCGGGCACTCCTGGCGCCTTCCTGCACCCAAACCTCCAGCTGCTGAAACACCACGCCCTGGAACCTCTGCAGCAGTCGTCCCCTGGTGCCAAAGGCGGGCAAGCGAACATGCAGGTCCCATTCATGTTGTACCCCACCTCCCCCAGCACTCCCACACAGCTCAGCTCCAGGCACTGGGAGGAGCTGTGGGCGGGGCCGTGGCACCTTGCAGGGCTGCGGAGCGTCTCTGGTGGGCATCCCACGCCCTCACACACGCAGCAATCTTCCACAGCTTCTCCCACCACCCTGCTTCTTCTGTGCACAAACAGGAGAGAGATGTGTGAAGCTTTATGAGGAGCGAGAAGGGAAGCAACTGAAAATACTCATGCGAAAGCTTAACACTGTTGCATCGCTAAGATCTGACATGAGGAGAAAAGCCAAAGAGAAAAACACAAGGCTAGAATCCTGCATGGGTGAGGAAGAAAACATAAAACCAACTGACTCAGCAACAGGAACAGGAAACCAGTGAGCCAGGGCAAAAACTGGCACCTGATCACATAAAGCCACAAGCTGCACAGCAACAGCTGGATCAGAAGTAGACTCCACGGAACTGAGGTCCAGTGACACTGCAGCGGTCCCTGTGTCTCCCCCCGCACACCCCCCACGACCCTGCTGACATCACAGCCGGCACAGTGCCCTGGGATGTCCTCGCACACACAGTTCCCCCTCTCTGCGCTGTTGAGTATCTGACTACTGCCACAGCATCTCTAAAGGGGTCACATGGGTGAAAAAATGCGCTTAATAATGAAATCCAACTGTAACTGTAAAATTCTCAAAACTCTGTATTCAGAAAGGAGGGAAGCCAGGAGGTAGTACACACCTCCAATGCCAGCACTGTGGGAGGCTGAGGCAGAGAGCTGCCAAGTTCCAGGCCAGCCTGAGCAATTGACTCTTGACTCAAAAATAAATAATAAAACAAGAAAAAGACACAAGAAAAAAACCTGACCACACAGGTATGCAGGTCCCTTAAAAAATATAAAGCCTCATTGGTCACCCTGGGCCCTTCCACTGTGCCCCCCGCTTCAGTGGAACTGTCAGGCTGGCCTGTGCCTCAGACCAGAGGGAAGGGAAAACTACCACAGCACTACACAAAACTTGGAGCTCAAGAAAATGCAGTAGTAAAATGTGACTGCCTTGCCTAAGCCCTTGTGAGTAAACACAGTTCACAAACGTGGGTCACAAACCAAGTAGAACGAGAACCACATCAAATTCAATGGTTTGGGTCAATGGTGACTTTATGGGGAAATTTGATTTGGTTCTTGTCCAACAGACCAAAACACTCAGGGAGGGGGAAACTGATCTGTCTTCAACACTTCTCTTTCTTGAGACACCCTAGTGCCCCAGCACACAACAACCCGCAGAGCCTGGGTGTGGTGCTGCGCACCACAGAAGGGTACACATGAGGCACAGGGCATGCCATTCTGAGGAAGGCTGGTGTTCTCTGACCACTAGGAACATCAGGAGCACTTCCACTGTTGAGTGAGATATTTTTAACTTTTATAGATTCTCTGGCCAAAAACACTTCAGCATTAGATAGGCCCTCAAGAACCTCTGCTGACTGGTTACCCTCAGCTGGAAGGACAGCCTTCCACCATCCGTTCCCACTGCTGCTGTGAAGGACCGGAGATGGGCAGCACCTGGGGCGACTGTGCAGGGCCACACACGCCCCTTAGTCCTGTCACAGGAGGCCGTGCTGATAGCAGCAGGTGCCCAGCTGCTTCTGCCAACACACTCAGGCTTTAAGTGTGGCTTCACACCTGGTTGTAATATTCTGTCTGGTGATTTTGAGGAACTTCATGCCTTAAAAGATATTAAACACATTACTAAATCTGAGCTTTAAGATCTGTGGAAAGAAGGCAGGTAAAGAACCTCTCTCTGGGAGGCTGAGACAGGAGGATCACCAAGTTCTAGCCAAGCCTGGGTAACTTGGTGAGAGACTCGGTCTCAAAATAAAAAATACAAACCAGGACTGGGGAGGGAACTCAGTGTGAAGGCCCTGGACCCAATTCTAGTACCACAAATGAAAAAACCAAAAACCATGAAACGGTGTGTGGTGCCAGGCACAGGATGCACCCATGTTCCCAGCACTGGGACACAGTGAGACCTCATCTCAGCCAAAAGCAAACAGCAACTGCGGAAGGAACCAGCTCAGCCACTCACACTTCAACCTTCAGATGATTCTGTATGAACCAGGGGTATCAACTCCACTGGTAACTGATTCAAACTGGGTATATTTAATAACCAATATAAAATAACCAAAGAGGAAGAGCATTTTGGGGAAGCTGCTTATTAACTGCTCCTTGAGCCCGGTTTTGTACGTGGCAGGCAAACTTGTCAAGTAATTAAAACTGAACAAGTCTAAAAACTTCAAAAAAGAATTTCACTGTTTCTACAACACAAAACATGTACTAATATAAAGGACAAATATTAATTTTCTCTTGCTTTTAGTTACAATTTTCCAACCCACCACTCCAAAAAGTTTCAAACAACCAACGGCATCTGAGACAGAGGACCAGCTCTGGGACCCTCGCTCCCTGCGGGCTGCTGGCCAGGCTGCAAGGGGCACTGTGCTGGGTCTGCCGTGAAGGCCTGGGCAGAAAGGTATTGATTGCTGTGCCTGCACCACAGAGGAAATGCTGGCCTCGGTGGCAGAGTCATAAAACACCTCCCAAGTCTCCCCCAGGTGCACTAGGAGGACAAGCTGGTAGAGGCAGCCTGGAAGCTCCGTGGGGCTCAGTGGCCCTTCTGGCTCTTACCCACTTCTGGCTGACAGAAGGTGTACTGGCTGCTGGAAGAGGAGCCCAGGCTGAAGCTTTCCACAGTACACGCCTCCTCAGCGATCATGATGTCTTGACTTCCAAGTTCTTCCAACTTGGGTAGCTCCAGGGTGACAATGTCTGAATCATCGCTGGCAGTTCCAAAATAGACATGGTCTCCAGGTGACTTTTCCTCCTCTGTCTAAAGAATGCACATTAAATTCAAGGGTAAAGAGCCTTTATTTCCTACATAGTTCAAAATGTACCATGTACCAACTATAATGGTAATTTGAGGTTAAAATAAAAATGTGATGTTTTACTTTTTCAACACTAGGGATAAAACTCAGGGACTGTGCACACCAGGCCCACCTACCACTGAGACTCCTGAGGCCTGAAGACATGATTTCTACACAACTATAAAGAGCCAGCCAATAGCAGGCTTGTTTTTGCTTTTTTTGGCTTGGAAACCTTATAGAATCCTTTGACAATGTTGTCAGAACCACCTGAGCTGGAGTGTGGTGTGGTGGCATGTGCCTATAATCCCCGCACTTGGAGGCTGAGGTAGGAAGATTGCCTGGACTACACAGTGAGACCTCGGCTTGAAAAAGAACCAAAATAGCACGGATCACCACCTTGCTCCTCTCGATGCGGAAACTGGAGACCACCTTTGCTGCCCTATGACCACAGGAAAGAGAGCTCTTGTTCTCTCTGTAGTTCCATAGCTATATCTCAGCACAATTCTATGTGCAGGGAATGGTGAGAGCGTGTAAGAAGCTTCAGCATCTGCACCATGCACAGTGGAACCTGGTGACCATTGTGACAGCACAGTGGCCTCTTCCTCAAGGCACCACTCATGCTCATGGCTGCAGCTTGTCAATGAACTGCAGAGGGCTCCAAAGCCTCTGTGCTCAGTTTCTCTAGGCTATTTACTCCCTGATGATCGAAGTGGATCTGTCACTCAAGCTCTTAGGTTTAATGGTAACTGATCATGAACAAAGCACCACACTCCCCTGCTGCAAACGGCAACAGTGTCCACTTTAGCTGGGCTTGAGGGAGGGGCAGCACAGGGAGGTAGCCAGGTCTCAAGGGCAGGTTCCACACAGCCTCCAGCTCTGCCACTTTCCCATGTACAACACCTGTGTTTGGTGCCTCACAGAAGCTGATTTTCACCTTAAGGTTTTCAATTAAAATGAACGATAACTGAAATATGAATGCAAGTCACAGCTAGAAATGGGGGCTTCAACTACTACTCTCTAAAATACTATTCATCCAGAAAACAAAACACAGCCACACATACAGAGTAAAACGCAAGCTTACCTCAAAGGCTGTATCTTCAGCTTCTCCTGTCAATGTCATGCTATCCTGGCTGCTTTCTGATACAAAGCAAAGATCAATCCAATTATTTTTCATTTCAAACACTGTAATCTTTTGGAGCCTGCTCCCCAGGCTGAAGTGGCTTTCATGAAATGGCAAATACAATTTTAACAGTCGTTCCACTGCTTGCAAATTGAAATTCTTTCATTTAAAGAAACAACTTTAGACACTGTACCCAACTAAACTATTTGGGATCTGCCAAGAACTCAAAGTTCATCTGACCAAATAAAATCTCCACCTTGAGATACCAAAGCACCCCAAGATGTTTCTAATGATGTTAATACAGAAGCACTGTTCTCACAGCCCAATGACATATTTCTAGCTTCTTAATGGCACATTCAAAATCCCCAAAGACAGGATTGCTGTGAGGGCTGTCCATGGTGGCTAACATATGCTCAAAACTACAGCTTTAAATCATAAATGCTTCACAGTAAGAAACCAACTATAAAAAAGAATCAAGAAAACCCAAAGTAATACCAGCTCAAAAGGCAGTTTCATAAGAATCACCTCAAAGAAAAAAAATGCAAATAAAGTAGTTCATAATATAATTTTAATGAAGTACAAAATTTTATCAGAAGCCAAAAATATTAAAAATAATAAACTTGAATTCCACAAGAAAAAAAAATTCACTGTATGCCAACAGTCATTTCCAGGTAGACAGTCTCCAGGGTGGAGTTGGCCTGGAGGAAGAGGGGCCCAAGAGACCCAGTCTGACCTCAGCCATCTGCAGGTAATCTGAGGTTTCCTCTGCCCATCGCCAATCTCCTTCCTCCCTCTCAGGACACCCAGATCTCCCTGAGGTGGCCTCAGTAGCTGCAAGGGAGCAGAGGCAAGCTGGGGCAAGCGCTGGCTAGGCTTCCACCCCACAGCCCAAAGATGTCACTGGCTGAGAGCCCCAGCAGGAGAGCAGGTTCCCTGGCAGGAGGGCTTCACAGCACTCAGGTTCCAAGGATGGGCCCCACAGAGGTAAAGAGAGCTGCACAAAGATAGGAAACCACTGAAATGCCTCGGGCTGAAGAATGAGCCACACCCTCTGCTCCCCCTGGACATGGCCGCCTACTGTCCTGAAGAGAAGAAGACATCCTGCACCCAGTTTAATGCAGACTCTGTCAAAGCTAGGAAGCAAATATGTAAAGAAAACTAAGGCTGACTGGCTGACCACCCTGGCAGAAGGCAAGGAATCACTCACCTTCCTGCTGCGGCAGCTCCTCCTGTCCCAGAGACGCAAGCTCTGGGCTCAGCTCACAGCCTTCTGCGCCTGTGACAGGGGTCACCATCTCTGCATCGGAGCCCTGGGGAAGGACAAACAACATTCACCCCTCAAGATGCCAACGTGGATCCTCTCCTTTCCAATTTGGCCCCAGAGGCTGTGCAGGAATGTGGTGGGATGGGAGTAACGCTGTGAATGCTGATTTCACAACTGTGGGGCAGGTGCGGTGGAGCACACTTGCAATCCCAGCAGTCGGGAGGCTGAAAATCAAGAGTTCTAGGCCAGCCTGGACTACACAGTGAGATCCTATCTCAAAACACCTGAGCAATACATGTGACTCCCAAAGAAACTTTCTAAGCTTTCCTATGTCTGTAAATACAAGAGCTCAAGGAATACTCTTAGACAAGGAACTTGAAAGTGCTATAGAATCTTAAGATTTAAGCTTAAAATTCAAATTTACTATCTGTTCAGAGAAATAGCCACATGCAAATTACCTGTTATGGCAATGTAAGCTAAAACACAGATTGTTCTTTCCTCGTCAAGTCCTCGTAACATAACGCAACATAAGGAACACACATTCTCCATCTTTTCAAAAGATGGAGATATTTTCTAGTTACATGATGTCAAGTAAATTACTTAACCTTTCTTTATTTTTTTCACCTATAAAATGAGAATGGGTCAGGTGTGGCACACAGTTTAACCCCAGCACTCAGGAGGCTGAGGCAGGAGCATGGCCATGAGTTTGAAGGCAGCCTGGGTTACATAAGAGAGTTCAAGCCAGCCTATGAGACCAACTCGGTGGTCAAAAAACCAACTCAGTGGTGTAAGCATAAGGTCCTGATACACTCCAAAAAACAAAAGAGAATGAGAAGCCTATTCCTCATTGAGTAGCTGATGATATGAGAATACAGCTAAGGCACAGGGCCTGATCGGTAAGAAGTTCCACATGTACTGGCTGGTGTCCTGGTGCTCAGGAAAGCTACGTGAGCACACGTGTGGAAGGTTCTGGCCCATGAAGAGCTGCCAGCACTGCTTAATGCGGGTTGGAGAACACACAAAGAAGGGAACCTTCGGCTTGAAGGTGTCAGACCACCCCTCACTGAGCACAGGAAGATGAGAAGGCACACCTCATGACTGATGATGGTCCAGCCACTGGAAGAGTCACTGTCACTGGAATTCTCAGACATTGCACCAATCTGCAAACACAAGAGCACACAAATGGACTTGTGGGATGTCTACAAGTGACCTATGGCAGGCAGCTTATTACCTTCTAGGTGGACCTGAGGCGGCGCCACCCTCCACCCAAGATTCCCATCCCAGCCACAAGGGAACACGCACCGTGTGACCAACAGGAGCTCGCTCCTAGGGACAGGGAGGCTCAAACACAAGGTGCCAAGCCTAGGCAACTGAGACCTCTTCCATGAGAAGCCTAAATTATTGTTTTTATGTAATACCTCAATTTTTAAAATTTGGCAACTATTAAAGCAGTTTTTAAAATACGCTTTTTAGCTGGGTGTGGTGATATACACCTGTAATCCCAGCAAGACAGGACAGCCTTGGTTTGAAGCCAGGCTGGGATACATGAGACTGTCTCAAAAAACCAAAAACTAAATAAAAATGAAACCTGTCTAGTTGTGAACCTCCTTTATAAAGCCTTTTTAATCATTCTCCTTGCCGGTTGCAAATTTAATTGTGCAGTCTTTGTGTCTCCCATATTTACATATGATTTCTGTACTTATAAACCCTTGTCCTGTGCAAACAGCAACATGTATCAAAAGTTTTTCTAAACTTTCTCAGTGAGCATCTGGAATTCATAATTTAATAAACAATGATGAAATACAGTTGCAAACAAGAAAACTGGTTAATGCGCTATGTAGTATTCATAGTGTGGTCTTTTGAATAACATCTACTTAGGACTGAAAAAATTTATTTTGTACTAGTTTTCTACAAGTTACCTTTTAAAGTTATAGGCATATAAATTGGCTTGGCCCTGACTAGTTTAAATTAGAAACCAAACATATGAACTTACTGGAAAATATTCTAGTATAGCATTCTATATCACAAGGCATCTTTATCTCTCCACTCCTGAATAGTTTATCTGATATGCTCGTTTTTAGAGCTAGTAACCAATCCAATCTCCCTTGTTGTTTCTGTGATACTGGGGTTCACATCATGTGTTCCACGGACTCTCATCCCGTCCACAAAGCTCAGTGTAGTAGAAAGAACAGTCAGATGTTGCAACCACACATCCCCACAGAAAGGCAGCCACAAGGAATCCCGTCTGAAATTTGTGCCCAGCTCACACCAGCCTGAGGTCCTAGCCCATGGCAGGACTGATGCTTTGGCCATGTACAGAGACAGGAGCTTTGCCAGCCAACAGAGCAACCATGATGCCACTGATCCTCCTCAGAAGCCCAGGAGCCAGGCTAGCAAGGAAGGGAAAAAATCCCCCAGCGGACCTATGCGCAGACTGCAAGCCAGGTGAGGCCCCACCTGTCTCCTGAGAGCTCCTATAGGAGCCTTAATAAAGCTGCCCTGCACTGGGCCTCCACCCTAGAGACTCCTGCTGTTGGGTAAACAAGAGCAGGTAAACAGCAGAGCAGGGAGGAAGAGGAGAGTGCCAACCAGCAGCGCAGGTGGCAGCATGTGTGCAGGGGCTCCTGTCAGGGGCAGGCGCAGGACCATGCAGCCTAGGCAGCTCCTTACTGGGTGCAACAGGGTCAGAGGTGGAACAAGCCAGGTGGGAGGCAGTGGGAGTCTGCTGCTATAGCAATGCCCTGGGAAGCCCCCTGCTGCTGCACAGGAAGCTGGCAGGCAGACAGAATGACTGAGCACTATCAGAAGACTTTAAAAAGCACACAGCAGCCTAGCAGTGTCACATGTCTGTAATCCCGGCTGTTTGGGAAGCTGAAGCAGGAGGATTCCAAATTCAAGGTCAACCTGGGCAATTAGCAAAACTGTCCCAAAATAAAGGGCTAAGAGTACAGCTCTGTGTTAGACCATACTGAGCTTTGATGCCTTAAACAAAAAACAAAAACACATCTCAGCACTCCCTGGAAGGCTGAGGCAAGAAGACCTCAAATTCCATCCCAGCCTGAGAAATTTAGCAACTTATCAAGACCTTGTCTCAAATAATAAAAATTTTAAAAAAGAAAAAAAAAAAAAAAAAAAAAAAAAAAAGAACATCTTTGAGGGCTGGGGATTTAGCTTAGCGGCATAAGCACCTGCCTTGCAAACAGGTGGTTGTGAATTCAATCCCTGGTACAGATAAAAAAAGAAATGCCGCTCATCGCTAAGGCTCGATCCCCAGTACTGGGGAAAGAAGTGGGTGGCACAGTTGTCTATACTTTGCAGAAGGACACAGCAACATTACTAGGTTTACCTCCTGAAGGAACTTCTTGCCGGCAGAGGCCCTGGTCACTCTGGAGGAGACTCATCTTACTGCAGAGAAGCCAGGGCTGCTGTTTCCTGTCTTTTGGAATTAGGCTTAGTGGTGAAGAATGGAGCACTGTCTTCCACAAGGCACAACTCTGAAGTAAAGCAACAGGCTGTAGGCTGAGGCGGGCTGCGCCAGCAACCAGCTCTACCCCGTGCACTGCCCAGCTGAACTTGGGAACACACCCTGCCCTCATGCTGCCATGTGCACCTCACAGCCAGGACAGGACTCATCTACCCTCAGTGCGCTCTAAGCACCTTACCAATACAGCCTGGGAACTGCCACCTACACCTGGAGACACCCCTTCAGGTTTGTATTTTAATGTGTTTAAATAACATTAACATAAATGCCCTCTACCAGTCAGAAACAGTCTGCAATGCACATCATGAATCTTTGTGTGCTGGGATTATAAACATGTGCCACCACTGCTAGTCCCTCCATCTGTTAGTTTTACACCTACAGAGAACAGTAAGCACCTGCCAAGGGGACAGGGCACAGCTACACATGAAATAATCACAAAACAGTTAGAAACTTCAGCACCATCTTGTATCGAGACCCACCTCTTGTTTAAGTGCAACATCACTGGGCATGGTGGCACATGCCTGCGATGCCAGCACTCAGAAGGCTGAGGCAGAACAAGGCTAGCCTGGACTACATAATGAGTTCAAGGCTAGCCTAATCTATACAGTGAGACTGTCTCAAATCCCCACCAAAAAATGAAAATAAAAATAAAATTAGTATCATGATAAGTGCTTCTTAATCCTTCTTACTTTAGGAAGTAATTAAAGCCACTAAAATCAACTACAATGCGTTGGTCAAAGCACAAAGCTGAAGTCACTCACTGCCATCCAAGCCTTCACTCACTGCATCACCACCATACAGCAAAGAACCTGGGGGCCGGGGGTGGGGGGCAGGCATCCTGGGTCCTTGCAGCCCTGGTTCCCAAAGGAGACACTGGAGGTGGGTGGGGTTCAGGTCTGCCCAGAGACTTTGGGTTCACTCCTTAACCTTAACACCAGCCCAAAACTGAGCTGGCTGTGGGAAGACTGCTGTCACAAAAGAGGGAAGACATGAGCAGGAAGAAACGCCCCACCAAAGCCAGCACTCATGACACTGTCAGAGGCTCCTCCTCGAAGGACCCTCAGTAGAAGGTGTGTGGTTTTAGTTATAGTATCAGAATAACTGGGTCCTGGGAAAAACCACTCAATACCTCCAATCAGCAGGAAACTCGGAATAGATATTGTGTAGAGTAGTATTTTCATTTTGTTTCCAGTTTGTAACCCTCACACCTGTCGTCTAACCAAGTATTTTTTTGTTTTTGGAAGCACCGGAAATTTGAATACAGGATATCCCAGGAGCTAAGAAAGCGCTCTGCCACTGAACTATATCTCTACCCGTTTCCCTTCAGACAGTGCCTGCCTAAACTGCCTATGCTGGTCTCGAATTTGTGATGTTCCTGCGGTAGTCCCCCCCCCCCCCCCCCCGAACAGCTATAACTGCACACTTGCGCCCCCACCTGGCACTCTTACTCCTGTTTGGTGTTTGAGACAGGTTCTGCTGCACAGTTCAGGCTGGCTCTGAACTTGAGTGAGTGGCCTCACCTCTCCTCCAGTGTTACTATGATGTATTTTACTTTATCTCTATAAACTGTCTCGACCTCTCTGGCAAGAAGATAAATCACTCACACATTCACATTCATGCAAGGACTGTTGGCTAACCCCTTAATCCCAGCTAGAAGGCCAAGGATTGCTACATAAAATATGCCGCTGTTGTGGCACATTTACACAGCATCTGCACAACACCTGCTAGGTTCTGGGTTCAATTCTCAGCATCCATAGGAAAGGATAATAAAATCTTATTTAAGTTTCTGAGGTATTTGCAGTATTTCGGATCAAACCCCAAGACCTTGTGCATGCCAGGCCAGCACTCTACCACTGTGTTAGAGCACCTCAGCCTAAAGTCCTAACCACCATATTTATACTAATCTGGAACAAAACACACATTTTATAAACTGGAGGCCAACTTGACCATGTCTCAGAATAAAAAAGTGGTAGGTTGCCCCAGGTTCCCGTCCCAATACAGAGGGGAAAAAAAGATTTTTCAATGCAATGTGTGTAAATTTTCAGCATTTACAAACCAGTAAATATTTTGTAACAGTACAGACGAAAAAAATGGGAAGGGGAAGTGGAGGGGGGAGGAAGGAAGAGTAAAGAAAAAAATGAGAAGAAAAAAATGGAAACAAAGCTTCTGTAAATAAGGAGGAAAACGAGTTGAAGGAGGGTTGGGGTATAGGGAAAAAAATCAAGATATACTGCCAGGTATTGAACATGCCTATAATCTTAGCACCTGGGAGGCTGAGGCAGGAGGACTGCCTCAAACTCAAGGTCAGCCTGGGCTACATAGTGAGTCCCTCTCTAAAACAAAGCAAAACAAAAAGGGTGGAAGGGGGGCCAGAGCCACAGCAGGAGGCCCTTGGTTTCACCCCCAGGGCTGGAAAAATCAATTGGCTCTCTGGACTGGGTGAGCAAAGCCCCTCCTCCGATGTCCGGCTTGCTGATCAACCCAAAGGTGAGCACCAAGATAACCCCAGGCAAACAGGTACCCCCCTTCCACAGTGAGACAAAGACCAGGTTCCACTGTGGGAGAGGAGGAGCTGGAAACAGCTGAGGAGAGGGCATTCTCAGAAAGAGCAAGACTGCACTCCAGCACCTCTCTCCACAAGGAGAACCACGCCTACAGCTTCCAAACTGCATCCAATGTATTGACTGCCACAGCTGAAGATGAGCGCCTCTCCTGCCTCATCTAAAGCCACATCTTTGATAAAGTTTGCGTAAGGCAAGTAAACAGTGTGAATTCAAAACACCAAGGGAAAATTAGGATACCTGCTGGCATGGTTATTTTCCTTTCATCAGAGTCTAATTAGGAGAAAAATCCTGATTTTCTAGGTCTGTTAGATCTTCATTTTGGAAAAGCCCAAAAGGTCTAACAGATATACAAGGTGAACACAGCTACACACTTAGCAACTAATTTTGTTCTCCTTTGAAAAAAGAAAAGTAGGACCTGGGGATTCAGCTCAGTGGCATAAGTGCCTGCGTTGGGAGCAGGCAAGTCGTGAGTCGTTCCCTGGTACCAATAAAAAAAATAAAAAAAGTAAATTAAATCGCTAGGTTCTGGATCTATATTTTCTTCCACTCTCAAAATATTTTTCAGAAGTTGCTTTTACTGTTTAAAAATATTTCTTCATTACATAATCTTAATTTAAATTTTAAACATCCTTTCTACAAAGGATAACCTAGTCTTATTTCCTCAAAGCTACCTTCATTTGGGAAGGGAAGTGGAAAGCAACTTTCTATGCTGTTCCGACCTGTTACAGTTTTGTACACCTAATCACAGACAACTGAATAAGGAACCCACAGCTAGCTACCTCGTGGTACTGAACTGGGCACCAGCACAGACATCTCCTGGTGGTCCTCACCAACCCCATATTCAGTGTGTATCCGTCTTCTCTGCCCACTGCCACCACAATTCACACCGAGCCAGATTCCCATAACCTTGGACCAGTGCCACCGAGCCCACCTGACCTTCCTCTCGGGCAGCACAGACAGCATCAGGTATGTAAACCTCACCTGATGCTGGCAGAGGACTCCATCACCTAAGTGTCACATTTCTAATTTCTCTTCAAAAATATCCCATGGAGTAAAACTGGCCATTTACAATTTACAAATGGAAGCAACAAGACACTCAGAAAGTAAACAACCTGAATCCCAACTCAATGTCTTTTCATGTGTCATCCTGGCGATACGAACCCTAATTATTCTGGAGTGTTTCAGAAAAATCAACTCTTGAACTCACATGATAAAAATACCTTATGTTACTTATTTCTAAGTGCCTCATCAAAAAAATCCTATGAATTCTTTAAGATCTCTTCATTAGATGCACTCTTTCACATGGTACAGGGACAAATCTCATCTCAGATTTCAGAGATGACTTGGTCATGTTTAGGTGCTGTAAGACAGTGGAAAAGACCTTTTGAGTAAGTTTCGTTGTTTTGAGACAGAATGTTGCTTTGTACTTCTGGCTGAGACAATTCTGCCTCAGCCTCCGGAGTGCTGTGGCACCTTATCTCTGTTATCTTTATCCCTTTCCACAGCCCTCACGGAATTTCAGTCTGATACCCTTGTGCCCTTGAAACTCCTAGAATGCAGGCTACACTTGACACATCTTGACTAAGAGCAACCTGAAGCTATAAGCTATAAAAGCTAAGAAATTAACATCTGAATCCTACAATTTGTCAGCAGATCCTCCTGCCTCAGCCTCCAGTGTTGGCTGAGGTCTTACAGGCATTGATCACCAAAACCAACTGATACTCTGTTTTAACCTAGTAAAGGCTGCAGAACCAGGAAGTAAACTCTCCAATCTGTAATGGCTATCTCTTACAACAGACAACTTCCTCACTTTAACCACACAAACACAAAACAGCCTGGCCCCAGCACCTTGCACAGTGAGATGAGCCTGCAGCTTCTGCTGAAAAGTACCAGGGCTGAAGGATCCTCGAGGGTGTGCCCACATCCTCTACTGCTTCATTTATAATTGTCCAGTTCTCACACCTGATTTTTAAAGTCTTAACTTGGATAAAAACATGATACTTAGGTAACAGTACTATGGAATAAATTAGTCAATCGGATAGATTTTTTATGCCCTATGAATGAGCATAAAGCCTAACAGTAAAACAAAGTACACAAAACACAGGAGTAACAAGTAGAAAATATTGCAAAGAAAATTTGAAGAAGGCAATCTGCAAAAGCAATCTCAGAAAGTAAAATGTGGTAAGGGAGAAAGATGTAAAAGGTATCCAGGTGTCATGTACCTGTTCCAGCCCCCCATGATGAATGAGTGACCAGAGATATAGCTCCGTGGCACTAGCACCTGCCTGGCTAGTGCAAGGTCATGGGTTCAATCGTCAGTACCAAAAAAAACAAAAAAACTTTTGGGGGGGCTGGGAGTGATATGCATGCTTAAAATCCTAGCACTTGGGAAGCAGAGGCAGGAGTATCGCTACAGGTTTGAGACCAGCCTGGGCTACAAAATGAGCTCAAGGCCAGCCTGAAATGCATAATAAGACCCTGTTCTCAAAAGGACCAGAAAAAAAAAAAAAGACTTGAGAGTACAACTTAGTGGAGAGCAGTTGCCAGCATTTGTGAGCTCCTAGATTCTAATCCTAGTGTCAAACCAAAAAGAAAAAAAAGTACACACAAATGAAGCACTACAACCTCCTATGAAGTAAAGCTTTTTTCTACAGAAAACTTGAAAAATGCAGAAGTACAAATTGAAAAATCATTGTAGTGGGCCTGGAACACAGCTCAGCGGCACAGTGCCTGCCTGGCAGGTATAAGCTCCTGAGTTCAATTCCCAGTATCCACCAAAAACCCTCAAAAACAACAACAAAAATCATTTGTAGTTTCCTTTGAATCTTTTACCAATATAAATATAGTCAGTTCTGGGGTGGTATAGCTCAGTGGTACATCCTATGCCCACCATCAACAGGGTCCTTGGGTCCAATCCCCAGGACAGGGAGGAAAACAAGCTTCACTTCTTGTTCTATGGTTTAGCTAACAAAACCAGTTTCTCAGCACCCAAGGAAGCTGAGGCAGAAGGATCACACCTTACAGGCCAGCCGGGGCAACTTTATGAAACTGCCTCTAAATAAATAAAATGGACTCAGGATGTGGAACACTGTGCGGCTTTCTCTGTATTAAACAAAAATAAACCAGAACAACAATGACAAAAACCCTAGTGTTTTTATTATGTGTTTAGGTTTTTTTGAAGCAAGGCATTGCTTTGAGTGCAGGCTGGCCTTGAACCTCTGGAGATCTCCTGCCTCAGCCTCTCAAGTGCTGAGATTACAGGCATGCATCACCACACCCAGCTCCTAAAACCTGTTTTTAACTACTCTATTTTCTCACCTGTTTCAATTTTAAAGTATTTCTCATAACCCTTAAGCACTATCTTGGAATAATTTTGACAGCCTGAATAGAATCTCAATCAGTACAAATGTATTAATGCAACATCTTCACTTTCCAAATCCTTTCTCCTGTGTAACCTGAAGTCAAGAAAGAAAACCACGACACTATCTAGATGTGAAAAAAATCCCCTGAGAAATGTGCATCCTAGCAGAATTTAAACCCACACACCTGTAACCCCGGCAGCCTGAGAGGCTGGAGCACCAGGACCTAGATCAAAATTAGATTTTAGTAATAAAAAAAAAAGTGGGGATGTAGCCCCATCTGAAATAGTGACACGTTATACACCACCCAGTGGCAGTGGCCTTATTGGCAAAGGCAAATTACTCCTAAAACTGCAGTACCAAAGTAGTTGCCTATTCTAGCTTTAAGAAAGCCACATCCTGTTTCTCAAAGCACAAGCAAACAGGGCAGGCAGGGCAATGTAATCCCAGTTCGTGGGGAGGCCAAGGTCATAGCCAGCCTGGGCTACATCGTGCGACCCTGTCTATTAAAAGAAAAAGGTTAGAGGGGGGCAAATTTCACCATACAACAAAGCACCTTCAATGGTCGAGCTCCTTAAAATCGCGCGCCTAAACTGGGCGTGGCGGCTCACGCCTGTAATCCCTGCACTCCGCAGGCTGAGTTCCAGGCCAGCCTAGATTATCTGGTGAATTTTAGGCCAGCAAGAATTACAAGGCGAGATCCTGGCTCAAAGGATCGGCCCCGCACACACACCAAAAGATCGACCGACTGTAATCCCCGCTCCTCGGAGGCGGAGGCAGCAAGACTACAAAGCTAGAGCGCAGCGCCGGCAATGTAACAAGATCCTGTCTCAAAACACTCAAAAGGGCTGTTGATATACTTGAGTGAAAAGTCCTAAACTAGAGAATGAAAAACAGAAAAGGGGTGGTGGAAGCGGTCGCGGAAGCACGGTTGGAATCCCCAAGAGAGACACCGCCGCGCGGGACAGCTGGGAGCGAGTTCGGGCCTCCGCAAAAGCGGCGCTCGGGCGGGAAGCGCAAGGGAAGGGATCCGCTCCCGCCGGCGGACGCAGAGAGGAACCAGAGCACCAGTCCCAACAGCTGGGTCGCAGCCGGGCGGCCGGGGGACAAGGGATTCGTGTTGCCGGCGAGGAGGCGCTCTGCACCCGCCGCAGTCCCGCCGCACGCAGACTGGCCAGGACGTCAGGCCTCGCGCCGGGACGCCGGAACGTAGCCCTCGCCGCCCGACCCGCAGCGCTCCGCACCTACCTGAAGCGAGCACCCCGACCCACGGCGTGCTGTCGCGGTGGCGACTGTGACCCTCGGTGCCGGTGACACCTCATAAAAACAACCAGATCGCGGCAGCCAGAGGCGGGGCCTGAGCGCGGCGCATGCCGGGAGGCGTAGTCCCGCTTGCGCCCTGGGCCAGGCGCCTAGTGCCCGGTGAACTAGAATTCCCAGGGAGCTGCGCGCCGCCGGAAGTGGTGGGGCTCTGGCCCTCACAACATCCGGTCCTTGAGCCTGACCTGTTGCTATGGAGACGGCGGCAAGCGCGGGAGAGAACGTGCGACGTGTAGCTTGCGGCTAGCAAAGCCTCCCGGACAGGCGAACTGGGCCACAGGTGGACCTCGGCAGGACTGCTCACGGAAGGAAGGATCGTCGGACGAAAGGATCTAGCGGGCGGATGGCGCCTGGGCGGGTCGGTGCAGAGCTAGAGGGTTTTGGGAATCTGCATTCTTTGACTCGGAGGCTACCCCTCCTCTCACCCTAGAAATCATCCTTCCCACCGGCCGTGAAGCTTTGCGCTTGCAAACCTAGCCACACGGTTCTGGAGGTGGAGAGGGACAGAGGTCACAGTTCCTGCCTTGTGCAGCTCTGTAGAGGTTCTATTTCATCATTCGCGTTCTAAAGGGCTTTGTGCTTTGTTAAACTTGACCAAATAATGTGTAAATTTTCCCCCGCTCTGGGTGGCAATACTTGGGATTGAAGCCTCAACCACTGAGCTAGTCAGTACATCCAAAGGACACTTCATGTGGGTATTATGATTCAGATGCTCAATCACAGTGTTCATAGCTTCAGGTTGTTGAGAGGCGTGTCAAACTTAGATTGTATACCAGTGGATTTACATGAAGTCACAAGGATGTTAGATGAGATGAGGGTTCTTGTTGAATGGCTATTGAAGGGATAAAGATAGCCCAGGATAAGCCTGGAAGGATGATTGTAATGAATTCAAGGTCAGGCCAGAACTGTTTCTAAAAAACCAAAACAAAACAACAAAAGAGAGCTCAAGATAACTTTAGCTCTTGATCTGCCATATTCCTTGATTTGCAGTTGTGATAGTCTAGTGAGCCAAGGCCCAACAATCTGCATGTAGATCTTCATGGAGATGTGGCTCAATGGCTACACCCCAGACCAAAAGTAAACATGCTTTATCTCATTTTAGACTTGAAGAAATTGAGATTACACAATGGTTAGTTCTAGAATTTCTGAAGAATCTCAGCCTCGTGAATGACAGGTCTATTGCAGTCTTGAAAGAAAAAGAAGAGAACTTCAATGCATATAAACATTGCTCTAGGTTTTGGTGGGAGGCTGATTTGAGACTGGGCTGTGTAGTGCAGGCTGGCCTCAGAACCACTGCCACCCTCTCTGCCTGAGCCTCCCGAGTGCTGGGGTCACAGGTGTGTCCCACCACATCTGGCTCACACTGTTCTATTTAAAGTCACATTTAAATTTCTTGTCAAGGCAAAAGCCAGTTATCCTAGCATTCAGACTGAGGCAGGAAGATCAAAATTTGCAAGTAATTTAGCTACTTAGACCCTTTCTCAAAATTAAAAATGACTGGGGATGGAGCTCAGTGGTGGAGCACCCCAGGTTCCGTCCCCAGTATCACACATCATCACCATTGGCTTATCTTTTCCCATGGGAGATGGGCACAGTACAAGTTTCCCAGTGAAACTGTTGGCTGTTGTGTGACCCACCTGGCCCACAGCCTGCCATTCTCCAGACCCCTGCCCACCTCAGTCAGCTTCTCCAGGCTGCCTCAGCTCCTTCTGACCATGATTTTGCTGGGCAGAGTCCCAGGAGGTTCCCTGACTCCTATCACAGAAAAAGTTTTCAAGTCGCATCAGTAAGAGGCACAGAGGGGTTTGTTTTAGGCAGAAATCTTAAAAGTATTCATTGAAAGAAAGTGCAGGGCCTCAAAAGATGTAAAATACCTTTACAGGATTTGAGGGTGATGGGCCTAGAAGAAAAGCATAAACAAAGAATATTGATATGAATGACCTTGAGTAGCTGCTGGAATCCGAGTCTCTTTTTATAATTATTTTTTTGAGATATGGTCTCACTGTGCAGTTCAGGCTGTGCTGAACTCTTGGCAGTCCTCCTGCTTCAGCCTTGCCAGTGCTAGGATTACAGGTGTACCACCACATTCCCAAAACATCCTGCTCAAAAAGTGATCTATTTATTTGGCGGTGGTGGGGCTTAACTTGGCCTCATGATGCTAGGCAAGTGCTCTGCTTCCAGGCTATACTCCCAGCTGCTATTACATCTCACAGCTCTTTTTTTGGCAGGAGCCCCTTTATTTCTTCCTGTGAAGGGGCGATGAGCCAGGCAGCTCCCCTGTCCTTCTTGCAGGTCCCAGCACAGGCCAAACTCCCCTCCAGCTGAGGCAGAGGCCAAGTGTGAAGTCAGCCCTGAGTCCCAGGGCAGCACAGCACCACATTAGCCAGGTGACAACTTCCCAGCAAGGTGGCTTGGCAGGGCCTCTGGTGGGCAGAAAGCCCAGGTTGTGTTTGCAGAACTGACCTGTCAGGAGCCTGATGCCCTCCTCCTGGATGATCCAACCAATAACTTACTGCTTTTTTAATACATGAAGAATTGGTGTGTTTCAGGATTCAAATCAAATTACATTGGGATCACTGGCATATGGCACCAGGCTTATGCGAGTGGTTCAGTAATGTAGTTCACGGTGCTGTTGAGCTCACAATGTAGACCAGCCTGACCTCAAATTTGCAGCAGTCCTCCTGTCTCCCGAGTGCTGGAATCACAGGTGTGCACCAAGCCTGGCATTAAAAACTCTTAAGAAAACAGGAGGGGCTGGAGATTTAGCTCAGTGACTTTGTAAGTGCTTTCTTGGCAAACGCAAGGTCATGAGTTCAATCTCCGGTACCAAAAAAGAAAGAAAGGAAGGAAGGAGGAAAGAAAGAAGGTGAGGGGGGGGGGAGGAAGGAAGGAAGGAAAGAAAACTAGAGCTGAGCTGGTGGCACATGCTTGTGATCCCAGCACTCAGGAGGTTGAGACAGGAAAATTCCCACGAGTTGCAGGTCAGTCTCAACTACATAGTTAAGGCCAGCCTGACTACATAGCAAAACCCTGTCTCAAAACAACAAAATACAATTTTTAAGTTGTTATTTTCTTGTCTCAGATCCACCATCCTTTATTTCTTCTGTCTTATCTCAGCTGGCTCCACCTCTTGTAAGGACAAGGAAGCCCTGTGCTCAGGTGAAGCCAGGAGTGGCAGCTGAGCCTCCAGGACCTGTGCTGGGGCCTCAGACTCTCACCCCACCCCCACAACTTGCTGTGACCCAAGAGGAAGAGCCTCCGGCAAGCTGGGGTTGAAAATCCAGCTCCACCTTGCATCCTGTCCTTATTTGAGGCACTGTCCGCCTTTATGTCCAATTTAATTAGCAAAGTTAAAAGAATGAGTGGCCTTAAAAATGACTTTGTCACAGCTGGACACTGTAGCACACACCTGTAATCCCAGCACTGGGAGGCTGATGCAGAAGAAATGTTCAAGCCCAGCCTTAGTAAGTCAGTGACTTAGCAACGCTGTCTCAATAATAAATCTTAAAGGGCTTGGGATATGCTTCACTGCAACAAAAACGAAACAGTGTAAAGGGAATTTAAAAAAAGCTTTCTTACATTGAATTTTTTTTCTTTTTTTTGCAGACAGGAGGGGCTCACTATGTAGTTCAGGCTGGCCTTGAACTCAGTAATCCTCCTGCCTCAGCCTCCCTAGTACTGGGATTACAGGCATGTGCCACCTGAGTTTTTTTGATAGAACCTTCAAAGGCCAAAAACCTTTCAGAAGTATTGAGACCAGCTGTGTCACTCGTCCCCGTAATGTAGCACTCTAGGCCGCTGTGGCAAGAGGGGCTACAGGTTCGAGCCAGGGTTGAAGGCTGGGGATGTAGCTCAGTGTGAAGGCTCAGTCCCCAAGGATGCAAGGGGAAAAGGCCACAGGAATTCCCAAAACAGAGAACAAGGCGGGCTTTCCATGATCTGTGGTGAAGTGAGGTCACCAGAGTCAGATTCCAAATCTAAAAGATAATTCAGCTGTTGGCGCTGGCTCAGTCCCTCTTCCCTCAGAATTTAGATTGCCTGGCAGAGTACAAAGGGAGGAAAGGGCACCTCACAAAGGACAGTCCGCTAAGGAATGGCCCCTGTGTCACCAGGGAATCACTCAGACTCGGGGCGTCTGAGGATAAGGCCCGCTTGTGTAGTGTAATCTACTTAGCACAGGTGAACAAGGTGTGCCGTCACGCACTACATAAGAACGTAAACTGAGATGTCAGCCTGTAAGAATTATGCACACAGTAAAGATGCGGGCAGCTCTTCACCCTCGAACTCTTATGCTTTGATCCATGCTGCTTGCTGTTGTTGCTGATATCTTGTACCCAATGTTCTTTAATCTTGGGGCCTCACCCAGGAAAGTTCTGCCCCTCAGGGCAGATGGATACTCCTCGTACCCCTCGGAGGTAATCATTACTATGAGACCTGGTGGTGCAAGCCCATCGCCTACTGCCCTTGCTGCCGGGCAGGCAGGCGAGGGCACAGTCAGGGAGCCTGGACTAGGGTCTTTTAAAAAAAAGAAAAAGTGGGCTGGGGATTTAGCTCAGCAGCATAAGCGCCTGCCTCACAAGCAGGCAGCTGTGAGTTTGATCCCCGGTACCGATAAAAAGGAAAAAGACAAAAAAAAAAAAAAAGTATTGCCGGAGATTTATCTCAATGGTATAAGCGCCTGTCTGGCAAGCATGAGGTCATAAGTTTGATCCCCAGTACCAAAAAGAAAAAAAAAGTGGTATAAACCAGGTATAGTAGCACATGCCTGTCAACCCCAGCATTCTGGAGTCTCAGGCAAGACCAGTGATTTCAAGGCCAGCCTGGACTATACAGTGAGACCCTGTCTCAAAAACAAGCAGAGCTTTGAAATACCGTCTTTATAATTGGTCTGGTTCAGCCTGTCAAGAACCTAGAATTAACAGGCCTATACCGCTATGCACAGCTATTTCTTTGGTATACAATTCAAAACTAAGGTTCAGTTATGGCGCCTGCGCACGTGCGTGCAAACGTGCGTGTGTGGTGTGCCAGGGATGAACCCGGGGTCTTGCAGAGCACTGGCGCCGCAGGTGCGCACCCCATTCCTGCCCCAGCCCTTCAGTAGTTACCCACTCCCTACAGAGAGCCAGGCTCACGGCAACCCCGTGAGGTGCAGCTGTTTCCCCTGGACCGATAAATGTGACAGGTGCCCGGCAGCTGTGCCTTAGTCATGGGCTGGTATGTTAGCTCTGCTTCCAGGTGGGCGAGTTGTCTGGTTTAAATTCTTCTACATTTATTATTGAGTGGTAGGTGCTATAGCATTATTGGACTTTTTTAAAAAAACGAATTTTGGCAGTGCTGGAAACTGAACCCAGGGCCCTGCAAATCCCTGGACTGGAGCTCTACCTCAGGGCTAGGACCTCAGGTGCAGCACAACTCAGACCACCAAGAGGTCTTGGCTCTGGCCCTGCAGCTCCTGATCCCACCTGTCTCCTCACCTTGCTCCCCTCAGAGGTTTAATGAGCCTTGCCTGCTGACACCCTAGATAAGAGCCCTAAACAGCTCCCTGAAGACTTGGCGTTTCTCCTCACACCACTCACCACAAAGTTGTGTAATTATTTGCTTACTGGCTGTCCATCACAAAAACTGAGTTGAACCTTCTCTTCCAACTGTAATTTATTACAGATTTTCCCAATGTTTACAATGTTACTACAAATTCCCACTGGGTTTTTTTTTTTTTTTTTACAAATTTGTAATAAATTTTCATGGTATGAGTAAAAGATATTGGTATTGTTTTGCTTTTGACTTTGTGGCACCGGGGGTTGAACCTAGAGCTGTGGCACTGAGGTACATTCCCAGCTCTTTTTTGACACAGGGTCTTGATACATTGCTGAATTGCCTAGACTGGACTCGAACCTGCAGCCCTCCTGCCTCCCAGAGCACCAGGGTTACTGGCATGCAGCGCCATGCCCAATTTAGTGTAAAGTTTTTAAAAATTCTTTCATGTGCATGTCTGGCAGCTTTGCTCTGTACAGAGCAAAGTCTTGAGTAGGTGTCCTTTTCAGTGCTTTCAAACGAGATCAGAGTGGAGCCACAGGGCCGCTGTACTGTGTGGTCATTGATGGACTTCCTGTGCTTGCCTCTTAGGATGGGAAGAGGAGCATTTCGGCAGCAGGCTCAGACGCAGAAATGCAAGCTGCCCGGCAGCCCCCGTGCCTGAGCCCCGGCAACCCCGTCTTCTCCTGCATGCTGGACCCCAAAACGCTGCACACCGCCACCTCTCTGTCGAAGCCCGAGATGATCATGTACAAAACCAGCGGGGGTCGCTACGGGGAGTTTTCCCCACTGCCGCAGTTCCTGCCCTGCAGTTACATTCCGAAGGAGCAGGGGTTTTCAAACCATATCAGAGCAACGGGACTTTTTCAGAACAACACACTCAATACTGCGCTTGACAGAACCAGAACCATTGATTTCCCCAATTTTCAACATACTCTGTGAAAACATATTCCTCTGAAAATTTAAGAGACAATGTACCCAGAAAAATGAGTTGCAAATCTAAAGCTAGAATACTTAGATTAAAAACAGATCTGAATAAATGAAAATATACCACTAAGAAATACAGACATTTTCATTCATCACTGACAGTGACTTTTTCTCCTCCTTTTTTCCAGATAGGGTCTCTGCTGTGTAAGCCAGGTTAGCATGGAACACCCAGTCCTCCTGCCTCAGCCTCTCAAACTGCCTGGGTCACATAGCCAGGGTTTGTTGAGTCTCCTGGTTGCCCATGCTGGTCTCAAGGTGGCAACCCTTCTGACTCAGCCTCCCAGTGTGACTAAAGGAAAATGTGCTGCCTTTGTCTTTTTTCTATGCTGGGGATTGAACCCTGGGTCTCGGCATGCAAGCTGGCTCTGCTCCACTACTGAACTTTACTTCTTCCCTCCCCACTCTTTCTTTTGAGATGGGGTCTTGCTAAGTGGCCTTGGCTGGGTTTGAACTTGCAGTTGGAGAGCTGGGATTAGGGTGTCAGCCATACAATCTGCACCTTTTGTTTTTGTTTTGCTTTGCTTTTTTGAGGCAAGGTCTCACTATGCAGCCCAGGCTGACCTCAAACTTTTGGTATCTTCCTGAGTGCTGTTTGTGGGGAACCATCCAGACAACTTGAAAAGAGCAACTCTGTCCTTTGTGGATAAACCTGGCCCTACCTCGAAGTTTCAGTATGTACAGAGCTGGCTGAGCTATTTCTTTGTCCCTTCAATGGGTTTTAAGCAATGTGAATTGGGCTGACTGAGGAGCTGATGTGTAATCTCTAAGACACAGTGACAGGTTGGTGTTACCCCACCGACTGACCCCCCAAATACGTGGCTGAGCCAGGTGGCATGGAGAGCCCACTCCACACTGTTGGCTGGGACTGAGCCTCAAGAAAGAGGCTGTGACTTCCCAGAGCAAAAAGGTTTGTACATCAGAGCAGAAACACCGACCCCACATTATTTGATAGTATCTCAGTTGTGTTATGCAGATTGCTCTCTGCATTTCTTGCCCTCTGTTCAAGGCCTCCTACCTAGCCCAGCTGACTTCCCACCACTCTGTTACTCATCCCCAGCCCCTCCCCTCGTGGAGAATTAATAAAACCTAGGAATGGCCTGGGTCAGGGCCTTTGTTCCGGTGAACACCATCTTGGCTGGACTTAGGGCCCCTGGCTCCCCACAACTGTGTGTATGTCTGTGTCTGTCTTCTTGCTGTGGGTTGCACTGGAAGTGGTAGATTGGAATTAACTCACTAGAATTTCAATAACTTCTTGGGATTATAAATATAAACCTTCCTGGACCGAATCGAGAACAAGCCTGTCCATGAGACAGGCATGCAACCAACTATGCATCCTTTCTGTGGCCCTTCTGGTGTGGAAAGCCAGCCTCACGCTCAGCTCACAGAGACGCTTCCTCTGTCTTGTAAAAGGATTGGCTGCACAGTCCGTTAAGACCTATTAGCTGAATAAGCTGTAGTTTTGGTTTTGGAAAATGGCCAAAGTGGGCCAGGGATTTAGCTCAGCAGCACAAGTGCTTGCTTGGCAAGTGCAAGGTCATGCATTTGATCCCTGGAACAGGAGAAAAATAGTCCAGTTTTTGTTTTTAAAACAAAGTTGGAGATAAGGTTTTCTCAGAACAGTAGTTGTTTTTACAGGCTTTCCTGGTCTAAGCATCATCAGCCAGTGGCAACCAGGTCGTAAAGAAAAGCCAGGCTTGGTAGCTCTGTGAGGGGGAGGGACTGGACCTAAAGGTATTTACCCCAGTATGGCAGCATGGCGTGGCAGACCTGACGTGGCAGACATGACACACAGACCAGCCCTCCATGAACTCAGCAGTTCACTTGAGGAAGCCACATGGTTAGACACTACTAAGTGTCACCATGCCATGCCAAGGATTTTGTTCCAAAAGCAACTGTAATTCAGTAACAAACAATGTTACAAATATATTAACTATATGGTAATTCTTTTGTTAAAATTTTTTAAGTATTATAATTCTTGTTAGAAATTATATAAAGCAAATGTTTCATTTTCTACAGATGTCTAATGTGTAGCCCTTCAAGCAGTAAAGTATTAAAACAGTACATGGATTCCATACAATCATCTGTAATGTGTACAGAGATTCCCAACAGCTCCAGTTTGTTTTGTTGAAACACAATCTCATATATCTCGGGTTGGTCTGAACTCTAGATCTTCCTGCTTCAGCCTCCCAAGTGATAGGAGCTGCCACCACACCCAGCTCCTATTTCTGAAAACTAAAAACCTGGTGTAAATACCTGGTACTCAACTAGCTGCTCCCAGTAGTCACTGTGATTTGAGTTCTGTTCCTTGAATGACATTTCGAATCTTCTCAGCATCATTTTGCACAGTTGTATTGGCTGGGTCAATTCTAAGTGCAGCTTCGTAATCCTGAAGGCCTGCATTCACAGAGCAACAGTGATAAACACATACTTTATGAGTAATTAACAAGGGAATACCTGTATTATAAACATAAATTTTAAATCAGTTTCCCTACCCTTACATATGATAATATCCCTACCAGATTAGAGGCATTCTTATCTGATTTAGAAAACAGTTACTTTTATTCAGGGTCCAGAAAGAAGCAGCTGGGGCTGGGGATTTAGCTCAGCGGCATAAGTACCTGCCTTGCAAGCAGGCGGTCGTGAGTTGGATCCCCGGTACCGATAAAAATGAAAAAGACAAAAAAAAAAAAAAAAAAACCAGAAAGAAGCAACTCTCCCAGCATGGTACTGTAGGCCTGTGTAACTCCAGCACTCAGGAGGCTGAGGCAGGAGGATCACTGTGAGTTTGTGTTATACAGTAAGGTCAAGGCCAGCCGAAATTAAACAGCAAGAGCCTATCTCAAAAAAAAAAAAAATGCAGCAGCTATTTTACTTACTTTATTTATGGTACTAGGGGTTGAACCCATCCCTTTGTTTTCTTATGTAGGACAGGGTCTTGCTGAGTCACAACACTGCCAGGGCTGGGTTGGCATTGCTGATCCTCCTGCCTCAGCCTACCCTAGTATTGGGATTATGGTGTGCACCACCGTACCTGAGTGGCTATTTTAAATCTAAATGCAGAAAAACTAACAGTTTAAGCTCGTTAAAATACAAACAGGCTCAGCCAGGTATGGTGGAGCATGCCTATAATCCCAACATTCTGGTAGGCAGAGGCAAGAGGACTCCAGCAAGCTCCAGGCCAGCCTGGGCTGCACAGTGAGGCACTGTCTCAAAAAACCAAACTGAGCTGAGTTCAAGGACAGACTAGACTACCAAGTGAGTTCAAGCCAGCTGAACTACAAAAAGAAAAACGAAAATGAACATATTATATAGATAACTAAATTGGGCAGAAATATTCCAGGCAGTCAGAGTGGGGTGGGCCCTCAAGAGAGTCAGGTGCAGAAGATGACAACACCTTACCACTGTGGCTGGAGGCGCATCTGTGGGATGCCACGCCTCATGATAAAGCCAAAGGACCCAGCCTATATGTTCAAACCGGGTGTGGTGGTAAGTGTTTATAATCTCAGCACTTGGGAAGCTGAGGCAGGAGGATGGTTGCCAGTTCCAGACCAAACTGGGTTGCAAAGTGAGTTCAAAGCCAGGCATGGTGGCTCATGCCTGTAATCCCAGCACTCGGGAGGCTGAGGCAAGAGGATCATTGTGAGTTCAAGACCAGCCTGGGCTACAAAGTGAGCACAAGACCAGCCTCAACTGCATAGCGAGACCCTGTCTCAAAAAGACAAACAAAACAAAACAAAGTGAGCTCAAGGCCAACCTGGACTGCATAGTGAGACTCTGTCTCAAGACCTTATCTCAAAACAAAACAAAACAAAACAAAACAAAACAGGCCTATGTGCTTCCCCAAGGGATAAGAGATACACTGGACCAGTAAAGTCTAGAGACAGCATCAGCTCAGTGAGTGGCCAAGACTGTTGGACCCACCACTTCCTGAGGAGTGCTTTGTTCTTCCCATGAGCACCTGCTGCCTGACTTGCTTCCCCCAATGAATCGGTGTTACCCAGCTGCTACCCTTATTGGTTGATCATAGCTTTAACCCCCACTGGACCCACCTTGTGATTTTGTTCTATAAAGCTTCCTCCAGAAAGGGGGCTCATTGGCAACCCACTCGGGGTCCCTCCTGCCCCTCAGGAGCTATCTCTACCCCTCAATAAGTATTTCCCATTCTTAACCTCTGCTGTTCCTTGGCATTCATTCTTTGATTCTGGGAAACAGGAACTCAGCATTTCAGACATCTAGTGGGCTGGGAGTTATAGTATTTTTCATTTGCAGGTGCTCTAGCATTTCCCATATCAATAAACTTGAGTTTACACATCTAGAGAATACATTTAATCACATCAATGAAAATGCAACTCAGAAATCCTAGGTACGAGAACACTGGGGACCGAACCCAGGACAGGTACACAATAGGCAATAGCTGCCCAGCAGCCGAAAAGCCAAGACCTCTGCAAAGTTCTGTAGAGCCACTCCACACCTTCTGCTCATGGACAAGGAAGGTTTTTTCTGTAATTATGTACAGAATTCCTTTGAGAAAAGTTGGGTAAAAAGAAAAGTATAGTGGACTTTACTAAAAACAAGCTACACCACTGAGCTATTCCTACAATAAATCTTTAAAATAAAATTCTGGCTGGGGTGGTGGCATATACCTGTAATCACAGGAACCTAGGAGGCTAAGGAAGGAGGAACACAATTTCAAGTCCAGCCTGCACAGCTTATGGACATCTTGTCTCAAAATTTTAAAAGGCTGGGATGTGAAAGGTATTGGATTTAATTCCCTGTACTACAATCAATAAGATTTTAAGAGGTATTTGTATTTTCTGATACATTTCTGATAATAAAGCAAATGCTAAAATTAGAAAATCACAAAGTCCTAAAAGCCACAATCTGAAACAACCCGAAGACATTTTTCCCAGTGCACAGCTCGCCATCGGGAACTTTGCTATCGGTTTCTCACCCTCGACATACAGTTCCAGCTGGCAGAATGCGGCTCCCCGTCGAACATGTGCTTTCATTCTTGCATCCGCATTGTCCGCGACAGGCGGGGTCAGCAGCTCCAAAGCCTTGCAGACATAAATACACACATCACCCACCAGGAAAGCCCAGCGGCCTGTGCTGGGTTTCCGATGCTCAGTCGGTTTTCCAGGACTGCAGGTTGAACCCAGAGCCTTGGCACTGAGCTACATCCCCAGCCCTTCTTTTACAGAGAGACAGATGTGTGGCCCTGTGCCCAGCCATAGCTTCTGAATTTAAATGTAAGAAAAAACATAGTAAAAAGGAAAAAGAAAGTCTCAATCCTTCATCCATATAAGTTTTGATTTAGCTGGAGCAGGAATTTATCAAGAATATACATTTATGTTGAACAGTGTAACGAGTTGTTTGCTCATTCCTGTGTGTGCTTCGGAACTGTGACCATCTGAAGTTGGCAGATTAACCCTAACCAACAGAAATGACTACACAGCAGTGCGATCTTGGTTTTCAGACTGGGTGTCAGTTTATTCTTTCATTCATTCAGTAAATATTTGTGCACAAAATTTTATTGGCCAAAGGAAAACTGGGTTAAATAATATGAGATCAAGGAGGACTGGTGGCACATGTCTGTAATCCCAGCAATCAGGAAGCTGAAGCAGGAGAATCACCATGAGTTCAAGGCCAGTTTACACTACATAACAAGTCCTATCTCAGAAACAAAATAATCTCCCTAAAAGAAAAGGCTGTAGTTATCCAAGACATTTCTATGATAACAATAATAATAATCTTATTTTTTCCAGTGGCCCAATCATGCCAGGTAAGCACTGTTACCATTCAGTTCAACATGCAGCTCCTCCAAGAAATACTATATGGGCAACCAAGACAAACTGGCCTCGCAAATAAGAAATGATATTGGAGAGAGATCTTTCACTCCACAAGTGGCAGAGATAACAAGGGAATGGCACGTGTTTCTCCTTGTCCTGGAAAGCTCTGATAATAACAAAGGTGAGGACAGCTGACAACCATTGCTAATTCCTTGTAAATGGAAAAATATCTGTGATGGTGGTGCCTAATCTAGTGTGAAATCTCAAACACATACCAATTCTCAATGCATAAAAAAAAACAAAAACAAAAAAAGAACTGGTCAGGTGTGGTGGTGCAGGCCTGTAATCCCAGCACTCAGACAACTGAAGCAAGAGGATCACTGCAAGTTCAAGACCAGCTTGGGCTGAAAAATGAGTTCAAGGCCAGCCTGAAGTGCATAATGAAACCCTGTCTTAAAAAGAAAATAATTAAAACAAAAACTCTTAAAACAAACAAAAAACATTAGTAACAGAGGGTATGGTGGCACGTCTGTAATCTCAGCACCAAGGGAGGCTGAGGCAGGAGGATGGCTATGAGTTCCAGGCCAGCCTGAACAGCATAGCAAGACCCTGTCTCAAATAAATGAAAGAGACAGAGACAGAGACAGAGACACAGAGAGAGAGAGAGAGAGAGAGAGAGAGAGAGAGAGAGACAAAGAGAGAGGAAGGAGGGAGAAGAAAGAGGAAAAAAGAGAAGCAACAAGAAGATATAACAGAGGCAGAAGGGGAGCTACTGGTATAACATTTGCATAGTATCATGAGGCCCTGGGTTCAGCCCCCAGCACAACCAGATAAACAAGTAAATCCACTTTTTGATCTAGGTCTGGTGGCACACACCTGTAATCCCAGCACTCCAGAGGCTGAGGCAGGAGGCCCAAAGAGTTCAGGCCAGCCTGGCTACAGAGCAAGTTTAAGGCCTATCTGAACTACATAGTGAAACCCTGTCTCAAAAAACAAGCTAACAAAAGACATAATAAAGTAAATTAATTTTTAAAGACCTCACAGCTCCACTGTTTTAAGAGAAAAAAAAAAGATAGAGAAAAAAAACCCTATGCCCTTATACATGCTAAGCACTCTACCCTCAAGCTAAATCCCAGACTAAAAGCATCCTTTAAACCAATCAATACAGGATAAGAGTTTTTTTGTTTTGTTTTGTTGTTTGTTTGCTTTGGGACAGGGAATGGAACTCGAGACCTTGCACTTGCCAGACAGGTATTTAAACCACTGAGCTAAATTCCCAGCCCCAGGATAAGGGTTTTAAAACATCAGGCAACCCATCCGACCCCTCCTGCCTCTGCTAATCCCTGCTCCCTGGTCCCCCATCCCTATTCCCCATTCCTTTTCTCCAATAAATTTTCCTACTCTTTAAAAGAAAAAGGCTTTTGAAGCATATATACAAGTACACAGACATGAGCATACCGTCGAAGAATCCTCGATGGCCTTGTGCAAGTTTTTCAGTTTCAGGTGGCAGGCAGCACGATTCAGATACAGGACAGGCATCTTGCTATTCAGTCTGATGGCTAAATTGTATGCATTAATCGCAGCCAGGTAGTTTTCTGTGGCAAACAATTTGCTAAGGAGACAAAACCCAGACAAGGTGCTATAATAGAAGTGCAGAGATCTCAGGGCAGGTGGGGCCGGCACCTTCCACCTGGGTTCCATCCTCCTGGCAGGCAGAGGATGACACGCTGGGGGGACTGCCCCTCAGGACACAACTCAAGAAGACACCCACCCAGACTCCACTGCTGACCTGGAAGATCTGCAGGCAGGAAGGCTCACCACTGCATGCCAAGGAATGAAGGGCACAGAGGAACACTGACGGATGGTGGCCCAACAGGCACCCAGGACTGGAGAGGGAGGGGAGGAAGGGAGGCAGTGGCAGCACCTATGAGTGCCCTCTACGGGCAATTACCACCTGTAGTCTGCAGTGGGTCTAGCACCTCCCAACCTCATAACCTGCTGGTCTGTGCAAGTTCACTCTGTGAGGTTTGCAGCAGGACACTGCCCCTGCCAGGCTTGACTATGCAAGTCTGTAATTCTACCACTCAGGAGGCTGAGGCATGAGGATCACTGGCTTGTGGGACCCAACCATTCGCTCGCAGGACCTGACCACTGGCAGGACCCAACCTTTGCTCATGGGACCCAACCCCTCCTTAGCAGGACCCATCCACTTGCTCTCAGGACGAACCTTGCAGGGTGGGATCTGCACTGATCTCTACAGCAGTACAAACAAAAATTCAAATAACTTACTTTCCTTTCTCCTTCAGCCACTCTGGGTTCTTCTCTTCTTCCTTTAAATCACCGAATTCAGGAGCATCAGTGTTCATGGCCCTTCGTGCCTGGGCCTGCTTGTACAGCCACTGAAATGAGAGCAGAGTCTTACAAAAGACACTGTCCTGGCTCATCTAGTGTTGTTCTAATAAAAGCCTGAGCCTGGTGCCTTGCAGGATTTTGAGACAGGGTCTTACTACATAGTAGTCCAGGTTGGCCTTGAACTTACTATACGGCCCAGGATGGCCTTGAATTCAGTGGGCCTCCTGCCTTGGCCTCTTGAGTGCTAGGTTTACAGAGGTTCTCCACCATCCCCACCTCCCATCTCAAGTTTATAAATATATTACAGAAAATGATGTAACTGATAAAATAAATACCACATGCAATAGTTTTTCTCTCTGAATAAGCAACAGTATTTTATATTAAACCAGCCTTCTCTCGACAGTATTCTGAGTCAGGCTGGGAGGTGTACACCTGTAATTCCAGCACTCAGGAGGCTGAGGCTGGAGGATCACTGTGAGTTCGAGGCTAGCCTAAAGGGCAGCATGAGACTGTCTCAAAAAAAAAATATTCTGAGCTAAGAAACCTACAAAATGCAGTTTCTCATGAGAAAATACTGAAATATATCCATGGTGTAGCATCTCTAGCATAACAAATGATTAAATTCGAAACCAGTACCCTTTCTGACATGAAGCAAAGCTAGTGCCACGGGGCACAGTCTCACCTCCTCCTCCTGGGCTGCCTGGGACTCACGCAGGGCTGTCGGGAACACGCGCGGAGTGAAGCTGACCGCAATGCTGCCGGCTGAGCGGGGCGCAGGGACACAGTCTTCCTCGGCCAGCTCCTCAGGAAAGATGCTTTCCAGGTGTCTTCCTTTAAAAGCATGGCAGCAGTGAGTACTGTACTTCCCATTTTCCAGCAAGCACACTGACGGCAAATAATTACAAACCAAAGTTCCCTTCTGGAATGAGCAATACAAAATCCACCACTCACGATAGGGCAGCTAATCTATTCCTTTTGTTCCTTGAGTTTGACAAAATTTATTGGTTATGTTAGTAAAGATATTCATCTTGTTATTTCCTTCTACTCGTGTTGACCTTACATTAATATTTCATTTGGGTCAAGAAAAGAATATGGGGCCAAGTGTGGTGGTGCACGCCTGAAATTCTAGTTCTTGGGAGGCTGAGGCAGGAGGACTGCAGCAAGTTCGAGAATAGACTGTGGTAATAATGAGTTCAAGGCCAACCTGAATTATATAACAAGACAAAAGGAAGAAAGAAAAGACTATGTAGAAGAGTAATTTGGGGAGGGGGTCTTTGGTAGGGGCTGAGCTTTGCCACCATCAGGAGAGAACTAATTGAAGCAGACGCTGGACAGCAAGGAGCTGGCCCTTGTGTGAAGGGTGGACGGAAGGTGCACAAGGCAAAGGCAAGAGGACAAGTCAATAATCTACAGGAATAAAACCTTACAGAGCCACCACCACCACCACGAAGAAAACCCCATCAAAAGTAGGTAGACACACATAAAGACAATATCAAAATAGTGAAAAAGATTTGCAAGAAATAGGACTGGGAGTGATATTACTGGCAAAAAATGAATACATAAAACTTTAATACTGCCATTTATAAAACTAGAAAATGGTGTAGCACATGCCAATAATCCAAGTACTCTTGAAAGCTGAGACAGGAAGACTGAAAATCTGAATCCCTTTGGGGTGGTCTAGTGATTTAATAAGACTCCAATTCAAAATAAAAGTTTCAGCCAGGCATGGTGGCGCAGGCCTGTAATTCCAGCCCTTGGGAAACTGAAGCAGGAGGATCACCACAAATTCTAGGCCAGCCTAAACTACACAGTGAGACTCTGTCTCAAAAAGAAAAAAAAAAATTAGAAAGGGCTGAGATATAGTGCTCAGTGCAAAGGTCTTGAGTTCAATCCCTAGTCACAAAAGTTTAAAATTTTTTTATGTAAAAAAAAAGAAAAATAGAAAATCTTAGTAACAACTATTATAAAACTAAACAGATTTCCATTAAAAAAAACTTCAAACCTAGATAACTTTAGAGGCAGTTTTACTAAATTTTCAAGCAACATATATTTCATATCTAATCAAATCATTTCAAAAATAGCAAAAAAATAAAAATTTTTTAAAAACCCTAGCTTTATCATTTGGTGCTAGTGTAGTTTAGTATCAACTCTGCACAAGGGTAGTAGGAAAAACACAAGAATCAGTAAACATCAATGTGCAGGTAAATGAGAAGTTCATTTATAAAATACTAACAAATGGAATTCAGCTGCATACAAACCAACACAACCAAGTGGCAGTTATCACACGTGGAGATTCAGGAATGGTTCTGCAAGAAAAATCTGTTAATGTCCTACACTGAATCTACTGAATAAGGACAGCAGACTGAGTCAGTAAGATTGCCACAGTGGCCACCTTAGTGGCTTTGTGAGTCCATGCCCGAAAACAAAAAGCAACAGAAAGGGTAGGGTGTGGCTCAGTTCCCAGTAACTCAAAAAGCAAAACAGGAACACAGACAAAATAATGACAGCAAATGCCAGGATGACCCACAGTTCTCCTCACTGACCTGAGCATCATTTGCACACAGGCTGAGTTGCTCCAGAGTGCTGCCTGGTACCTCCATGGTCACTGCAGACTGGACCCTAACCCTGACCAGGCAGGGCCTTGCGCCCTGAGGGTCTGGTCCCCAGTCCTGGGGTCTGAGCATCCTAGGTCGGCGGCTGCTCCTATGCATTGCTAAGCCCCAGAAGAGGCAGCGCAGATGGACACTGCCTGGTGTACACAAGGCCTCGGGAACCAGCTAATAAAGAACCTGGTTTGGGGGCTGGGGATTTAGCTCAGCGGCATAAGCGCCTGCCTTGCAAGCAGGCAGTCGTGAGTTCGATCCCTGGTACCCATAAAAACGAAAAAGACAAAAAAAAAAAAAAAAAGAACCTGGTTGGCCCTTGCTGCCAGCACAGAATGGAACTAAACCACACGCTTGGGCAAGAGTGCTGGCACACAGCTGCAACCCCAGGATGGAAAAGGCTGAGGCAGGAGCAGGAGCATGCCTGGGCCACTTAGTTCCAAGCCAGCCCCTATGTATATCAAGGAAATAATCACAATACTAATGTTATAATAATTACAATTTATAAAAACATTACAATAATAATAAAGTAGAACAAAATGTGCTTACAGTGAATCTTAGCTTTTTTTTTTTGCGGTACCGGGGATTGAACTCACAACCTCACACTTGGCGGACAGGTGCTTATGCCGCTTAGCTAAACTCCCAGCCCTAGAAATTTGTTTTAATTAAATCCTAGGAATATGTTGGGCATGGTGGCACATGCCTATAATCCCAGCATTTGGGAGGCTGAGGCAGGAAGATTACAGCAAATCAGAAGCCAGCCTAGGCTAAATAATGAATTCAAGGGCAGCCTGACCTATCTGCTACATAGTAAGACTCTGCCTCAAAAACCCTAAATAAATAAATAAAATCTAAATATTAATTAATGTATTTATTTATTTTATTTTGGCTTTTTGAGAGCCTCCCAAGTGCTGGAATTCCAGGCATGTACCACCACACTGGTTCTTCCCTAAGTTTTTCTAATCATGCAACTTCTCTTGTGTGATCAACCCAAAGTATAAACTACTTACTTGTTTGGGACAGGGTCTCACTGTGTAGTCCAGGCTGGCCTTTAACTCACCATGTAGCCCAAACTGACCTCAAATTTGCAGGAATCCTCCCGTCTTAGTGATATAGGGGAAGAAATTCCCGACCTATTACATGTCCAGTACAAGTTTGTGTTCTCTAAAATCAAGAATGAATTTTAGGAGTAATGGAGGTTAAGAGCAAAAATACTTATTGAGAGAAAGCTTCTGTCTCAGAGACAGAAAGGGTCCTCAGGGTTGCCAAAGATTCTGTCTTTTCTAGGGATTTTTTTAAATCATGAGGTGAGATGGGTTCAAGATGGGGAAAACAGGCAGATGGTTTGCAAGGTGGGGAAACTCACAAAGCAGAGGGGCATGAGGTGGGACAGAACTATGTTAAACCAATCAGATTAATTGTTCAGGTACAATTGACCAAATTAGGGACAAATGGGGAAGCAGAGCATTCTTCTCACGGATCAGTGACTCTTCCAGTAGGGCACTGGGATGGTGACTCCAGGCTTCTCAAGGTGATCCATACTTAATCCTTGATGTTTATACTTGGGGTGTGGTTGCACTTGTTTTGCCTTCCGTCTTGAGAGCTGGCCCACAGCAGGAGGTTCCTGTCTGGTCCTCTGTGCTGGCTTCCTGGAGGGCCCAGCCCTGTCTGACTGCCTCTAACTTTTCTAACTAGCTCAGCTGCCTGTAACCTTAGCTTCTTGAGTGAGCACTATAACTGCAGGTGTATGTCACCACACCCAGCCTAAAATTTAAATAATTTAAAAAGCAAAATAAAAGACAGTGGGCAATGGAGATCTTCTGTAAATGGGAAGGGATGGATGAGATGCAGGGAAGGTGCGGGGAAGGAGACTGAGCAGACCTGAAGCGTGCAGTGTCTGCTCCACAGCTCCCCTGTGGACTGCAAGCGCAGGCAGTGAGCCTTCTGAGGCCAGGAGTCTTTGTGGTTTCTCAGAACCACACACTGAAAACAATATATTATGGAAAGTTGAGAAAAAAAAATATTTGACAAACAGCTGCAATGTTTAACAGAGCAGGGAGAAAAAAACAGCAGTCTTACATGGGAGTGTCAGATTTGGTTTCCAAAACAGCAAACAGAATCTGCCCTTTAGGTTATTTCTGAACATTTCTAGTACTGATCCCACTTAGCTCTTACTAATCAGGGTGTTTTGTTTGGTTGATCTACCTAGCTGTTGTTTTGTTTGTTTTGAGAAAGGGTCTTCCAATGAAGTCCAAACTGATCTCAAACTCATAGCAATCCTCCTGCCTCAGCCTACCCCGAGTGCTGGGATTAAAGGTGTGCACCACCACCAGGTTATTTTTTTGGTTTTTTTTTTTTTTTTTTTTAATTGGTACCAGGGATCCAACTCATGACCGCCTCCTTGCAAGGCAGGTGCTTATGCTGCTGAGCTAAGTCCACAGCCTCAGTTACTATTTGTTTTATGGAATTGGGTCTGGCAGTGTTTGCTATATATCTGTTTATAATTATCCCTTCCTATTGAACTATTCTCTTCACCGAAATGTAGTGACTTTCCAGGTTCGGTTTTAAACTCATTTTATCTAAAAATAGAGCTCCTCATGCTTGTTCCTGAGTTTACACTGCAGAGAACGCTGTTTCCACCTCCTGATTTTTCTTTTTTTTTTTTTTTTTTTTTGGTACTGGGAATCAAACTTACGACCTTGCACTTGCCAGGCAGGTGCTTATGCTGCTGAGCTAAATCCCCAGCCCCAACCTTCTGATTTTTAATCTGTGAATTCTGCTCTGGAGGAAACATGTTTCTTTCATGTAGCATGTGCTGGATCTGCTCCTGGACCCACTCTACCGGTCTGGTCTTTTCCTGGGGAGCTGAGAACATTCATGGGGAAGTTATCACAGAAAGGCACTGACTTATTCCTGCCACTGCATTAGTTTCCTGTTGCAGATTTTCTTTTCCCCCTTTTGCTTAACTGCTCACCCTGCCTGGATTATTCACGGTATTAGTTTTTGGCATTGTTGGCATGATTGTCTCCTAGGATATCTGTAAGAAAATTTTGAAGTACTGGTTTGGTGGCCATGAATTTTTTTTTTTTATTTTGAGACAGGGTCTCAGTTCAGGCTGGCCTCAAACTCATGGCAACTCTCCTGCCTCAGCCTCCCAAGTGCTGGGATTACTTACAGGCATGCACCACCAAGCCTGACATGGTGGTCATGAATTTCTTAAAGTGCTTTTTGTCATGGGAGTTTCTGGGAAATTTTGAGGCTTTCTCATCTCATGCTTCTTTTATTGTGATGGAGTGTGTGTGTGTGTGTGTGTGTGTGTGTGTGAACTAAGGTTTTCAGGTGTTTACAGTGAAAGACTTTGTTAATAGTGTCTGATTTCCAGTAACTCATTCTGGGCATAGCTAGCTACAGACAGGTAGGTTTTTTCTTTCTGTGTTTTGATTTTTGTGACAGCGTCTTGCTATGTAGCTCAGTCTGGTCTCAGACTCATCCTCCTGCCTCAGCTTCCCAAGCGCTGAGGTGAGGATTACAGGTGTACACCACCACACCCAGCTATGCAGGTTGCTGCATGAGGAGTATCTGTGTAGCCTTCTGCCTCTGCCCCATACCACCCTGGCTTGGGAGGGGAGGCTGTCATTTAATTACTTCAGCACCCAGTTCTCTGGGAAAAGAACACAATCGTGTTAATGACACAAAGACAATCTCGATACTGGCACACAGAGGAAACTCTCAACAGCAACAACTATGCCAGCCTGGCAATAGCACCTGAATCAGCAACAATAATAGCATCAAAGACAAACTGAATTTTGACATACCCAAAGAACCAATCACGTACCACTCTAAAAGAGTTCTGTAATTATAAACACTAACACATATCGAATACTGACATAAAGTACATATCTACTAAATGCAACAACTATCCCTGCACTAACAATGGAATTCAATAATAAATACAAAAGTGAGAAGCCAGGCAACTGTGCACTGAAACCTCTGCAAACTGTGACCCAAAACAAACTGTTTCTTCCTTTAAATTGCAAGTGTTGGCTACTGTATTCCATGACAAGTAACAAAGCAGAGGGCAGCACTGGGAACTCTGAAGAGAAGTTGTCTTCTGATTGCTCCGTGGCTCCATCTTAAATAATCACTGCTCTCCTGAGCCAACAGCGGATTAAACCCTTCTATAGGCTGGCACTGTGCAGACTTCCGCCTCCAACTACTGCCTGTGTGTGTGTGTTGGGGGCCGGGTTTCTGGGCACAGCCTCCCACTGTTTCTGCAGCTGACACCCCACCAGCTTCCTGTGGGACTGGTGCTGCCCCCACGGTCTCTCCCTGGTGCTCCGACCCTGCGCGCCTGTCTGTGAATGCCGCTTCTCCCTTGGGAGCCAGCAGGCGCCACCGCTGATTCTTTTCTCTATGCTGAGGCCTCCACTTCCCTGTAATTTCTAGTTTTCCCATCGGTCTCTCCAAGTTCCTGGCATCTGTTTCTTTTCTCTCTTCACCAAGTTGTTATCTTCTAGGAGTCCAGATTATGGACGTGGAGAGGCTGTGGTTTGCTGCTGATCACGACTCTCCCTGCTTAGCTGTTCTTTTCTGTTTGGTGCTCAGGTCTCTGCCCACATTGAAGATTGACTATAAAATTTTGAGTAGTTCTACATGCAGAGGTGCGTCGTGCTGCGCATGGGTGAATGCACTGAGCCCTTCCCTGCATGCTTGGGAGGTGCCCTGCAGAGAACATCCCTGGCTGCACATGCAGGAAGCCATACTGGCCACTGTTTCCCAAGAGAAGCCAAGACGGCTTCCTTCCGTGAAAGGTGAGGGCTAATCCCAGCCATGTGCATACAGGACGAACAGCACAGACAGGCCTCAGTCCGTCCTTGGTGCCAGGAGTCCGCTGGGATCCTGGAGTATGCCCCAGGAACTGGGGAGACTGCTGCCCACCCCAAACAATGTCAACATTCCACAGTCAGGTAAAGATCACACTCTTAGCCTTAGCTTTCTGTTTTGTTTTGTTTCTTGAGATTGGGACTCATTCTGTAGCCCAAACGGGCCCTAACCTTTTAATTCTCCTGCCTCAGCTTCTCAAGTGCTGGAATCATAGGCTCACTCTGCTCTCTTTGCTGTTTTTAAACATCAGGGTCAAAGGCCAGAAGCAACCCTTATTTGCTGAAGACTATGTTTGCTTATTGGGCTCATTTTCCTATATGATGTCAGACAATGTCTTCTAATAAAATTTCTAGCTTGTCATCTCTAAAAAACTAAACAACTGCTCCCAATTCTACAAGTCCACTCCCAAGTCTGTTTAGACTAGACTGAAGCACTGTCTTAGATGCTTTTCTCATTGCTGAGACAAAATATCTGACGCCCAAAATTAAGGGAGGGAGGGTATATTTAGCTTATAGCTCCAGTCCATAATCAGCTTCACAGGTGGGCAATGCAGAGCAGAACTGGTTCATGGCAAGCAGGAGACAGCAAAACCAACAACCCCTTAAGAGCGTTTTTCTGCCCCTTTTATACTGGGACTGCTGGGGTTAGAGTGGTGACAAACCAATCAGTGAGCCAACCACACACCCTTAATCCCAGCACCACACATTCCAGATTCAGGCACCCTTGAGGAGCCTGCCCCTCCCATGATTCCATGAGACTTTGGGGGACATCTACACACAAACCAGAACAAGCACGTTCAGACAAACACACATATGTGCACACACAAGATGACACCGGATCCTTGTTCATTGTAATGCAAAAGCTCATTACTCCCTAAAGAAGGCAGGTGTAAGTTTCATCTTAGACTCTGCATCTCACCTTGGTAGATCAAAACACTGAGCAGTATGCAGACAGAAAAAAGGGTGCATATGGCTTCACCAGCAGGACTCACTTCTCCAGAAAACTTAAATTCATCACTGTACCTTTTGCGGCACTGTGTCTAGATGTCGAACTTCCAGTGAGACTCTGAGGTTTTAATTTTCTTCTTTCTTGAAATGGCTCTTCTCGTCGACTTGCTTTCTGTTCTCTCCGAGCTCCCTCTTGTCCTCCAGTGTTTCTCTGACATTCTTTCCAGGCTTCCAGTTCTTTAGTTGCTTTTCTCCGCTCATTTTCCTTCATCTCCTCTATTTTTTTCCTCTCTTCTTCTTCAATCTGTAAAATTTATGACTAAATTATTTGAAACATATAAAAGCCACCATTTTTAAAAGAAGGAGCTGGAGAATAACTCATGGTAGAGCACTTGCTTACAATGTAACAGCTCTGGGTTCAATGCTGTCTCAGTTACTTCTCTCTCGTGGCTGAGACAAATTACCTGACACTCAAAGTAAAAGTGGTTTCAATCCATACTCTGTTGGCTCCAAGGCAGGATGGCTTTGCAGAGGGGGTTTGAAGAGGAGAACAGTTCATGGCGGGTAGAAGATGGCCAAAGCAACAAGCAAGGGACCTTAACAGCACTTTTCTGCCCCTTATGTCTTGGCTAGGCTACTTAAGGCAGGCAGCACTCAGACCCTTAATTCAACAGCACTTGAGCCTAGCACTGCATCGTGCATGAATCTCAGCATCACACACTCTAGATCCAGACACCTGTGAAAAAGCCCCACCTGTGACTGCATGAGGCTTTGGAGGGAAGTCTAGACATAAGCCACAGCAGATACCTAGCAAAAGAAAGAAACAAAGAGGAGAGAGAATGACATTTATTATAGTAATTAAATATTGCTACATCAAACTTTTTTTTTAAAGATAGGGTCTCACTGTGTAATGTAGCCTGGGCTTGAATTCGCTATGTACCACTGGCTGGTCTCAAACTTGAAATCCTCCTGCCTCAGCCTCCTCAGTGCTGGGAACATCTAAACTCTTGCCATCACATCTGTACCAACAGTCATGAATAGAGCTAAAGTGAGCTAGTGTGGTGGCACATGCCTATAGTTACAGCACTCTAGGAGGCTGAAGCTGAAGGCTGAAGCAGGAGGATGGCAAATTCAAGACCATCCCAAGCAACTCAGCAGGACTCTGACCAAAAACAAAAAACAAAACAAAACAAAGCCCGTTAATGCAGCTCAGCACAAGGGGGCCAGAGTCAGCTCCCACTGCCAGAAAAAAAAAAAAAAGGATGAAAATGTGTAGTGATGTACACACAGGGTTGGGAACAAACAGACGAGATTCTGCCCCACTCTCCTGTGGTCTCTGTCCTCCAGCAAGGAATTCTCTCCAGTGATCACGTTCTGTGCTACCTAGGGCTGCTGCCATGGGCCACATGGAGCTCACGAAGCTCTTCATGCTGGGACCAGCAGCAGAGATTTGTGTTTTACTCCAGTTTGATGAGTGAGGATTTAAATTACGTGATGTTTTGTAGTAATGGAAACTGAACCCAGGACCTCACTCATGCTGTGATGTTTTGTAGTAATGGAAACTGAACCCAGGACCTCACTCATGCTGGGCAGTACTCTCCCACCAAGCTACATCTCCAGGTACTTTTTATCTTATTGTGATGCACGACCTCACTAAATTGCCAAAACTGGGCTCAAACTTGCAGGACCCTCCTGCCTCAGCCTTCTGAGTAGCTGGGATTGCAGGCATGGGCCACTGTCCAATTGACATTGAACAGCGCATCTGAAGTGGTTCTAGAATCAGAACCGGAACCCAACAAGTCAAGCTCCTGAGGGTGTGTTACTGTAATGTGCAGACAGTAGAGCTATGGAACCTGTACCATGGTGGTCTGTAATACCCACAAGACTGACCACTTCCTCTGCACCAGGCAGTACTCAGCGCTCCTTAAAATTCTGCTTCGGTGGCCAGGCATGGTGGCACATGCCTGTAAACCAGCAGTACCAGGGCCAGCACATGATGAGGCCCTGCCTCAAAGGAAACATAGTCTTCTTCTAGAAGTCTATTTTCCTTTTTCTTTTTTGGTACTGGGGATCAAACTCACAACCTCGCACTTGCCAAGCAGGCACTTAAGCCACTGAGCTTGACTATTTTCCTATTGAACTAGAAGACACTAACTTTATTTTTTATTTATATATTTATAATATATTTACATAATTTTTTTTTTTGGTGGTACTGGGGATCGAACTCACGACCTTGCACTTGCCAGGCAGGCACTTAAGCCATTGAGCTTGACTATTTTCCTATTGAACTGGAAGACACTAACTTTAAATCTCACAGAATTTTTTGTTTTTGAGATAGCATCTCACTACGTAGCCCATGCTGGCCTTGAACTCGAAGCTATCCTCCTGCCTCAGCCTCCAGAGTGCTGGGATTACAGGCTTGTGCCACCAAGCCTGGCTCACAGGATACTGAATGGGGCCTTCTTGTAGTCCCCAGATTAAATGCTGTGGTCTGGGTATGGCTGGTCCCCATGAGCCTTGTGTCTAAGTTTCGGTCCCTAGGCTGTGGTATGAGAGGCAGAGTCTAAAAGGTATGGCTTAAACCAGGCATGCTGGCACACACCCATAATCCCAGCACCCTAGGATGCTGAGGCAGGAGGATCACAAGTTCAAAACCAGCCTGAGAAGCTTAGCAATTCAGGGAAAACCTGTCTTAAGAAAGTAAAAAAAAGAAAACAATTAAAAGGCTGGGGACAGAGCTCAGTGTGAAGACCCTGGTATCAGCTCCAGTGCTGAGTAAACAGCAGCATGCTCTAGCAGGCAGTTGTTAAGGCACTGCCCTCAGAAAGGATGGAGATGGCTCTTCTGGGCCCTTGAGCTAGGTGTCTCACAGACATGAACCTAGAATCTTTGGCTTCCTGCCTTCTATGGGACCTCTCACATCAATGAATGGCTTCTCCCATGCTGCCCACCATAGCGCCCTCCCCAGAGCTGAGCAGACAGGGCTGGCTGACCTGTGCTTCTCAGCTCACTGGCCAATAAACCTCTTTTCTTTATACTATTACCTAGCTTCAGGTATTTTGTTAACAGAAATTGGACTAACGCATCCAAATGAGACAAATGAAGCACAAAAGATGCTACTCATTACATGCTCTAAATTCAGAGGGGCACCAGACGTCACCAACAAAACAGACAGGGAAGGTGCTGTGCATGACAATGAGCAAGCACATATATGCTGACAAAGGGGAAGTGATGGCTGAGTATAACCCTAGCTACTGTGGGGGCTCTGGCAGAAGGATCCAAGTTTGAGTCTAGCATGTGCAAATCACACTCTGTCTCAAAATAAAGGGCTGGGATGTAGCTCAGTTTTATAGCACACCTAGGTTTAATCCCCAGTCCCAGCAAAAGAGAGAGTGTGAGAAAGACAGAGACAGAGAGACAGAGTCAGTGAGAACCAGGAGGCGGTTAGGCAGTTACAAGCTAACAGAAGAGGACAACTCCCTCACTCAGTTTAACAGGACACTGTCTTAGTCACTTTCCTCATCGCTGGGCCACAGCAGCTGACGCCCACAACTTAGGCGAGGAAAGATTTATTTTGGCTCACAATTACACTGCTCAGGCAGGAAAGCCTTACGATTATAACACAACTACCCGCCAAAGTGGAATTTTCCTCTGAGTATGTGGTATTGGAGTCAGCTGCTCCCGTTAATTCATTTAAGTATCTGAGTATATACCGTTCACTTGGCAGTGGCTGTGATCAGGACAGAGTTCCAGCTAGCAGTGAGAGTGAGGGCCAGACCAGCTATGGCTCTGCCCCTGGGAGAACCCTCACTCTTGGGTTTTACACACCAGTACCCCTACATCTCATCAGCAGTGGTAGCAACTTCATGGTACAGCGGGTACTGTTGCCTGCCAGTCAATTTTTCCATTTTGCTATTCTTACCAATCGTAATGTGCACACCAGTAGTCAACTATTTCTTTAGTTTCAGAAATGTTTATCTGTTACCATAAGTTTTATATTATCTTGCTTTTTAAAAATTTGGGGGGGCAGTTATTTAGCTCAGCAGCTCAAGTGCTTGCCTGGTAAGTACTAGTTCATAAGTTCCATCCCTGGTACCAAAAAAAAAAAAAAAAAAAAAATATCTGGGGTCTGGGGATTTAGCTCAGTGGCATAAGCACCTACCTGGCAAGCTTGAGGTTATGAATTCAATCCCTGGTACCAAAAAAGAAAAATTTTTTGGAGCCAAGTGTGGTGGTGCATGCTTATAATCCCAGCACTTGGGAGGCAGAGGCAGGAGGATCACTGCAGGTTTGAGACCAGCATGGGCTACAAAGTGAGCTCAAGGCCAGCCTGAACTGCATAGGGAGACCCTGTCTCAAAAAGACAAAGAAAAAAATTGTAAGAAAATAATGAAAATCAAAAGGCTGACAGGTGAGTGCTACCATGCCTGCCTGAGCTATACATTTTTGTGTGTGTGTCTTTTTTGAGACAGGGTCTCTCTGTGCAGTTCAGGCTGGCCTTGAGCTCACTTGGTAGCCCAGGTTGGTCTCGAACTCACAACGATCCTCCTGCCTCAGCCTCCCAAGTACTGGGATTACAGGTGAGTGCTACCATGCCTGCCTGAGCTATACATTTTAAACGGGTGAATTGTATGGCATATGAATTTTACCTCAAAAATACATTGTTGATTAAATCCCTCACCTGGAAGACTCATCAGTTAAAAAGATACTGTCATTATCTAATATTTCATGTATATGTTTTGCTTTTAAGAATTATGTTCATTATTTTAACATTAAAAAGAAGTACAGCAAACCATAGTAACTTCATGATAAGGGATCCTACTAGGCTGACCAGACTGGCCTAGAACTCGTTGGCTTAAGTGATCCTCCTGCCTCAGCCTCCAAAATAGCTAGGAGTCCAAATAGATAACACCATGCCCAGCTTACTGTCCCAACTTTTATACCCTTGACTTTCATACAGCTTTTCAGTTAAGCAGTAAACAGCTTGTTACACAGCAATAACACCTACACCACATGCTGAGTACCACGGTGGTTAGAACTGTCTTCACACCTTTACTCTCACCCCCTTAGAAGAGTCCCAGCAGCCAGCACTTACCTTCATCATGACATTTAATGCATATTTTTGATCTTCTCGTCTTGCTGTAGCTTTTGCTTCCATAGCCTCCTTTGCCCTTGCTTGTGCTTGTACAATAGATTTTTCTCTGATTGTTTGCATCATCTCTTTGTCAACTAAAATACAAAGAACATGCTAACTCAGGATGGCAATGAACTGGTCTGAGATCTACTCACCAAGTGAGCTATGATGAGATCTCTTTTGATGCAACTTCATAAAAAGTGAAGATACATATTTTAATATGGAGCTGGCCTAGAAGCTAACACTCAAAGATAAGCAATTTACCATAATAATAATTGAAAGAGTTTTGGCCCAGACAGGACACTGTAGAGGATGAAGCCTTAGAGGCAGAACCAAGGAGCTCCTATCTCCCCCACCCCTAGGAATTTACCTGAGACTCCATCTTCCCCGCCCCTAGGAATTTACCTATGGCACCAAAGACCAATGGGCTACCTGTGCATCCCTAATGCCCCCTTAGGTTCCACCCCAAACCGAGGTTACTTATATGCCCCCATACCAAGTGTCTGCCAGAGAGAAAGCCAGACTCCAGTGGTGTGTATGTGGGGGGGTGTTTGGTTTTTCTCTCTTTGCGTTCTCAGAATAAAGGCCTCTTTTGTTTTATACTTCTCATCTTTTGGACACACTATATAACCTCATCAATATTGAAGAGGAAGAAGGGGTGGGAGAGGGCAGAAAGCTGGGGAGGGAACAACAGGGAAGAAGGAAATAAGAAGGGAGGACAGGAAGGGAGGCAAGGGGATGAGAACACACTTCTCCTCTGCTGAGAAGCTAAGGCAATTTGCCTGTAAACTTGTTCACAATAACTCATCTTATGAGGTCTCCTAAAAGAAGATTGGTGGGAATCACCTGAACTGACTGATCAAAGCACTTTCAAAACATAAAATGCTGGTCACGGAGGCATAGTTGAAGAAGCTGAGGCAAGAGGGTGTGAGTTTGAGCCCAGCCTAGGGAATTTAGCAACTTAATGAGACTCTGTTTTAAACTAAAAAAGTACATTTTAAAAAGGGATGGGTATGTAGTTCAGTGAAAAAGCCCTGGATTCAGCCTCCAGGGCTAAATACTGTGGTAACTTGTACACATAGAGGGGAAAGGGCCAACTCAAGGAAAAGCTGGGCCCCTATTATAACAGAATGTTTTTTTCCATAGTGGGGATTGAACCCAGGGCCTTGGCACTTAGCTACATGGCCCCTCTGTTTTTGCTTTTGAGATAGGGTCTCACTAAGTCACTAAGTTGCCCAGGTTGGCTCAAATTTGTGATCTTCCTGCCTCAACTTCCCAGTGTTGGAGTTATAAACACGTACGTGCCCAGATCATTTTTATATTCATTGTAGCTCAAAATTTCCAAGCTGCAGCCTGTGATCCATTACTTCGGGGAAGGAAGCAGTAGGTCCCAATGGAGAAGATCTAGTGTTAGGGAAGTGAATGGAGACAGTCTGGGGTGCTTGGGAGAGGTGGGGGGTGAGGCTGGTTAGTCAGGTGAGGGGGTAAATTGTGGCTGGCACAGGCTCTGAGCCTTTGGTGCACATCAGGCCCTCTAGCGGGGCAGTCAAGCTCACAGCCCCTTCAAAACACTGATTCACCCAGAGTCCTCCAGAGTTGTGCTCACGCCTAGGTGAGTGAAGGCAGAAGAATGCGCTTTTAAGGCTGGTACCATGCCTTTCCTAGAACAACTAAGAAGGGGTTTGGGACACGTGACTGGGAAGCTGCCGCTCTATAAACCGACTGCTGTGAGTGGAAGGCAGCTGCATAGCAGCAGATATAAGCAGGGGCCTTCTCCTAGCTCTTCTTGGCCACCTAAATATACATTCTAAGCACATCAGGGCATCCTCAGCAATCACACATCTCCCGTGAGCCCCATCTTCTGAAGTGGAACTAAGGTTTTCAGCATTAAGTTTCCTGTAAGTGGCCACTCCCTGAGCAGGTCTGTCTTCCGGTCTTCCACCAATGCCAGGTATATATTTCCTTTATCTAGCTGCCCATATTCTGAACTCGTATCTTATCTCAAGCACTTGTTTCCTGTAACTCCTGGCTTGCCTGGCATTTGAATTTGCATACTTGCAACATGTATGATGTAGTTTTCTTTTAGGCCAATCAGTATTAGGGAGGTAAGATGTAATCAATCAATAACTGTCAAAACTCTGCTTCTGTACTTCTCACTTGCAAATATAAATCTTAGGGTACCAAAGATCAAGGTCTGATATTTTGGTGACTGATTGAATCCGTATTAGCCCTTCCAGGTAAATAAATCTGCCTCCAAATTCTGAGTGTCCTTTTGGTGTTTCTGTTTGCTGCAGCACTTTCAAGGACCACTGACTTTTCTGTTCTATTTCCTAGGCTGCCTCCAACACCTAAGATCAGATGATCCTCCTGCATCAGTCTCCCGAGTAGCTAGGACTGCAGGGATCTGTCTTCACCCCTCCTGGCATTAACCTCATCACAGGACAAGAGACCGAAACCTGGACCTCACCCTAGCAAATTTTGATATAAATGCTGTCTTGCTGTTCTGTCTTCCCTAAACCCCACGTCTCAGCCTACACAGCCGCCCTTACCATCCCACAGTAAGCGAGTCTACATGAGCCTCAAGTCTCATCCCTTTTCTTGGGTTCACTTTTCCTTGTGACATGTTCAAACACACATTTTAGTTTGAACACTTATTTTTGAACACGTATTTTAATTAAAAAATACCTACCACCTGACATACAAAGGGTCTCCCACATGACTGCTTCTTTCTTATACAGGGTGAAGATAACGGCATCATTTCCAATCTTGGCTTTGCTGTTCCCATCATCTATGGGGGCATAGAGAAACACCTCAAACAGAAACGGGGGAAAGTTGACCTGCTCAGAGTAAGAGAAGAGAGTAAGTTAGTCACACAATTAAAAGACACTGTCATTAAAAGAAATATGTGCCTGGACAGGATGGCACATGCCTGGAATCCTAGAACTTAGAAGACTAAGGTAGGAGAATCACTGTGAGTTTGAGCTTGAACTATATGAGCCAGCCTGAACTATATGAATGAAAAGATTAGAATTAAGACCAAGCTACCTTTCTTTAAAGCCCCTGCAGGTAGCAAAATTTAGCAAAGCCTATAATTCCAGCACTCAGAAGGCTGAGGCAGGAGGACTCTCTTGAGTTCAAGGCCAGCCTGAACCTAGTGAGACCCTGTCTCAAAGAAAGAAAATTAGCCAACATCTATGAGGAAATTCTGGATCAAAGTAATCTCTGATCTTATAACATTTGTCTACAGATGTGACAACTAGTATGTAGAATTCTTTTGATTTATTTATTTATGTTTGTGGTGCTGAGTACTGAACTCAATATGATATTGAGCTACATCTCAAACTTTTTTTGAGACAGAGTCTCACTAAGTCACTAAGTTGTCCAGGCTGGGCTCCAATTTGCCTTCTTCCTGCCTCAGTCTCCCAGAGTGCTGGTACCTTCAGAGGTACTTCAGGCTTTTTTTGTCTCAGTTATTTTTATTTTGATATTAACTTGCTTATACCGTATAAGGAGTTACCTGAACTTATCCATATAGTAGCTGTTTTATAGTTCAAATTGGCTTGAACTAATAAAATTATATAGAAATATAGTTATATACAATTTATTTAAAATCATACACAAATAAATTAGAAGTGTTGCAGTATTTGGTTGCAAATCACTTGCCATCTGGGGTTAGGTCAGAAAACTTCATTTTGCCGAGGGAATGGCCGAACATGAAGCAATTCCTGAGTGTCCATCAGGTGTTTTGCAATGCACCTTCTTTTTGGTTTGAAAGCTCAGATCCTTAATATGCCACAGACTTCGGGGACATGAGAACACTGCCAGGTTCTTGGACCTTCTCTAGAGCCTGAGGCTCCTGGGTCACCTGGCACAGGAAGGACACCGAGGGCCTGTCTGATGGGCTCTGCCAATAAACACCCAACCACACTCTTATACCCAATACGAACAGAAAAGTTTTGGCTTTCTTTGGACATTTGGGAACAACTTGCAGGAAGCTCAACTGTTAAGTTATTGACATCCGTTCTGTCTCTGATAATATAACTTGGACCACATGGCAGGCCAACAGATCTTACCTTCCCCAAACTCTGCTGCCTTTGTTCTCTTTTTCAGCTTGCATACTGATTTTCTAAAGAAATTTGCGATGATACTAGACGCTCTGCTTTCATCTTTAGGACTGGAAGCAGTGCAGACCATCCCATGCCACAAGACTTATATACAACAGCCCCAAAAATATCTCCGCTCTGCTCCTTTTTGTATTGCCTGAACACAGGATGGACGAGGGACTCAGGAGAACTTCGTTTTCACCAAAACAATTGTCAGAGTGCAAGTGCTTACTTCTAGCAATCCCATATTCCTCTGAAGGAGGTACTGCACCTGATCATGTCAGGAAGGCAGCCTTCCACTTCCAGCTTGGTGCCATCAGGGGAAATTTGAGCTTCAGCTCCCTGACTCTGTATCAAAACGGCATTACGATGGGTAGTTGGTAAACTAACATCTGAAATGTTTTTCCATCCCCGCTCCCCAGCCTGGGTCTCTTGATGCCCTTCCCATTTGCAGAGATCTACTTTTCTATTTCCTTTTACCGATCTTTTATTTTGATCTTTATTTGTACACAACACAAATGAGAAAAATCGTATGGATTTAAGCTTGGGTGTCTGACTTATTTCCCTTAATATGTTTGCAAAATGCATCCATTTTCTCACGAAATGGGTCGCATTTATCTTTCTTTAGAACTGGGCACTATTCCATCACGTATGAATACCGACGTTTTCTTTGTCCATCCAGATCGTCTGCTTCCACGATTTACTGCTATGAACTGTAGTGTTATAAACGCGAGGACGCACGTATCGCCGAACAGGACTCTTTAGCTCTAAGGGCACTCGTGTTTCAAAGTCGGATGAAAACCTAAAGAGGGTCATCTTCACTGACCGGTCGCATAGACTCCTGCGAGCACGCCCCCTGGACCGCGGACTCCAGCGCCTACCTTCAGGTAACTCTCCGCGCAGAACACGTCTGCGTCCCTGGCGCAGACGCCGCGCAGCGGCAGAGACAGAAAGACCGTAGTCGGCGTCTGCTGCCAGCTGTAATCGCTCGGCTGCAGCGGCATCACTACCGTGCTGTAGGATTGCGGGATGGTTGCTGCACTAAACCGCTCGGTTGCTAGGGAAGCCGGTACCTCGAGTCCTTCCGGGTCAGCCTGCCCTGCCCCCGGCTCCCACTGTGCTCCGCGCACAGCCCCGTTTCCCTGCCTGTCCAACACACAGACGCTTACAGCTCCGCGGCTCCCGGCGTCCCCTGCGCATGCTCTCGTTACCCTGGGACTGACCAGAGTTCCCGGCGTTCCCCGCGCATACTCTCGTTACCCCAAGACTAGCCCCCAGTTCCCGGCGTGCCCCGCGCGCGCCCCTGTCACCCAATGTATCCAGGTACTGCGAGCTTCCAGCCCGAGGTGGAGCAGGGAGCGGGTGGAAGGTGAGGACGCAGACTTCTCGCTGGGCGTCTAGAACGCATTAGGGTAGAGTGAGAAGAACCTGGCCCGGCCGCGCTGCAAGGCCCGCGGTGCTCCCTTCGCGGCGCCTGACGGCGGCCGACTCTGATCTGACGGCGCGAGCTCCAGGGCGCTGAGGGGAGGGCTCCCCCCTGCCTTGGATCAAGGCCTGACGCCCCACGCAGACCCCCGACACCTTCTGCCTTCCGTTCATCTAGTCAGCCGTTAAAATCCAACAGTTAGTCTGACCTTAAAGTCAGTTTTTTAAATTTTTTTTTCTTAACTCAATTGAAAACTGATTTTTTTTTTTGACCATAAAGTCTCTACAAGTTACCTTAAACCCATAAAAGCATAACAAAATTGACTGAAATTCTTAACAGATTTCATCGCTGTTTCCAAACCGGTTGTAGTATCTTCACGTGCTATAGACTACGTCGAAAGAAAACAGTGCTTTGTCTGCAGGCGCTTACAGTCCCGCCATCTGTTCAGATTTCAGCTCACTGCCGTCCCGTCTGTCTTTCGGGATGAGTTTTCCTGTGGCGTGGGCTGGCCCGGACCTCGGGGTTGCCTCCGTCAGCTCTGAGCCGCGGCGGTGCCGTCCTCCACCCCTGTGCAAAGCTCGGAGTCCCCGTGAACATGCCCACCAAACCTGTGAGATGGGAGCTGCAGTGTTTGTGTACTTCTCTCCACTTTTCACATTAGAGCCGTATTTGAGGCTGTTTGGAGGTTGCAGTGAGACCCCAAGGCTGGGTGGGTCGTGTGTCAGGAAAGTGTTACTTAGCTCAGTTTTAGAGGCTTAAAAGTCCAAGATCGGGCGGCTGTGTTCGGCTGTGTTGGGCCTCGAGTGCATCCGCATGGAAGCTTGGGAAGGACGGCTACAGGCCGGCCTGCTGGGTGAGACTTGGTTTCACACTGACCCTCCCTCCCCGAGCTCACCTACTGGCAGGATCTCCAGTAAACTCATTATGGCTTAGCCCGCAGCTTGTAGAGGTGGGATTTAGAGCTTCTGTCCTAGAGACAGGCTTCCAGCTCTCCCTACTGGAGAAGCAAACCACACCCAGACCAAAACAGATGTCTCTATCATGCGTATTAAAACTTCCAGGGTCAGGGATGAGGTCTTGAATTCGATTCCCAGTACCAGCATAAGAAAGAAAATATCAAAGAAGCTGCTTCTTTTTTTTTTTTTTTTTTTGTCTTTTTCCTTTTTATCGGTACCAGGGATCAAAGTCACGACAGCCTGCTTGCAAGGCAGACACTTATGCCGCTGAGCTAAATCCCCAGCCCCCATTGTCCACTTCTTTGGAGGGAAAAAAAAAAAAAAAAAGAAGAAGCTGCTTCCACTTTATAGGAATTCTTACATGGCATCTGAGGACTATCTTGTATATAACATTTAGTAGTCCAGCAGAGCTCAAAAGTGCACATGGACAATGTCTTACAGCCACACACATACCCCTTTTCACACATCGAAATAGCAAAACGACCATATTCATTAATACCCAAAGAGGGAACTACTGTATAATCAATAAAGTCCAAGTTAGCAGGAAATGTAGATCAGTAGGTGTACCTGCCTAACATATGGAGGGTCCTGGGTTGGATTGCCACGATTGCAAAAATTAAAAAATCCAAATGTATCTATATACTTTTGGTGGCTGTTACTCGTTTGATTATTTTACATTACTTAGGAATCACCAAACATCCAAAGATTTTTTTTTTCTCTATAGAGTTGTGTGTGTGTGTGTTACTGGAGGAGGCTAAGATCTCTATGACCTTAGCCCCTTTAAAAAAATTTTTTTTGAAAATTTTAAGACAGGTTCTTACTGAATTTCTTGGGCTGGACTTGAACTTGCAATCCTCCCAGAATGCTGAGATTACAGGCATGTACCACCATGCTTATCTAAAGATTATCAATTGAATAAATGTAGCTCAACATCTTAAAGTTAATATATAAATTGATGTACTACCAAACGTGAAATATCCTTTAATCAGATGTGGTAGGACATGTCTAATCCCAGCACTCTGGAAGGTTGAGGCAAGAGGATCTCAAATTTAAATAATACTTGAGCAACTTAGATTTCATCTCACAGTAAAGATATATAGCGGTTTAGGATGTATATCATTGCAAGGCCCTGGGTTCAATCCCCATTACCACACCAAGAAAAAAATGAGAGAACTTAATATACTCTTGATAGTCTTACATTAAAATTTATCAGGCTTTTGTTTAAACAAAATTCTTTATCCTAGAAATTACTAAATATTATGTAGGAGTAATAGCTGATTAAATATGTATAAGAAATATACAGAAAATACAAAAAGAAATGTAGCGGGGGATATAGCTCAGTAGTACAGCAACTGCCTGGCACACATGAGGTTGTGAGTTTGACTCTCAGTTAAAAGAAATGTAGAAAGTTCATATTAATAATTTTCTTCATAGGAAAACAAATCTAAATTTTAAAATTATTTATTTTTTTTGAGACAGGGTATCACAGTGTATTAAGGTTGATTTTGAACTCACTGTGTAGACCAGGTTGGCCTCCAACTCATGGTGATCTTTCTGTCCCAGCTTCTGAGTGCTGGAATTACAGGCATACATCACTATACCCAGCCAAATTTTTGTATTTTGTTTTTGGTTTTTTTATTCAAATTTTTGTATTTTACGTATTATTCCACACTGATATAACTAGAAAAATACATAGCTTTTAAAAAAATATACTTTATCAAGTACATCTTATTTGATACCATGGATACAATTTCTTCATTTTCTTACTTATGTGAGAAAGACAGTTTTCCTTAAAAAGTTGCTATAAGGAAGATTGTTGATATTCAAGACCAGCCTGGGCTACAAAATGAGCTCAAGGCCAGCCTGAACTGCAGAGTGAGACCTTGTCTCAAGGCAAAAAAAAAAAAAAAAAAAGAGGAGGTGGTTGAGGGAGCGCCATAAACCAGTTGTCGTAGACCTTACCTGTAATCCAGCATTCTAGGAGGCTGAGGCAAGAGGATTGCAACTTCAAACCCAACTGGATAACTTAGCAAGAGCCTGTCTCAAAATAAAACATAAGAAAAGAGCTAGAGATATATGTAGCACAATGTGAAGGCCCTGGGTTCATGCCACAGTACCCCACCCCCCAATAAAACCTATCACATTTTTCCTACCACATTTAAAGTATTAGATATTCAGTTTATTTTTAGAAAGTGCTGAGAAAATAGGTTTATTTAAGGACTTTTTCTTTTGTTCTTTTTTTTTGCAGTTTAAAATTTTTATTGGTACCTTTTAGATATATGTGATATAGGCAGATGTCTTGTGCTCCGGGTGAATGATTTGGGGATAACAATGTGCAACGTATGTATCGTTACCCCGATTGATGTGCTTTTGATACAGTTTTTTTCTCCTATTTATCTTTGAATAAAATGGATTTGAAAAAATATATATACATGATAACATTCATCATAGGGAATTTGTACCTGTATATAATATATCTTACATGTTCCCCATTTCCCTCCCCTCCCTTCAGTCCTTTTCCCCTCCTTATATATAAAAGCTTTCTATTTTCCTTCTATTCTTTTTTCTTGAATCTTCTTTCTCCCTTGCCCCTACTTTGTTCCCCTTCACATTTGAACATTTTCTTTGTTTCCCAATATCTACTATAGATTTTGGTCCTTATTTATGTTTTCAGTTTTTCACACCAGAGCAACAATGCAGTGTTTAAATATGTGTGTCTGATTTATGTCACTTAAGAGTATGGTCTCAAAAAAAAAAAAAAGAGTATGGTCTCAAGGTGCATCCATTTAGCTAGAAATGGCTCAAATCTATCATTCTTTATGGCAGAGTAGTACTCCATTGTGTAAAACAATCATATCTTTTTTAGCCATTCATCAGTTGATAGGCATTTGGGCTGTTTCTCAGACTGAGCTTTTTTTTTTGTTTTTTTCCTTTTTATTGGTACCGGGAATCAAACTCAGGACTGCCTGCTTGCATGGCAGGTGCTTATGCCGCTGAGCTAAACCCCCAGCCCCCCAGACTGAGCTCTTACAAACTGTGCTGTAAAAATGAGTGTGCACTATGGTTTGATGATTTTATTTCTTTCAGGAAGATACCAAGAAGGAGGATATCTAGATCAAATGAAACCTCTAGTTTTAGCTTTTTGAGAAATCTTCACACTGATTTCCACAATGGTTGCAGCAGTCTATACTCCTACTAACAGTGGAGAAGGATTTCTTTTCCCCACAGCTCTGCCAGCATTTATTATTGGTTGATCTCTTGACAATAGCCATTCTTTCTCAGCATTGCTTTAACTTGTATCTCTCAACTGACTGCAACATTGAACTGTTTTTATCTATTTGTTTGCCATTTCTACTTCATCTGAGAAGTATCTACTCATTACAAATGCATTTTTAAGATTAGGTGTTTACATTTGGAGGGGATCTGATTTTTTTTAGTTCTTTTTATATTGTAGATATTAATCCTTTGAGGAACAACTGTCAACATTTTTTTCCCACATTGTGTATTATCTTTTCACTCCATTGCTGGTTTCTTTTGCTGTGCAAAAGCTTTTAAATAGGATGAGATCCCAGATGTTGATTCTTTGTGATATACCCTGTGCAACTGGGGTTTGGTAATAGTCTTTGCTCAGCAGCATAGTGCCTGCCTGGCAAGCGCACAGTCCTGAGTTTAATTCCTGGTACCTAAATAAATAAAAGATTTGCAAAACAATTTTCTTTTTATTGTAACCTGAGAGTAGATGCCCTTCATTCACCTGGCAGAGATTGCAAAATGATTGCATTATGCAAGCAGATTTCCAGCCACTGCTGCCACCAAAAAGGACTAACTTCCCAATGATGTGCAGGTCAGATTCCCACGTGTGCAGCAAGTTTTCTTTCTGCCAGACAGATGAGGCTGGTCTAGTGGTCAGAGACTCGTTTGCTGGTAATGGAAAGAGCCCAGACAGTGAGTTAGACCACACCAAGAAGGACTGGCAAACCTGCCCAAGACAAGGAGCAAAAACTAAAATAATACCTGGAAAAAGAGAAAGTCAGCAAATGTAAAGCTTTAGTGAGGCATGGGATCCTTCTAGGAGCCAAGAAAAGATGCATTTGGTTTCAGAGAGCACATGAGATGGGTTTCTCAGGATCAAGTTGCTTTTTGTAGGAAAATCCACTGGCTATTTTGGGATACTTGGAACAGTTTTTTAAACTATATATGATATATACTAATAATTTATTTTTCAATCATTTCAAGTTTTCAGAAATTCCAGAAAGAGTATGCAAGGCTTCTGTATCCACACCTAATTCCCTCAACATTACACTTTCTCTGCATTCACTCCTCTTATCTCCCCTTTTTTGTCTCCCTTTTCCCACCTCCACCCTCTCCCTGTTCCCTTTGTCTACCCCTTTCTCTTCTCCTTTTCTCCCTCTCTTCACAACTGATACCCACCATCTCCACAAATCTTTCTGAATCATCTGACAACATGCTGCAGGAATGATACCATTACTGCTAATATTCCAACATGCAGTTCCCCCAAACTCTTCTACAGTGACAGTTCAACCCTCCAAGTAAAGAAACAAGCATAGGAAGACACTACTCTCTGCCCCACAGATAATGATCTATACTTTGCAACAATCTTCACCTCTAGTTCAGAATCCATGTAGGAACACAGAATATATTTAGGTGTTAATGTCTCTTTATTTTATCTACGTATTCCAAGGAGTACAACCTTAGTTTTGTTGGATGACTCTGGAGGTAGAAGTATTTATGGTTTCCTAATGCTCAGTGGCAGCTCTTGCATTCTTGGTAGGAATATCAAGGAAATGAGATTGTGCCTTCCTTAGTGCTAGTGGCATTAGGGACATATGATGTTGACTAGCCCCACAGTAGAGGATGTTAATTGACATTTTCATAATATATTGAAGGTTGTAAATGTACCACTTGTAGCTGTATCTCAAAGTTTTTTTCTTTTTAAATTAGACTTCTGAGGTGTAATTGCATGTAACAAAATCTATCCTTTCGTGCTATGGGTATAACTCACTTGGCTAGCATGGTCCTTAGCACTGAGGAAAAAAATTCATTCTTGAGTTTCAGCAGCCATGTGATCACAGCCACAACCACGACAGGAAACATTGCTATCTTCCCCCAAATTTCCCTCATCCTTTCCTACAGTCAGCTTCCTCTCCCCACTCCACTCCTACCCACGTCATCCCTGGAAACCACTTGGCTGAATTCTGTATCTGTTGCTTTTTTTCAGATTTCTTTTTGGTGCTGGGTATGGAATCCAGGGTTCACTCATTCTAGGCAAGTACTCCAACACCCTAGCCCCTCAGAAATGCTATGTAATAAAATCATGTTAGTGTTTTGTTCTTCCATCATAGAGTATAGTGCTATGGATTCAACCATGTTGTATGTAGTAATTTTTTGCTGCTGAAAAATATATACACATATAGGATTTGTTTCTTTAAGAGTTGGTAGACATTTTCTCCAGCTTTTACTTGGGAATAGATTTGGTGGGTCATGTGGTAGATGTATTTTTAATTTTATAAGAAATTCTTACATTACTTAAATAGTACAAGTTTTGCATTCCTACCACTCACGTATCAAAGTTTCCACTACTTTACATAGTCACTAGGACGTAGTATCAAGAATTTTGTCTTTAAAATAATATTAGAAAATCTAATAGTTGTTTATTAGTATCTCATAATGCTTTTTCTTTTTCTTTCTTTCTTTTTTTTTTTTTTTTTTTTTTGTACTGGGGATTGAATTTACAATATCACACTTGCCAGGCAGGTGTTTGTACAACTGAGCTATATCCCTATCCCCAATTTTCATTTCTTTAGTGACTGATTGTGGTAAACATTTTTTGATATGCTTATTTGTATTTCATTTTTTGATCAAGTATCTTAAAGTTTTTAATAATTTTAAAAATTTTGTTTTTTTATTATGAGAGTATTTTCTCTATTGGAGATACAAATCTTAGCCTGGCTTTAAGTCTTTTATTAGATATATGTTTTTTAAACATGTGTCGTTTTGTGGCTTTTTTCCTCCTCCTGTGTGTGTGTGTGTGTGTGTGTGTGTGTGTGTGTGTGTGTGTGTGAGAGAGAGAGAGAGAGAGAGAGAGAGAGAGAGAGAGAGAGAGGATCTTACTCTCCATTTCAGGCTGTAGCCTAGGCTGATTTCAAACTTGCAATGATCCTCTGCCTCAGCCTCCTGAGGGGACTAGAGACGTGTGCCACCATACTTGGCTTTTTCCCCCATTCTTCACCATGTATTTTAATCAACAGAAAAATTTCCAGGCACTGTGGTGCACCCCTGTAATCTTAGCTACTGAGGGAGGAGGAAGGCAAATTTGAGGTCAGCCAGGGCAAATTAGTGAGACCTTCTTCAAATAGGACATGTAATATAGGGATGATATATGGACCTTCAAATAATATAAGGAAACATTATAATTTAGTTTACTAGATGTTTGAAATGCCAAGTTTGTGTTCTGTAAAATCAAGGAGTGAATTTGAGGAACTACAGAATTTAAGAGTAGGAACAGTTTATTGAGAGAAATACACCTTCTGTCTAAAGGAGACAGAGAAGGGCCCAGAAAGTGGGTTGCCTGCCAACCCCACTGTTACTGTTTGTGTCTAGATGTTCCTCCAAAGCCTCATGCAATCATAGTGGGTGGACTTTTCAGGGATGGCTGAATCTAGAGTTTGTGATTGGTTCATTGTCTAGTGCTAAGATTCGAGGCATGAGTGCTATACCCACTCTAGGGCATACAATATAAGAGAGGAGAAGAGGCTAGCTTCTCCCCTTTTGCACTAGTTGCTTTTGCTGTCTTTGCTACCACCATGAACTGTTGCCCCTGTACCATGCCACTCTGCCTTGTAGCCAGCTGATTATGGACTGAAACCTCTGTAAACTGAGCTGAATAAATCTTTCCCTCTTGAACTTTGGTTGTTGGATGTTTTGTCACAGCAACAAGAAAAAGTAATTAAGACACTCACTTCTCGAAGGTGTTTCATTGAGAAAATCCGTGAGGTGAGATAGGTTCAAGGTGAGACAAAACTGCTAAGATTACAAGTATAGTCGTTTAGGTAATATTGATCCAATGGGAAATTACAAGGTGGGTGTGAGGTGGAACAAAACTATGTTGAACCAATAAGATTACAACAAGTATAATTGCAGGGGGCTGGAGATATAGCTCAGCGGCATAAGCGCCTGCCTTGCAAGCAGGCAGTCGTGAGTTCGATCCCCAGTACCGATAAAAAGGAAAAAGACAAAAACAAAACAAAACAAAACAAGTATAGTTGCTTAGGTAATTGGGGCTCAAATGGGGAAGCAAGTCACATTTAGTGTAGCTGCATCACTTGGATGATTCCAAGGTCTGCAACAAGGTTGAAAAGCAGTCAGGCCCAATTAGATCATGGCTATAAAGGCTACTGAGTGCCTGGATGACTGAGCACCAATTCCTTGACAACTCTTCTTGAGCAGGGAGCCCAGGGGCACTCTTCTCAATGAAAACTTCGCAGTTTTGCATTCTTGAGCCTCTAAATTATTCCTGAGGTGCCTTTACAACATCTTTGTTATTGTTCTATTGAAAAGTACTTGGCTTATTTTTAATGCTAATGTTTTCAGCAACCAAGTTGTTTATGGCACCAACTTTGAGGGTGCTTCCTTTCTGATAAAACTGTGTTATTAAATCCAGGTTTTCACTATAGATCTGGCTAAAAGCAGTCAGTAGTACTCATGTGACAGCCTGAATATTGGGTTGCTTTGAAATTTCCTTTAACAGATTAATTAGTGAACATCTTTAATCTTAGTTTCCTGCAAAGTTTGACGACATGGGCAAAATGGAGACAAGTTTTCTGGCAGAACACAACACACAGCCTGTAGTCTAATTGTCAATTGAGTCCTCACACCCAACCAAAACCTCCCAAGTCTGGCCTTTACTGTCCACATTCCTATCAGCACTCTGGTCTTCGGAATGCTGATCAGAGTCTTCCATAAGTTTTTGCTTACTCTGCTTACAGAATTGTAAGGCTTCTCTAGCCAACATCTCCCAACCTTCTCTGCAGCAAGTTCCAAAGGTTTCTAAGCAAGATTGTCAGGGGTAGTTAAATCAACAATCTACTTCTCTGGTACTGATCTCTGTATTAGTTACTTTCCCATAGCTGGGACCAAATACCTGATAATGGGGACATAAAGGAGGGAACAGTTTATTTTGGTCCATGGTTTCCTTCCATGGTTGCTGGTTCCAAGGAAGACACAGGATGGTAAAAGGGCATGGTGGAGGAGATGGTGCTCAACCTATGGCATCAAGGAAAGAAAAGGAAGAAGCTAGAGCCAAAAATACAGTTTTCCAGGTGTCTTGCTTACTTTTCTCTCGTTGTGAGATAAAATACCTGACACCCAAAATTAAGGAAGGAAAGGTTCATTTAGCTCACGGTTTGTGGAGGTTTCAGTTATAAATAGCTGGCTCCAAAGCAGGGTGCTATGGCATCAGGGCAACACTTCAAGGTGGCAGAAGATAGCAAAAGCAGCAAGAGCAAAAAGCAGGAAAAGAGCAAGCCTCTTTTCCTGGTGTATATTATGCAGGGTATCCACCTACACCATCTCCCATGCCCTCCTCTGGCACAGGCTCAGGATGTTTACAAAGTGAGCACCCTGGTCCCCTGCTGCATCACTTAAACTTCTGAACTTCTCAGGTTGACACAATGAACATCACAGAGCAGTAAGGCATGTCCTCTACACCCCAGGATGTAGAGTTCCCAAGGTGACACAATGTACTGACCATTACACCAAATCTCACCCCCATAAATTGATCAAGGACCTTAACATTCAACCAGGCCCCAACTCCTAGCAGCACATTAAGCTCCTGAACTGATCAGTGGATTAATCCATTAATGAGTGTATTGCACCTATGGTTCAGTCACCCTCCACATATGAAACTATTGAGGAATATTTTGTATCTAAACAATAATTGGCTTACTTGGGAGTTTTTTATGTTAATTATTTGTGTTTTTATATATTCTGGATATTAGTCCTCTGTCAGAAGAGTAACCGGCAAAGATTTTCACCAATTCTGTATGCTGTCTCTTCAGGCTGTTATTTTCTTTGCCATGCAGAAAATTTTTTGTTTTGTTTCAGGTTTTTGAGATAGGCTCTTACTCTGTTGCCCTGACCAGCCTTGAACTTGGTATATATTCCAGGCTGCCCTCCACCTCATGATCCTCGTACCTCAGATTATAGGTGTGCGCATTCATGCCCAGCTCTTGCAGAAGTTTTTAAAAGTTTTGTAATGTCCTTTGTCAGTCTTGCTATTATTTCCTGAGTAGTGGAGTTCTATTGAGGGAGTGTTGCCTCTATCAATTTGAAGTGTTTCCCCTATGTTTTATTCTGGTGTTTTCAGAGTTTTGGGTCTTACGTTAAGGTCCTTGACCAATTTTGAATTTTTTTTCTCTCAAGTGAGAGAGATTTAGTTTGTCTTTTATAGGTGGATATTTACTATTACCAGCATCATTTGTTGAAGATATTATCTTTTCTACAGAATGTTTTTGGCTCCTTTGTCAGATGGTGGGAGGTGTATGGGTTTATTCTGGATATTCCATTTTATTTTGTTGACATACATATCTATTTTTATACCAAATATCATGCTATTTCTGTTGCATTGGTTCTATAATATATTTTGAAATCAGATATTGTGCCAGGTGTGGTAACACATGCCTGCAATTCAAATACTGTGGGAGGTTGAAGCAAGAGGATCAAAAGTTCAGTCCCAGCCTGGGCAACTTAGCAAAATATTTTCTCAAAATAAAGGGGATAAGGATGTACCTCAGTGTGAAAGTCCTGGGTTGAATTTCTTGTACTAAAAAAAAAATCAAGTATTTTGATACCATCAACATTATTCTTTTGCTTAGGATTGCTTTGGCTGTTGGGGGGTCTTTTGTATTTTTAAATGAATTTTAGGTCTTTTTTCTAGTCCTGCAAAGAATGTCATTAGTATTTTTGCTGAGGATTGCATTGAGTCTGTAAGTTTCTTTCAGCAGTATGACTGTTAGTTCTGATATGCCAACTGTACTGGGTTAAGAAGCAACTCACATATTAGTTGAGTGTGCTTCTGGATGTTTCTGGGTAAATTATGGAGATGTAGCATGGGTACTACCTATGGCCCCTCATCCATTCATCTTCAGTGCTGTCCACCTGCTCTGCTCCCCAGCCACCATGAACTAAACAATTTTGTTTCATGTGCTCTTCTGCCATGATGTTCTTGTCTTAGAGCCAGATAACTATAGACTAAATTCTCCCAAACTATGAAATAAATTAAAATTTTTCCTCATTTAAATTGTGAATATTGAATGTTAGATCCATCAACTGGAAAGCTGACTAATATAGAAAATTCGTGTCCAATAAATGGCATTATTGCTGTGACTATACCTGACCATGTGTTCTAGAAATTTTTGCATCTTGTTTATGGAAGGAGTTTGGTGACATTAGGCAAAAGAGCCCTAGAATGTTAGAACCACAGCCTGGTGTGTGATTCTGTTCAGAGCTCAGAATGCTTATAGGAATGTGGAAGAAAAAGTTTATATAGCTTACAGTTTGTGGAGGTTTCAGTCCATAGTCAGCTGGCTCCAAAGCAGGGTAGCATGGCACCAGGGCAATGCTTCAAGGTGGCAGAAAATTAGCACTAGCAGTTTCTTCTGTCCAGCAGAAGATAGCAGATAGCAGATAACAGTGGATAGTAAATGAGATTTTACTGGCAGCAAGAACTCAACCGCAATTGGACTAGAGACCATATATGTTGTCTTCTGGCAGAAATTTGCCCTATAATTTGCCCAAATCTTGAGACTTTGTGATAAGTGAGCTTAAGAGCTAAGGAAATTTCAAAGACACCCTAAAATTGAATCTGTGGCATGGGTACTGCCTGCTGCATTTAACCAGATTTACAGTGAGACTCAGGAAAAAAAAGCAAGAAAAGTTTGAAAAACAAATTTTGGCCTAGAAGTAACTATGTAAAAATTAGCGCCAAAGGAGGTATAGCTGCTAAAGGGATTGGCACCATTAAACAGAAACAAAGTACTTTATACAGAGACAAGAAGAAAGATGCTTGAGGGCATCTTAGGAAGCATCAAGATGCTACTCACTGCAGGTTCAAGGATACAAAAGTATCAATCTTTCTTCCAAGAAGAGAGTCCCTAGGACCCATGGTCAAGAAGGGGCTCCTAGGAGCTGGGCATGGTGGTGCATGCCTATAATTTCAGCACTCTGGCACGGAGGTAGAAATATCACTATGAGTTTGGAGCCACCCTGGAATACACAATGAATTCAAGGCAAACCTGTCTTAAACCAAAACAAAATAAAGGAAGGCAAAAAGCAAGAGATCTCTTAGGGAACTGGTTCTCCAGGATTCATTTCACTGTGTTCACTAATCCGGGCACTCAGCAGCCACTTTAGCCATGGTCCAAGGGGGCCCAGCTACTACTGTCACTGATGGCAAAACTTAGCATTGTCCATGTGGATGCTAGTTTTACTGGCATGCTGAATGCAAGAGTTGTGGGGTCAAGGAGGCTTCCATTCAGATTTCAAAGGAAGGTCTGGGAGGCTGGAAAGGAACCCCCAAGATGCAGATGAGAGAATTAGACAGAGACAAGGGGAGACCCCAGAGAGCCCAAGATGCTAGGAACATGGGATGTCTGCCAAGGAAAGCTGTAGGCTGTGAATGGAGTCACAGAGAGATACCATGTATGCTACAAATGGCAAGGCTGTGGGAGTGGGGCTGCCCAAGCCCTTTGGAACCTTATTTTAGATCACAACATAACCTAGATGCCAGATATGGAAGTGCAGGACTTCATGTTTGTTCTGTTGTGTTTTCATCTTGTTTTGTTTGATTCTTTTCCATTCTATTGTTCCCTTTTGCCATTGGAGTGTGCCACTGTAGCTTGGGATTGTATAACTTGTATTTTATTTTTATAGGGGCTCACAGTTAAAGAGTTTGCTTTCAGTATAAGAAGGGACTTGTACTGGGACTTTTGAAAAATGGCTAGAACTGTTGAGGCTTTGGAGAAGGGATTACTGCATATCTGGTTATATGTGAGATAGTCATAGTATGTTAGGCAGAATTATAAACTTGCTGTTGTCTATTGGGAGAGTATGGGTAGAGAGATGCATTCAGGTGTGAAGTTGACTGAGGGCTGGGATATGGCTGTTAGGGAGGAGCTTCAATTTGATTGGCTTTGAGATCCACCTGTGGCATTAGGGAAGCACTCTTCCAGGTGTGTCTGAGTGGGTCATGGAGGCATGGCCTTGAGGTCTATGGCCCCTTGCTTCTTTGCCTCTGGAACTCTTCCCCTGCTTTGCTTTCTATCTGCCATGAACTAAGCAGCTGTGTTCCCTCACACCTTTCTGCTGTCACATAGAGCTTTGGAGTCAGCCAATTACAAATCGTCTTTCTTCAAGTAGTGAGTGTTAGATGTTGTGTGTTAGTCACAAGAAATCTGACCAATACAGGTGGTATGACTTTTTTTTTTTTTTTTTTTTTTTTTTTGTCTCTTTCGTTTTTATTGGTACCAGGGACCGAACTCACGACTGCCTGCTTGCAAGGCAGGCACTTATGCAGCTGAGCTAAATCCCCAGCCCCTATATGACCTTTTTTTTTTTTTTTTTGAGACAGAGTCTTGCTACATAGTTCAGGCTGGTCTTGAATTCACTATGAAGCACATGCTGGCCTCGAACTTGTGGAAATCCTCTTGCCCCAGCCTCCTGGGATGACAGGTGTGTGCATCAAGCCTGGATTACGGCCATTTTAAGAATGAATTGAATTTTCCCAGAAGATCAACACTGAACTAAATCACTTGGTTCTTGTCCAGTTTGGTTTGTGACTAGAATTGTGGGAAGAATTAAGTTCATGAACTGAGGTACCACCATACATAATATAACTTGATTCTTTTTAAAATTCTCTTCCTCTTTTTAAAAATTTGTATTGTTTTGCTTTGTTTGAGACAGGGTCTCACTATGTAGCCCAGGCTGGCCTTGAACTCACAGCAATCCTCCTGGCTGAGCTTCCCAAGTGTTAGAATTATATGTGTGCATCACCATGCCTGGCCTCCCTCAGTCTCTAAAATCCCCTTTGCCACCTTCATTCTTATTGTTACTATTATTGCTTTCCATTCACATTTATGACACATTATGTTTACATTCATTGTAGATATTTTGTATCTGCATGGCACATCTTAAATCTTTTTCTTTCTCCTTCTTCTGTCCTCTCCCCTCTCCCTTGGTCTCCTGGACCTCTTCTCATTTGCATAAGATCTGTCTCCCTATTTATTTTTACCCATTCTTTATTTTGCTCTTTGGCAGGGGGTACCGGGGATTAAACTCATGATGTTATACTTGCCAGGCAGGCACTTACACCACTGAGCTAAATTCCTAGCCCTATTTTGCTCTATTTTGCTCTTTATTTGTATTCTACCATTCTCAAATGAGAGAGAACCATAGTTTTTTTTTTTTTTAAAGATGGGTATCTATTTCACTTAACATACTTTCTAGGTGTATCCATTTTCTTACAAATGTCTCAATTTTACTCTTTACTAAATAGTATTCCATTATGTATAGATACCATATTTTCTTCATCTGTTCTGTTGTAGAGATCTTTCATCTCCTTGGTTAGATTTGTTTCAAGTTTTTTTTTTAAGGTTATTGTGAATGAGACTGTTTTCCTGATTTTTTTCTTAGTGAGTTCATTATTGGTGTATAGGAAAGCTACTGATTATTGCATCCTACTTTTCTGAGTTTGTCAGTTCCGAGACACTCTGTGGGTTCTTTAGGGATTTCTGGGCATAGAATCATATCATCTGAAAACACCAAGTTTGACCTCTTTCCTATTTGTATCCCATTTATTTCTTTCTCTTGCTTGATAGTTCTGCTAAATTTTTCTTAACTATCCTGAATGAGACAGATACTTCTGTTCCTTATTTTTACAGTTTTACCCTGGTGTTAAATTTTATCCAAGGCTTTTCTCCATCTGTTGAAATGATCCTATGATTTTTGCCTTGATTCTATTTATGTGAATTTCATTTATTGATTTCTGTATGTTCAACATTGTATCCTGGAAATGAAGCAAACTTGGTTATGGTATGTGACCCTTTTAACATGATGTTGAACTTGATTTACAAGCATTTTACTAAGGATTTTTGCATTTGTAGTCATCAATGATATTAAAGTGGTTTTTTTGATAGGTGGAAGTACTGGTTTTGTAATGTGAATTTCCAAGTGTTCATTTCTCTTCTGTTTTATAGGGTATTTTGAGTGTTAGTTCTTGTTTAAAAGCCTCTTAAAATACAGCAGTGAGTCTGTCCAGTTCTGGGATTTTCTTTGTTGTAAGACTTTTTATTACTGCTCCAATCTCATTGCTTCTAATCTAATTAGGTTATATACTCTTGGCTTAGTTTTGGTAAGTCGTATGTGCCCAGCAAAATAAAAAACTACTTTTATCACTGTAGCTCTATCAACTGGAGGTAGGTTTTATATTTTACCTTTGTTTCTCAAGTGATACAGAAGTTGCCTCCTTTTTTGATTTTGTTTTGTTTTTTAAGACAGGATCTCACCATGCAGTTTAGGCTGACTCTGAACTCATGGTGACCCTCCTGCCTCAGCTTCATGAGTACTGGTGTTAAATTTCCTCCTTTATGCCTGATTTTTCATTTTTTCAGTGCTGGGAACTGAACCCAGGGCTTTCTCACTGAGCTATATCCCAAGCCCTTTTTCGAGAACAGGCATTGCTAAGTAACTTGTGCAGGTTAGGCTCTAACTTGAAATCATCCTGCCTTAGCCTCCCCAAGTGCAGGGAGTATAGGCATAGACCACCACAGCTGACTTTTTTTACATACTATGTGAAAACATCAATACTAGATGCTATTCAATTGTATTTTATTCATTCTTGTGCTGCAGATTGAATCCAGAATGTTGTGCATGACATCTTTTATCTTGGTTTCAAACCCAGTTTTATCTTTTCATATTACTAATATCTTGGAACAGTGGGAGCAACTTAGCATATCAATTCATGATACTGGATCCAAAGACTATACTTTTCTCTTTTCCTATGGCAGGTAAGATAGTTATGTTTTTCATTCCATTAGTATATACTGAATTTTTGTGCATTCATATTTCAATTTGGTATCTTCATGTCATCTATATTATCCATGATGCCAAGTTTTCATCAACTGACTTGTTCACATTTTATACAGCCTATTTTCATGGAGCAGACTCAAGGCACCTGATGGCTATTTCAAATAAACTTTTTAGATCTTTGTAGACTCTTCTATTAATTTTCTGTTAACAGAACTGAAGTCCTAATTTGTTAAAATCAAAATACATTTCATGTTCACAATTTCATAAAGAAATACAAGACTCAATATTATGTATAAATTTTGAAGAAAGCATGTATATAGCAAGGTCTGGCCTATTGGTTTGTTCAGTATAAAATTAAATTCTTAGAAAACTATAGAATACTTACTGGTTTGATATTTTGTTGAACATATCCTACCAAAAGCCAAGAAGCTCAATGAGTACACCTACTAGTATGTCCTGGTAACAGGTGAAGATCAGACACTTTAAAAAGCAGGCCCTTTTGTCTTTAAAAACTAGCTTTATTTAAAAGACTCTAAAGGAAACAAACTCGCAATACATAGTCAAGAAAGCCTGCCATACATCATTTCTACAATAGTAGGTCTACATACTGACATTCTTTATACAATGCACAAATGACATTAGCATCATCCCTGAAAAGAATGGCCAACAATGACATGGGCTGTCTCAACAACAGAACCTCTACTTGTCTTACTATTTCAGAATAAAAAACAAAAACACAGAAAACAAATTAAACAACAATTTTAAATACTAACATAGTGTTTAGGGAAAAGTGAACAGGAGCAGAAGAGAGAAACAGGTAAGAGTTAATTATCTCAAATAAAAAAGGAGAACTGACCACTATTTGTAGTAATTTCTATAATTATTTCAGAGTCAGGTATGTAACTAATTTAACACTCGAACTTTTAAACAAATTATCCAATTTTTATCAATTACAAAGCCAATTTTATTCCTTTTAAAATTGTAATTTCATATAAACTATAAAAATAAATAATTTGGGATGATTTAACTTTAGTATATGTGCTGCTGAATCGAGCACTGGGATGATCTAATTTCTCACATTTAAATATTACCATAAAGTAGTTCATGAGTCATTTCAGATTAATACTTGTTTATACCAAATTTCAAAAGACTTTATGTGAAAATATCAGACAAAAGCAAACCAACATATAACACTAAATTTTTAACACAATAAACCTCTGAAAATATGAGTATTCAAGTCAATTATAATCAGATTATGACATGGTACAGTATCTGGTATTTTTAAAAATATTGACTAAGATTTATTGCTATATCCTATCAACAATCAAAAATATAAAATATACCACAACCACCATGCCAAATATGATGCAGTATAAGAATATTAATATAACACAAGTACACATTTACTTTATAATATACTCACTGTAGTAAAACTTTATTCAGAATAGTGTGAATTGATAAAAGTCTAAAAAGATGAATATTTAAAAGATATTCAGTTTAAGCACTCACAAGTATTTTTTCTTTCAAGCATATAATTTCGAATATACAAATTCCATTGGCCAAGTATTACCTATTAAAATAATCTTGGGTACTTGTTTTAATGACAAAACAAGAATGCTTTTAAACTAGTGTTCTTAAATGACTCTAAAGTCTAAAAAAATTTAAAACTGTCTTCAAAATTAAATTTTTCTTTCAAGTCTTGATTATTACTTTTATTAACAAATCCTTTTATCAGATAGTACAAAGGAAACAGTATTCAAGACCTTGTATCACGACTACAAATTCTAATTAAGTTTTATAGTATCTTAGTCATTTCTTAATAAATGAAGATTTGTATTATTATTTGCTTATGACAGAGTGAATGATACTATTTGGTTGAGAACTATCTACTTTAAATTCAAAGCCTGCTGTATAATATTAGCATGGGTTTTCAAAAGTCCTAATATGCACTGTCAGTTAAGATAACTCTTTAGTAAGGTATACCTGTAAATAGATCAAATTTTAAATAAGTATTTACTATGAGTGTCACGAATTGCTAACACCAAATTTTACTTCTTTCTCACATTTCAAAGACATCAGACCATCTTTTTTTTTTTTTTTTTTTGTCTTTTTTCATCTTTATCGGTACCAGGGATTGAACTCACGACTGCCTGCTTGCAAGGCAGGCTCTTATGCCGCTGAGCTAAATACCCAGCCCCCATCTACTAATCCATAAATATTGGTGTTTCACATACTTCATAGAGTAGCTTAAAACATACCAGCATAAGAAATAATTAGTATTACATAGTAATTTCCTTTCTCATAGGAATAAATGTTGGACAAAGTCTGGAAACATTTTATTTTCCAATTTGAATTACAGTAATTTTGTCACAGACCACAGCACTAGTGCATGTATTACTTTAGACATGCTCTAAGAACAAAACAAAAAAATTACTGCAAAAATACATGTCACCAATGTGGAACACACTCAGATTTGTATAAAAGTACTGAACTAATATCCCAAAAGGAGGTATATGTAAACAGTACATAAGGAGGAAATAGTTTTAATATGAAACAATCATTTAAGTCACATACATCATGATAAGAAGCAGGACTTTCTTTTATAAAAGATAACATCTTAACAAGCAACATCATCTACGCATCTATAGAACAAGAAAAGCACAGGTATTGTGAGTACATTTTAATATTGTTCCAATAATGTAAATTGATAAAATACGACCAACACAGAGCTTCTCCATTGGGCATCATTAAGTTTGTAATTAAGCATGGTGGTGTCTGAGAGCCACTTCCTCCCTCCATCCCCCATCTCCTGTCTTGCCAGAAGTTAATGCTATACCTCCTCTCCTCCCTGCAGAATGTGCCAAACCCCCATTGCTGTACCAAAAGAAGTTGGAAAATGTAGAGGCGACTTTTATAGTGATCAACAAGCTAAGTGGAAGAGAAAGGAAAAGTTACTAAAATTTGGAAATAAGGAAATCTCTGAGTACAGTACTAGAAGACAGCAGGCTGTAAAAAAAGAAAAGTCACAAACAATTGAAGGGTAAGACAGTACCAGCATATTTGTTAAAAATATTGCTTCCTATGGTACGTGAATTGTGGTCATACTGTCTAAAGTGTCAAATGTTAAAGACTCATTCTGAAGATCCTTTTTTTTTTTTATCGGTACCGGGGATCAAACTCATGACCACCTGCTTGCAAGGCAGGTGCTTATGCCGCTGAGCTAAATCCCCAGCCCCCGAAGATCCTTTTTTTAAAAAGAAAATTTATTGTCATTTTCTCTGCTAACTTCATATTTCAGCAGAAAAAATACTTTTCTTTCAAAATCTAGCCAACTGACATCATGCAGGAAACAGATTTTTTTTTTTTTTTTTTTTGGTACCAGGGATCGAACTCACTACTGCCTGCTTGCAAGGCAGGTGCTTATGCCGCTGAGCTAAAGCCCCAGCCCCAAGAAACAGAATTTTTAAAAGTTTTTTTTGAGACAAGTGTCTCACTATGTAGCTCAGGCTGTCTTCAAACTCACAGTGATTCTCCTGCCTCACCCCCCCCCCACACTGAGATTACAGGTGTGTGCCACCACACCCAGCTCAGAATTTCTGATCAGAGGAAAGATGGGAAATTTTGAGGCACATAGGTTCTCAGAGGGGAAAAGCCAAGTCTGTTTATACAGCATTCCACTAGAAAATTTAGATGGTAATAGAGCAACTGAGAAATAAACCACATTAAGAACTTAACCTTCTTAATCATGTCAAGGAAAAATTTCTGCTTCTTTTACACTGACTGGCTCACTAAAGAACACTAAGAATTTAGTGTGATAACAACAGTTGACTACACTACAGTTTAAACAAGCCTTTATGAGCTTCCCTAAGAATCTAATCATTTTATATTGAGATCCAAGCCACTATTTACAAATGGACTTTGGGAGCCTGGATGCTTTCAACTTTTTAAATTAAAACCTTTAAAACAGCACAAATGTTCATGCATATGAAACCTCTATATACTGGAAAAAAGAAATCCAAAACATATTAGAACTCCTTTTTTCACAATCATTGTTAGAAAAATTGTTTATATTTTTTACTGTTAAATACAACTAGTATGCTGAATAGTAAGCACTAACACTTTAATTTGTTCAAGACACTTAAGTCTGAAAGACACAGTCTTATGAAGACTCTTGATACTTGTTTTATGCGGATGATTAAGGTCAGCAGATTTTATAGTGACATGCTGTATTTTACTTTCTACCACTAGGCTCAGTTGGGAGTCTTAAAAAAACTCAAACAAACAAACAAACAAACAAAAAACCACCAAAAAAAAGCCCAATACGGATTTTTTTTATATTGTGCTTATTTATAAGGCATAAGCACTAGCCCAAGAAAAATCTTCAGTTTCATGTGTATAACCTCCTCTTATGAATAACAAGAATCATACTAGCAGTACTGTAAAGTATTTCATTCAATAGGAAAATACTGATCAGAAATCTCAGTACTCTTCCGAAGAACAACTTCCTTTACAAACTAAGCCCTCTCAGCTTTAGTGCATCCAGTATCCTCTAGCAGCATACGCACCAGGAATCCAGGTGAGCAAATTCACCAGTCACCAGGCCTCGGCCCATGAGCCTAGACGGTAATGGGCTGAACTGCAGCACAATCTGGGAACATAGGAGGAAATCAGCTTTCCTACTCAACAGTGTGTGTGTCCTTGTACATAGGTGTGCATGAGATGAGGCCTTTGAGTGCAGGAAAAGTAGAGTCCCCCCCAAAATCTAACCCTACATATATTTCTTTCCATGACTAAAAACTATTAAAGTTGAGGGCAGCTCATTGCTTTTCCTAAAAATGCCCTATCGATTTGCGTAACAGTCTTGTTTGGGTGAAACAAGGCCAATGTTCTGGCCATACTCACAGTTCACTTTTTTTACCCAAAAGTATCTATGTAACTCTGGACAAGTGTGGAAGTAGTAAGAAAATTAATTTAAACACATGCAAACATTTGGTAGGTATGACTGTAGTTTAGCTGTGACTCATGTGAGACTCAGCCGTGCTTTTCTTTAGAATATTTAAAACTTCTTATTTACATAAGGGGATTTGAAAACCTAAACACTTGAATAAATAGTCACTGGCCTGTGTGTTTTAAATAGACAATTGCTTGAGACTCGAAAATGAAAGAATCACTTTATAAATCAAATATCTTTAGACTGTCTTGAGAGGCCATTTCGTTTTTTAATGAAAACAGCTAATTACCGAAACTATAAGCAATAAAGGGCTTAACTGCATAAAATCAACATCAACGATGAGCACAGCTCAGTACCGCCCTGTAGGTGTGAGCTCCAAACATCCAGCTGTGGGCGGAGATACATCGTGTTGGTAGAGTGTGTGGCCTCGGAATGCCATGGGCTCAATCCCCTGCACCACAAAAAACAAAACCTAGTTCTATGCAGAGTCTTAAAAAGCTATGTTCTGACACTAGGAGTAGGTTTATAGCATGCAACACTCAAAGGAATTTCAAAAAAACAAAACAAGACTAGGTAGATCCTTACTTATACAATGTAAGCACAATATGATCAATCTTCAAGTATGTTCTAAAGACCATCGATGTGAGAGACAGTCCAAAATACTGCATCATAATCTGCTTCAACTGGTAATACCTTCAGACAAAGGAATACCTGGTGTTGAAGTTTGTAGCATTTCATTTCTTAAAATAATAATGATACACACATACAACTACTAGAAATACCTTTGTACACACCTCTAGTCAAGAATGAATGAAGAAAATCTTGAATTACCTTGTACCATATGAAATTGCTATTTTGTAAGTAAAAAAACCATTAAAAAGTTTTATTCAATCAAAATGTGGATCAGCATTTTTCTGATATTAAATATTTAATTTTCATAAAATTATTTTTCTACTGTATAAACTGTTCAAATCCTCCAGTTACTGCTTCTCAGTTGTGAAGTGTGTTCCCTTTTTTTTTCTTTTTTTGAGAGAGAGGGGCTCATTATGTAGTTCAAGCTGCTGGTCTTGAACTCCCTATGTACTGTAGGCTGGCCTTGAACTTGTGGTGAGCCTCCTGCCTTAGTCTCCTGAGTGCTGGGATTACAGACGTGTATCACCACGCCCAGCTGTGTTGTTTCTTAGAAAAAGCTCCAAGGATAAAAAAGATGGTAGTTCTTTTTTTTTTTTTTTTCTTGTCTTTTTCCTTTTTATCGGTACTAGGGATCAAACTCATGACTGCCTGCTTGCAAGGCAGGCGCTTATGCCACTGAGCTAAATCTCCAGGCCCCAAGATGGTAATTCTTTAGCTAAAGCTCCAGTAGCTATGACGGATGTGATAGAACCTCACAGTCCAGGCTTTGCTTGAGTGGCTTGCGACATGAGGTGAAGTCCTGTCCTGTTAAAGTATGGATTTGTGTTTGTCAACCAAAAGATGTTCATGAACGAAACTGTACATATGCAATTTAAATTTTTAAAAACATGCTGCTACTGTCATTGCTCCCCCAAGTTTGCCCTGTATTAATTATCTCTTTAACAGATTGCCACAGCCTTCAGAACTTCTGGTCCTGGTGACTGGAGCAGTGCACTATTACAGAGCTTCATCAGCATCCAACCACTGTGGGGCTTGCTGTCGGCTGTCACACAGTAGCTTCTTCTTTTTTGTTATTTGGCCACAGGTTATGGTCTGCGCTACAAATGAGCTTCTGCTGTTTTGAATTTTACTGAGCACACTTTCGTCTGTGTTCTCTGATGGTGTACTTTCTGGTCCATTTTCAGACTTTCACCAGTAACAGGAGAAATTCTGAAGCCTGCAGCAAGGTTTTCAAAGTTAGCTTTCATCTTGGCTGTTAATTAGCCATCTGTCTAAAATGGGATTTTGATGTTCTCTGAAGTTTACTTTAGAAATTCAGATCCTCAGACCAAGATTTTTCACACTACTACTGAGTAGCTCTTTTGCTAGCAGAGCCCGCTAAGACTTTCCTCATTTGCAGTATGTCCCAGTTATAAATCATATAAATGAAAATGTTTGCAATTCTTCTGAGAACACTGTGTTAGTTATTTCTCTGGAAAACAGTAACATGGAGTAAAGAAAAATTAAGAACATAATGTTATTATAATTCTAAATAATTCAACTAGAAACATGCTTTATGTCAACTTTACTTACTGTAGTCAATTTTCAATTGATCTAATATTAGCAATTTCATGTGGTACAATCCATAAGTTAATAAGCAAGAACTTACTGAAAATCCGCTTTATGCTACAATCTGTTTCTACCTCATATTTGTGTTGATACACTGGGAAGACTTACCTGAAAGTATGAAAGTCACTAATTTTAAAGACCCTAGTGGAAGAGCACACTGTATTATTTTTTAAAAATCCACTGATATATATGCTGTGCTACAGACACATATATTATGTTTGGAAAATATGTCAAATGCATCTTTGAAAGACTTTGTGAACTAAATGTGTAATGTGCTATGGCCAAAAGTCATTACTGAAATATACAATTTTCAGTGATTCTAACTTTAAGAAGTTAACACTGGCCTGTAATTGTTATATATTATTTTGAAGCTTCAAGAGGCTTTTAAGATAAATAACAACTAACATCTATTTATAAATGTTTCCAAAGCACACCCACATACATTTTTCTCATTTACAATAGCCAACGAAGACAATACAAAACCTGAACTACTAATGAAGTAGAATATTAATAAAAAACTAAATGATAAATAATGTTTTTTATGTTACTTTAAAAAATAATGTAAAATACTAAAATCTGGGCACCAAACGTCTGTAATACACAGGCAGAAAAACACCACATGGGTCCATGCCTGTGATCAAGCATCACTGCCCACGGCGGGGGGCCCCAGGGTCTCTCTGGTGCGCATCAGCTGGACGTCCTTGTCAGCCATGCAGGTGTCACAGCCCCACACTGCAGACGCCTCTGCAGTCAGCAGGCCGTAAGCTGTCTCCGTCATTCCCGTGCAGATCCGATGGAACCACTTCTGACAAGAGGCCTCACATAAGATGGCATCCTGGTCGTCGTTCACTTCATTTGTGCAGATCCCGCAAGGGTACACCGGGTCAGAGGACGAGTGGCCATGGCGGCTGGGGTGCAGCGAAGATTTATTGCTTTTCTCAGTGGGGCCCACATCGGCCCCACCTCTAGACTGTGGTGGCTTATTCTGTGTCCCATTTGCATGGCTGTTATTTGCAGTTTCAGTGCTGCTTGAACGGCTACTCTCTTGATTTACAACATTGTTTCGATTAACATTTTTTAATTCAGTGTTACTCTGGTTCACTGTGTCATCCAAATTTAAGTGAGGTGGATGAGCAGATGAATTTTGATTAGTGTTTTTGGTTGTTCCTTGACTAAAGTCTTGTTTTGGAGGTGGGGCTTTTGCTTGACCAAAAGTGTTTGGGGGCAGAATAAAAGAATGATTAGATTCTAATGGAGAAGCGAAGTTTGAGTTATTTCCAGGAACAAAATTAGATGCCAAATCAGGGTTAGATACTTGGCTAGCATTTTGTGGAGGAATCTGACCAAAGTTTTCACTAGGGTTTTGTCTAAAATGTTGATTAGGCATACTAACATTCTGATTTAGTACATTATTGTAAGATGAGTTTCCAAAACTTGAATTATCATGTGGCCCAAAGTTAAAAGCATGAGGTCGATTGAAACCCATGCCCAGCGGGTTCTGAGGAAATGGGTGTGGCTGAGTCCTGAGTGAGTAAGGGCTGCAGTAAGGGGAAGACATTCTCGGGGGGCCATGAGGCGGCATTCTGAATGTGCTATACCCTCCAAAGGCAGGGTAACCAGGGCCAAGATACGGATTTGAGGAAGGCAGTGGTTTGTAGGAAATGGTATTATAGTTGTCATCAAATGGATTAGCAGCCACTAGATGGTCAGAGTTTGGGTTCGGTGGTGGAGCATACTCAGACAACGGAAGGAAAGAAGGGCCCTGGAAAGAGAATGTGAAGGGTGACACCTATTCTTGATCAGAGAAGTTGTTATACTTGTCCTGTTTTCTTAACATCAATGAATTTGGTTTTAGTCCAATTTCTCTTATGTTGTTCAGAAAATTTAATCTCTTCATTGTTCAATTACAATTAATGTTTATATTCAGCTATACTTAGAGATAAAATATGTATTACTTAACGATAAAAAACCCTTGTCTTTCATTTAAAAAAGAAAGTAAGGTATGCTTTTCTGACCTCAAATCCATTGTTACTTCAAACTGTACAAGTATTTAACTTTCAAAAGAAGCTCCATTATTGTAATTTTCATAGTATCGTTGCCTGTAAATGGACTCATTTAAAATATTAGAGCATTTTAACTAAAAATAACTTCTAAGCTTCAAAGTCATAAATTAATACACAATATTATTATACATTAAGTATATTGTACATAAAACAATATACAAGATCCAAATTTTAGAGTATTCCCAAACACTAAGCTGTTGGCCTCACATTGTATTTTTTTGGTTTTGGTTTTTTGAGAAGCTGTCTTGCTACATCGTTCCGGCTGTCCTTGAACTCACTATGTAGTCCAGGCTGGCCTCAAACTTGCAGCAATCCTCCCACCTCAGCGTCCTGAGTGCTGGGTTTACAGTTGTGCACCACCGCACCCAGGTTGTCCTCACATTGTAAAGATAAACTGCCAGTTTTAATCACACTGCAAGTTAAACAACAACCAAAAGGAGAAAACTAATTTGCACAAATATCATATTTACCCATAGTCTTTTTTTATTTTTTGCTTTGGTTTCAACAATAAACATTATTTTGTTGCAGTTTACCCATAGTCGTTAGCATCAAAAGGATGCTTCGTATTTACAGATGATAAAGCCATGAATGCCAGTGTGCAGCATTTATTATAGCTACAAGTTAGGACAGGGTGCCTCCATCAGGACTGCCTCATGGCTCATGAGTTATAATGCAGAACGTTACTTTAGATTAAAATTGTTCCCACATATCTTTATATCTTTTAATAGGACTATACACATTTATAAAAAACCTTTCAATTAGACTTCAGAACAAACAGTTTAACTTGCCTGTTTATACTTTCTTCTTGTATTATCTACTTAAGGCTTACTGTTCAAAATAGCCACTGGCTGCAGACTAAACAACTAATCACTGCAGAATTCATTATTAATTAAGTTCTCAATTAGGACAAGAAACAAAACCCACAACCAAATTTAAATTTCCCTTACTGGCCCAATTATTCCTAAGAAAATGTCCATTTACCTGTGTATTTGCCTTTCGTTTTTTCTTATCAGGACTTCCTAGTTGTACACCTGGTCCTCCTAACCCATCCAGTCCATTATCACCACCTAAAAAAAATGATAATACCTCCACTTGTCAGTGAGTTCACTTTATATCTCTCACAGTAATATTATATTTAATCTGTTAATATGTTTTCTTTGTTGGATGAAAGCAGTACTAAGCTTTAATCTTTATTCTGCAAAAAGTTGTTCTCAACAGTTTCATGTAGAAATCATTTATCTGTTCCCATGGTTATTATTCTTTCATTGAAAAATAAAGGCTCCCTTCTATCCTTGAACTGTTAATTAATCTAGTATTCTGTCTGAGTTCACTAGTACTGGTAGTTTCTGGATGACATAGGTACATTTAAGTATAACACAAATGATGAGATATTATAAGCACTGGTTTTACCTTGCTTCCTTACTTGGAGAATATTCTGGAACTGCTTTGTCCCTTAATACTTGAGTAGTGTTTTATAATATGATTAATCATAATTCATTAAAACTGTCCCCTTCCTATTGGACATTTAGATTTCCAAACATTTTAGCTGCAATAAAACCTCATGTACAAATGTCTTTATTTATATGTATGAATCATTTCTAGAATGGGAATTGTGGCATCAACGGTACATGGTTTTTAATTCTTAAGAGCTATTGTCCAAATGTTAACACTCTTTCCAAGTAGTTTTCTAAACAGTGTGTGAGGGAGCAATGAAAAGCTTTATTAATCTAATAAAGTTTGTCAGTGGAATTGTCTTCACCTTTGAAAACTTTCAATTATGAAGACCTGTGAACAGATACAGTGTAGATACTACAGTACAAGCAGCCCTCTATGCCTATCAATTCATGGTCAATCTTATCTCAGTATTGCTTCCACTCTTCCTCAAACCAATTTTAAAGCCAATTCCAGACATTATATATTTCACCTGTAAGTAATTTTGAAGGACTCAACAAAACAAAGACACAAAACCCTGAAATTTGTCTCATTTCTACAAAAATTAGTATTACCTCTTTACTGTTTAGTATCCAACTCAAATATCCAGTATTTGGTATGGCTGAACAAATATAATAAATGTATTATAGTTGGTTGCCATGTCTGTTCACTGATACATCTCCCACCATCATTCTTTCTTTTCTTATAGTGTATTAGCTGAATTCTGGAATGGAGCTGATCAATGTTCCACCTATTAAGCCATAATCTTTCAGCCATTTGTGATGCTCAAACTGTGTGATCACTGACTTTGCAAATTATGTTTCCCTTCAGCTAGACTCTTCCAACAGAAAACCTGCAAGGTACTAGGAGATGAGGAGAGCTGAGAGGGGATTTCTGCTGCTCCCATCTCCCTGTTGTTCCTGTCTCTGTCTTCCAGCCATGGCCTTCTGTCAAGGGGAACTGGTTCTAAGCTTGAGCTTTCTGCTCCTTCAAGCCAGCTTCCACATGCCTCTCTCCTCAGAGGGATTAGTACCAGCAGATGGTACTTAAACCTGGGTCTGAGCTGTGTGGGGTCCCTCCTCCAACCTTGTAGGTTTCAGTAACAACTTCTTTTCTTTGTTTATTAAACACTAAATATGGAATTTACTTCTCCATGTTTCCTCACTTTTTACTTCTTCAGTTCAACATTTGTTTAACCAATTCTTTACATAAAATTATATTAAAGTATAGCTATGATTTGTTTTTCTGCCTGGAATGTATGATATATCTGTATGATATATTTGCTGGTTGTACCCCATGTAAAATGGTAGCCGGCTCCAGGCTAAAGTCTTGATCCAATTTAGATTTCTGGTTTTTGCAGTACTACTTCACAAGTGATGGTCTGTTCTTCCATCAGAGAGCATGTACTTTCTGCTTATTTTTCTTTGGCTCTTTTACTTTTCCATTGTGGAAATTATCACACACTTGGCCACTTAATGTTTGAGGCTGGAGGGAAAGTTTGGTGACAGAATGTGTGCTTAGCATGTGTAACGCCAGAGTTGGATTCCCAGCACTAAAAAAACAAAAAGTTCATCAAAAGGTATCAAAGTGCCCAGCAATACCTCTCAAAGAGGAATTTCAAACCTAAGAGAATTGAAAATTGGTTGCACCAAAATTTGTGCAAGAATATTCAAAGTACTATTCATAATAGCCAAGAAAGTGGAAATAATCTGTATGTCTATCAATAGCAAATGGGTAAAGAAATGCAATAGTGATATATGCTACAATATATATGATGAACCTTGTTTGTACTGCTAAATGAAATCCAGGCCCAAATGGCCACTACTTAGCTTTGCTACTGAGCTAAGCACCTAAAAATAAAATTTAAAAGCCACTGTTATTTCTTAGTCTGTCGTTCAGAAATCAGGTTATGTTCTCTGCTCAGGATAAACCCAAAACCAACAATGTCAGTATGGTTTGCTTTCATCTGAAGTCCTGGGTGGTGGGGGTAAGGGTGGGATCTTCCCCCAAGCTCCTTCTTGCAGCCAAATTTGGTTTTTTGGGAAGTACTGAGATTCTGTTCTCTGCTAGCTCTTCCTGGGGTCTACCACATTTCTTGACTTGTGGCTCTGCCTACAATGGTGCAACAAATCCTTCAAGTGCTGCAAAGTTTCTAAATTTCACTTCTCAACCAGTTGTAAAGAACTGCTACCAGAGAGCTCATGTGACTAGGTCAGGTCCACCCAGAGTCAAGCACAGCTCCCCTAAGGTCAACAGTGCTGTGTGATGCACCCTAACCAGGGACTGCAATCAGAGAGACTCCAGTCCTGGGGATACTCTGCAACCTGTGTACGTAACAGGGTGGGTATTTCAGTAGTCATTTTAGAATCCTGGTGACCACAACTACTGATAAAAGTGTACTTCCACTGAGTTATCAGAGGCTGCAAAATGGTGATACATGCATATATTATAAACTTCCATTTCTCTGATATTGTATAAAAACCACTGATATTTCCTTTTCTATTTATGCCCTTTGCTATTTTTCTACTGTGTGATTCTTTTCTTCATGGTTTGTAGTTCCTTATATGCTAAAAGAAATGCTGAACCTATTTGAGCACTGTAAGTATTTTTGTTTGATTATAATGTCTGGATTTCTGACCATGCAAATTTAATATATTTAGAGCTTTTAGAATAACTTTAGATTAACAAAAGATCTATGAAGATAATATGAATTTCCATATATTTCATACCCACTTTCTCTTGTTATACTATTTAGAATTTTAAACATTGTTTTATATAATGAAATGTTATCAGTGTCTTATATTTTATATTCAGGCCTTTGTTTTGTGCTTAGAAGATCTACCCTCATTTTGAGCGAACAAAAAAAACAACTGTCCTGTTTTCTTCTGTTTTTATGGCTTCAATTTTTAAATATTTAATTGTGGTAAACAGACATAACATGAAATTTACTCTCTCAACAATCTTTAAGTGTATGGTTCAAAAGTATTAAGCATAGTCACATTATTTTTTCTCATAGTTACATTACTGTGCAACCACCCTCCAAAGCTTTTTCATCTTGCAAAACTGAAATACTGAAATACTTCACCCATTAAGTAGCAACTCTCCTTTTTCCCTCCCTTCCCTACTGATATACACTGTTCACTTCACTTCTTCATCTTTTGCTTGTGTGTTTTTTAGACAGTCTCGATACGTAGTCCAAGCTGGCCTTGAAGTCCACTAATGATCCTCCTACTCAGCTTCTCAAGTGCTAAGATTACAAATGTGCATCCATACCAGGTTAGTTTTTATGACTACAATAGATAACTTATAAAAATGGGATCATACTGTAGCTGTCTCTTTGTGGCTGCCTTATTTCATGTGTGGTATTGCCTCCCAGATGTTGCCTCCATGTTTTGGCTACTCTGAGTAATGCTGCTAGGAATATGAGTATACAAATGTTTCCAAGATACCGCTATAAATACTTTTAATTATTTTAGATGTACATATAGCAATGCAATTGCTAAGTCAAATGGTAACTCTATATATGATTTTGAAGAATCATTATGCTGTTTTCCATAGTATAGCTTCACTTTTGTTGTACCTTTGCTCCATATGGAATTTATTTTTAGAAAATAAGGTAAAAAAATAATGGTTTTTGTTCTAGATAGCTGGTCAAGACAGAATACCTTTCTAGTAGTTAGAAGTCTTCCTCTGTGTCCCTCCATAAGGTGTTTTAAAGGTTTTCATCTATTGATTCAGTATAATCCCTATTGAAATTCCAATAGTATTTTTTATCGAAAAAGAAAATTCCCAAAATTCAGAATCTCACAAATAATCCTGAACAACTAAAGCAGTTTTGAGAAAGTGCAACAAAGCTGGAGATATCCTGATTTCAAACTATATTACAAAGCTATAGTAATCAAACAGTATAGTAAATAGACAACAGACATACAAGTATGGTCAACTAATGTTTGCCAATGCCAACAAGAAGACAATGGGAAAATGAACATCTCTCCAATAAATGGTGATGGGAAAACTGGTTATCCACATGCAAAGGAATGAAACTGAACTCCATCTTATACCATTCACAAAATTATTCAAAATGCATTAAAAATTTATTTTGAAACTGCAAAACTCCTAGAAGAAAACAGGGAATAAAATTCCTTGACATTGTTGTTGGCAATATCTTGGATATAGCATCAAATAAACAAGCAACAAAAGCAAAAATAAACCAGTGGGAGTACTTTAAACTAAAAAGCTGCTAGACACAACTGAAACACCAAAATGAAAGGCAACCTATGGAATGCAAGAAAATATCTGATACAGGATTTGTATTAGGTACTTTGCTTACTGATGAAACAAAATACCCAATGCCCAAAGTTAAGGGAGGAAAGGTTTCTTTAGCTCACAGTTTATAAAGGTTTCAGTCCAATAGGCTGGCAAAAACTGTAAGAGGATTATTATCCAAAACATAGGTTAGGGCTTATATCTGGATGTCCCTCAAAGCCCCATGTGCTCCAAGTTGGGGCTTTTGGAAGGCAACTGGACCTTGTGGTTGCAATTGACATGCTGTCAGCTGGGGTTTGGTCAGAAGGGGCAGGTTACCAAGTGCGTGGCCTGGAAAGTTTTATCACCTTCCTGGCTCCTCCCATGACCCTGTTTCCTGGCTACCATGAAGGGAGCAGTTTTCCTCTACTGTGTCCCTTTGCTTAGCTGTCCTACTATGGAGCAAGCCAACTGTAGTCTGAAAGATGAGCCAAAAGAAACCTCTTTTGAGTATTTTGTTCTAGCAGTAAGAAAAGTTACTAAGACAACACACAATATAATTCAATAGCAAAAACATAACAGCAAAAGAAAGACAATCTGATTTAAAAAGAAGGAAAGTAGTCCAGCGTAGTGGCATATACCCCTAGTCCCATTACTCTAGGAGGCTGAGGCCAAGGACTGCAAGTTTAAGCCCAGCCTGGGCAGTTTAGTAATCTTCTAAGACCCTGCCTTAAACAACAATACATTTATAAAGGGCTGGGGATATAGTTCAGTCTGAAGGCCCAGTTCATTCCCCAGTATGTTAAAAAATTAGCTCCGTATCTCTCAGTTTACTATTCTGACTACTCCTTTTCATCTACACTCATTACGTGAGCCTTTCCCACCATATAACTTTGTCAACTCTGCATTCTGTTCCTTACTTTTAATGAGTTATTTACCTTCTCTGGAGAAATGTTTAGATATCTGGCTGTTTTCTAGCTGGCTTGCTGGTTTTGTTGAGCTGTACAAATTCTTTATGTGTTCTGGATACTGAATGCTTATTATCTATGACTTCTAAATATTTTCTTCCATCTTGTATTGTGTGGGTTGTCTTTTCACTTGACAGTGTGCTTTGACACAGAAATATTTTTATCTTGATGAGGTCCAATTTACCATTTCTTTTCTGGCTGCTTCAGTAAAATGAAGTTTATCTTCCTCTGGGGCTAGTCAGTTCCCCAAGAATCTGACACTTATACTAAATCTTCCTTTGCAGAGCACAGAATACAAAAACAGAATTCTCTGGTTCAAATGAAAACCCCTTTCGTTAATTTGGCGAGGCAGCCCCACGTGGGTAGATGTGCGTGAAGAACCAATTACTGGCATGGTGGTTCACACCTGTAAACCGGCCACTCAGAAAGTTGCAGCAGGAGAATCTCAAATTGAAGGCCAGCCTGGGGCGCTTAGTGAGACTAGCTCAGAAAATAAAAAGGGTGGAGATGTAGCTCAGTGGTACAGCCCTCCAGGGTTCAATCCCTGGTAACGGGGGAGGTATCTGATAATGAAGTCAAGTCCACTCTTCAAGGTCATTGGTTCAAATGTGTTGTGTTCGGATTTGACTAAACTTACTACCAATTTACAACTACTCAGGAGCCATATGACCTGTTACAAATTAATATCTCTATGCAGTATCCCTCAACCGACATACAGAACAGATACCTTAGTTGACTGACTACCTAGAGATGCTGATGAGTGTGGTATGGAAATAGAATCAGTAATAGTCTTAGAGGTTGAAAAACAAAGTGCTTATAGTAAGTCCCTGATTTACCAACACCCGAGCTGCAAACTCTCACAAGACAAGTATGGGGCTCACAGGTGCCAAACATGGTGGACATAGCTGTCGCAGTTGTGCGTTTGTGTGTTGAGGTGCAGGCTGAGAGTGCTCGGGAGTACAGTGCTCAGTCGAGCCCAGCTGTGCAGGAGCAGAGGGAGCCCAAAGTAGTAACCATGGAAACAAAAATGAAATAACTGAGGCTGGATCAAGGGTTACAGTAGTTTTGTGTTTGGCTCTTTTTTTTTTTTTTTGCATGTATATTTGTGTTAAAGGTATAAAAGACTTACAAACAAATCTGACTTAGGAAATATCTAGGTTGGAACCCACTCCTAAGTCAGGGACTTACTGTATATAAGAAGGGGCCAAACTTTAAAGTCCTGTCTTTCCTAATGCTTATTATGGGTATCCCATTTTAATAAAGTATAACAGAAGTTTTTTCTTTGCAGTGTTGGAGATCAAACCCAAGGGCTCATACACACTAGGCAAACACCCAACCACCAACTACATTCCCAACCCAGACAGAGGCAGTTTTTTTGGTCTTTCTAATTTATTTTTTATCCATAACGTGTTTATGATACATAATAAACATACTCATCCTAGAAAGTTGGTACATACCTTCTTTCATCTTAACCCTTTTGACTTCCTCTTCCCTCCTGTCCCTCCCTCCCCTTTTCCTCCCCCAGGTCCCTTTCCAGCTGCAAAAGTTCTCCTTCCCCACTTCCTATTTTTTTCCCTTTGATTTTATGGAGATAAGATCTTGCTATGTGGTCCAAGATGGCCCTGAACTCACTATGCATCCCAGGCTGGACTTGAATTTGAAGTGACCTCCTCCCTCCGCCTCTGGAGTGCTGGAATTACAGGTATGCACCACCACACCTGGTTTCCTATCATCTTTAGCTCATTTTACTTTGGTTTCTCATAAAAGAAACCAAACACATTTAACCTTCTGTGTCTGATTTATTTTACTTAGCATTGTAGTGTCAAGGTACATCCATTTTCCTCCAAATCAGAAAAAAGAAATTTTAAAAGATAAAAACAATAAATTAGTCCTCAGCTTCTAGGCCTGGACATCTGAATTGCCATTCATAGCATTCTTTTCCTTTGATTTGTTTTTTGATGCATGGTGTCACTATGTAGTTCATACTGGCCTTGAATTCATTATGTAGCCTAGGCTGGCCTTCAACTACCAGTAATCCACCTCCCTCAGCCTTCCAACTACCAGCATTACAGGCATGCACCACCATGCCTGGCATGTCACAGCATTCTTAAAACCAGAAAATAACCGTAAACTGTACAATTAAAATAAAATTATAATTAGATTGCATATAATTACCTTATAATTAAGATGAAATATAATTTTAAAATGTACTCTTAATGGTTCTACTATATATGTTCACATTCCAAAAAGTCAAATAATTCCTTATAAATTTTTTTTTTTTGAGGCAGGGTCTCACTGAGTGTTGTGAAGCCTACCCTTAAACTCACTTATGTAGCCCATGCTGGCCCAAGAGGATCACAGTGATCCTCCTGCCTCACTCTCTCGAATATTGACATTATAGGCCATGCCCAGGTGAAACTCTGTCATTTGGAGACATTTAAATAATCACTTTAATTCTCATATGTAGCATTTAAAACCCTAAGTATCTTAATATTTAGCAATGAAATTTGATGTCAATTTATACTATAATTCACTACAGACACAAACATCTAGCTAATAACTTTCTCTTCATCTCACACACTTCTAATGGTCACTACTATGGAATGTGCACTATGAATTAACATGTGAACACAGCATTATACAGATTTCAGCAAGCGTGTGGTACAGTGGCCTGTGACTGGAATGAAAGCACCATCACTTTAAAGTGCAAGGTGATGTGCATTATCTGATGCTCTGATCCTAGGGCAGTTTGGTGCTGTACTACCTACCACATTTCATTTAGAAAGAGCTCAGCATTGGGGGGGGGGTCTCAGATTTCAAATGCTTACAGCTCCTGTGCTAAGTCTTTTCTCCAGAGTAAAAATCTTTGTGTTACTAAATTTCCTGGGGCTTATGGTTGTTCACAAAGGTAATGCTCAGGAGGGCAGGTGGATGGCTGACTGTACACTAACACCTTTGATGGTGAGCATCTCTTATCAAAGAAAAGCTTCTTTTATTATCGTCTGCTAGCTTTTAGACACAAAACTTGAGAAATCCTGGTGAACAAAGCTGTGGACATTTACACATGTTTGATAAACAGATTCATTTGTCTTTTCCAACTAAACTGTGAAACCAGAGAGGTTTCTGCTTTAAAAGGGGAAAGACCCCTTTGCTGTGTTCTTCACGGATGGGGCTGCCTTGAGCAGGTAGGTTAGAAGAGTGAGTTCATCACTGTTCCAAAGGTAACTTCTCTCCACCCCAGGAAGAGCAATCCTCTTTGTTACCGCTCATCACATTAGATTTCAGAAACATTTGTTGCACTTCTGAAAGTGTAGAAAAAATAGAGTAATAATTCACCCCTGTAAGGATCTCATAGGAAACAGTCCTTCCTGTTTTTTTCTTCTTTTCCTTTCTTTTCTTTCTTCCTTCTTTCTTCTTTCTTGGGCCGGGGATTTAGCTCAGTGGTGTAAGCGCCTGCCTGGTAAGCACAAGGTTGTGAGTTTGATCCTCAGTACCACATACACACACAAATAAATAAAAATCAAAATGGACCCCTCTCTCTGTTTCCTTTTTAACTGCCTGTCTCTTTCCTTCATCCTTCCCTACCTTCTTTTTTCTCCTCTCTTTCTTGTGAAGCTCTTTAATATGATGACTGCCATGACAGAGATGACAGAGGACACTGAGGAAACGTAAGGAATCCCCACCCAGTCTCCAGGAGTCCAGAAACATACTCTGCCAGGAAGTTTCGCTTGAATTACACCTTTGAGATCCAGTATCTTATCATAGGAGAGAGAATGTAGTCATGCCTTGCAGAAGGAACAGAATGTGCAGAAGGAGAATTAAAGGCAAATGATGACAATGTTTCAAAAGGAAATGACTGTTCCAGCACTGGAGCACAGGAGAGAGGACAGCTCTATGTCTCCTAGAAGTGGAGAATGAGGAACTAAATGGTAGACCTGGGCCGAATAAAAAAGAAAGCTGGATTTTTATCCTCCAAGCAATGAGGAACCACTGAAGAACTTTACAAAGAGAATAACAGGATGAACAGTGGTTCTATAGCACTGTGTTGACAGCATACAGTAACCAAGATTTCAGAAATCCACTCTTCCTTCTACATATCTGTGACTGCATTTTCTGAGGATTTTTCTCCTCCCCATCTGAGAGCTCCTTCATTCCTTATCTATATTTTAGGGTCTTCTTTGCCCTCCTGTTTCCCAATGTTTGTGTCTCTAAAGCTCATAATTTCAATCCTTTGCTTTTGTCATTTTTCTCTCTTGAATGGGCTCATCTACTCCCAAGACATTAATTAGTACTCACCTATTTACTGGTGAGTTCCAAAGCTCATGGGTACATTGGAATATCTCTAGGGACACTGATTCAGTGTGCTTAAGACCAAACACTTTCCTGATAATCCACCTAACCTTACATGGGTAGGTTTGAAAAACAAAAACAAAAACCTTCCTTGGACTTCCTCTCATTAGTTTTGAGGGTATTAAACACATTCCCAGCCCTCACCACCTAATTCTTTACTATGTTCATCCTCAATACTTTCAAAATTCCTCCCAAAGCTGCGTCTGCTTTGGTTACTTTTTCTTATTGCTGGGATAAAATACCTAACACCCAAAATGAAGGAAGGAAAGCTTTATTTAGCTCACTGTTGTGGAGGTTTCAGTTCATAATTAGCTGGCTCCAAGACAGGGTGGCATATGGCACTGGGGCAACACTTTAAGGCAGCAGCTAGAGCAAAAGGGGAGAAAACAAGCCTCTTCTACCTTATGTTGTACACTGGCCACCTCCCCCAGGTTAGGGCAGGTCTCCTTGCCCTTCTTTGCACAGGATGAGAATATTTACAAAGTAAGAACCCTGCTCCCTGCTGAGTCAGTCAGTTAAACTTCTAAACTTCTCAAGATGACACAATGTGTCAACCATAACAGGCTCCCAGAATCACCAGGGACCTCTTGGGTCCTTTTCTCACCTTTTATTTCCCACAGCTGCCTACACATCACTTAACTAAAAGACGCCCACTTCTCCTAGGAAGGAAGTGAGACAACACTTTAAGCATACTGCCATGTATACTTTTGCTAGCTGGCATTGTGGCCACTTAATACATGGTGTTTTATTTTGTTTTGTTTGAGACAGGGTCTTGCTATTTAGTTGAGGCTAGCCTCCAAGGCACAGCGATCCTCCTGTTTCAGTCTCCCAAGTCCTAAGATTACAGGCGTGCACCACCATGGCAGGCAATAAATACATGTTGAATACACAAATGAACACTGTGATTGGACCAACACCCAAGAACCCCAGGAATACAAGGGGGGTATGAGTGTTTGTTAAAGTAAGATTGACAGGTGACAGTCTAAGGGAATGAGCAAGTAAAGGAGGAGAAGAGGCCATGGAAACCTAAATGTAGCATGATAAATTAACTCATGTATTCATTCCTTTGACATTTATTATGGCCAAGGCAGACAAAAACATAATTAAGCTACAGTAGCTGTTCTCCTGGCTCTGTCTTAGGGCTTAGGGTCATAAGAATTAGCAGAAAACATGGGTAAGAGACTATGTCACTAAGTAACTCTGAATTTCAGGTTACCTATCAGAAGAGGTGCAAACTCTTCAGATAGCTGCTTTTGGCACACTTACTTCTGCAACCTAAGTCTTTCTGCAGCCATTTTCAGAAACCTGGCAATTTGGTTAGGATCCAGAGAAATTTTCTAAAAATCCTGATCCTGTGGATCCAAGAATCTACATTCTAGTATCACAGGTGACTATGATGCTTTTAGTCTCATTAACACTGTCACCGGGAGGGGGGAGAACATGGCAGACAGACAACAGCAACTACTGAAGGCTCTCTGAAACGCTCGGCTCAGAGGCCAGGAATGATGCGGACTAAGGAGACACGAACCAGTAGAGATATGCTCTGCTGACTCAGGAACGAACTGGGCTGAGAGAATCCAACTTAGAATACAGTCCTGGCGCTAAAATAGGAACAGAAAAGTCTCGGTGTGGAGGCTCGACCCCGCGCCATTGGAAACCGCGATTTGGGTTTCCCACCGCCCGGCGGCTGGCTGCCTCCACAGCGGCTCGGCAAGGAGAGACGTGCCGAGCTCTGGGAACGGGAGTCTGCAAACGGAGTCGGAAACAGGACGGACAAGGAGGCGTACACGAAAACTGACTGGTGGCGAGGTGAGAGAGAAACTACCCCCTACCACTCCAGTTTGTTTGACTCCAGCGGAGGTTTTTCTGGGCTCAGACAGTCCTGTAAGAGCAGGGTGTGGTGGCAACTCCAGCCACACATTCCCCTCTCGGACGGGATTGGTGAAAAGTGCCTGGCCTGGGTGACGCTGCTGGCGGACTCCCTAGGCTGGCCTAATCCAGATCCCAGAGCCTGACGGTGGCCCGGAGGAGCGACCGACTCCCGCGTAGGCTGCCTCCTCCGCAACTCCCTGGGGCGCAGCGGTGGGCGGGAACAACTAGCCAGCGCAATTTGATCAGGCTGTGGCTGACAGGCAGGGAAGCCAGGCCTCCTTTGTAAGATTGCATTTTATAAGGAACAGAAAATATGGGGAAGGGAAGCAACAAAAAAGGCTCCTCGGCCCCCAATCCTGAGAATCAGGCAATAGTGGACACCGCACCAATATACATTCAGCGCCATATAGAGAGCCTCATAGACCAATTCAGGAATGAAGTTATCAATGACCTGAAGCTAGAAGTATGCAGAATAGTTAGAGAAATGCTAAGCACCACCCAGGAAAAAGCAGATGGTGGAATGGAAGAACAGAAAAAGAGGGGAGAATTGCTTGATGGAGAAAACAGAGAAAGCATTGAGTATGTGAAGCAGGTTCAAAGGGACTATCAAGAAATTAAGAAGTCTATCCAAGACTGGCATAACAGCTTGAAAGAAACTAAGGATAGACTATCTGAACTGGAGGGCAGACTTGAAACATGGGAGAATGAAATGAAAAACTTCTTAAAAATAACAAAGAAACAAACAGCAATAATACAAAGACAAGAAGATGATAAGAGGAGCCATAACTTAAGGATTAAGAACATAAAAGAAGAAGTAGGGACACAAACAAGTGAACTACAAAAGCTACTCACAGAAATAATCCAGGAGAATTTTCCCAATTTAGCAAAAGGTAAAGATACTCAGATGTATGAGGCATACAGGACCCCAGCTACCTACAACCCTAACAGAGAAACACCCAGGCATATAATAATAAAAATTCTAGAAATTCAATACAAGAACAGAATATTAAAAGCTGTAAGAGATAAGAAACAGATCACTTACAAGGTAATACCCATGAGAATTACAGCAGATTTCTCTTCACAAACCATCAAATCACGAAGAGCATGGGGAGAAATAATTCAAGCTTTGAAAGATAATAATCTCCAGCCAAGATTGAGATATCCTGCACAACTGTCCCTGGAAATTGATGGAAAAACGAGGTGCTTCCAGGATAAAGAGGAACCGGGGGAATTTGCAACCACCAATTCAACCCTACAGAAAGTATTGCAGGATATTCTAAAAAAAGAAAAATACAAAGAACCCAGAAATAGTGGCGGGGAGGCCACAACGAATGGAGCAGAGAACAAAATGAAGAAGACAAACTGACAGCTACTGACAGAAAAAGAGCTCAACAGAAATGAGACAGAGAAGATTGGATGATAGGAACAGCTTTTTTTGGAGAAAATGACATCTTAATAGGTAATGCTGATTTAGTACCATCTTGTTTTGAAGTCTCATCTAGCTTTTGTTCTTCTGTCTCCAATGGTCTAAACAGGTTGTATCTTATTGGATTTTGTTATGTACGATAGTATAAGCAAAAACCTTTTAAAGACAAGGAGATTATACAGAGACCATTGTTCATTTTCTGTTAGTGGATTCTAAATACTCTATAATGCTGTCATTCTCTTAAATGGTTTTACATTGTTTTGATATGCTTAATGCTACAGTATATGAAGTTGTACTCAAGGACTTCAGGGAGGGAGTCAATATGGTAACTATTTTTGGGTCAGGATTATCTGGTGGTGAAACACTATTCTGCTTAAATGGTTACGTTTGATCTGCCCTGTTTCGCTGTTATGCCCTCTTTTTTCTCAATCTCCACTCCATTATTTACTTTTTTATTTTTATCCATTTAATTAAAGGGAAAATATAGCAGGATATAATATAGTAACCCACTTTGACTTTCTATTATCTCGATTTGAAGCCCTGTATTACTCTCACCATCTTGTTTTTGACTGAGGTTCCTCTATTCTGTTTTGCTGGATAGTATCAGGTTCGAAAGTTTAGGCATCAGCTGAGAAGATAATGAGATTCATTATAACGCCCATTCTCGTTGACTTTTATCTACTTTTGAAGACCTACAATATCTCCAATGTTTTGGTTTTGTAGGTTTTATTCTTTACGGTTTTGTTCAATTGTATTACAACTATTGATATAGGCAATTCTATTAGAAATAGCGGGAGGCATTATGGTAACCATTGTTGATCACCTTGTATTATGTTTTTATATTATCTATTATATCCACCCTTTTGACTTGACCGATTCTGTTCTGTTATGTCTCATTTGGTTTTACTCTCTTCCAAAAAAGCAATAAGAACCGTGGGAGCAATGAAACCCAAAATGTGTAATAGTCACTGTACAAAAGAGAGGAAAAGAAAGTGCTCTAAACTATATAACTGCATGTATATTTAAATGTATAAGATAGAAAATGATATCACAGAGTTTTATTGGATCATTGAACAGAACTGTTTGCAGTATCATTGTTGGAATGTCCACTCTACAAGCTTTAATTTTGTGACTTGAACAATTATTTCTAAGATGGCAATATGTAATCCATTAACTAGTGATTTCCTACTGCGCATTTTTTTCTTCTGTAAATCTGTATAACTTGTACCCCTTCACTGTTTTTTTCTTTTCTTTTCTCCTTAAATAAAAAAAAAAAAACACTGTCACCATTCTGTCAGATTTGAGCTCCACCAATAATATTACCTTAATAATTCATTTGTATTGAAATTTGCATATGCATATCTCAAAATTATATATATATATATATATAACATGTATATTTTAAAATTTTCAAAAGCTGAGGTAAGCTCACAGCTCAGGAGCAGTGTTTGTGTAGAATGCACATGGCCCTGGTTTCAATCCCCAGCACTGCCAAAACTAAATACAACATCTTCTTGCCTGCGTCTGATGACGTAAGTTATACAAAAAGCTCCACGGCAGTAAACTCCAATAGAACCATCCTTTGGAACAGCTCACAAAGATACTCTGGTACCCCCTGTGGATTATATATAACCCAAGTGTCTTTTAGATTAATGTATTGTTATAAAATGACACGATAAAAACTTTTCTGTGAAACAGATTTACTGGTGATTGTATTCCTTTTAGTTTGCTTTCTGGCAGCCCTGGGGACTCAATCCAGAGCCTTGTGCATACTAGGCAAAAAGGCTCCACCACTGAGCTACCCCTCCAGGGTCTCATTAGATTGTTCAAATTGGGCTTGAATTTGTGGTCTTCCTGCCTCACTCCCTTGAGTAGCTGGGATTACAAGCATGCCTCACTAAAACACTGACTTCCTATTTGAGAAAGTGCCCTTTCTCCCCTGCTCCTTAACTCAGAATATTCTTGAGCTGGTACCTGAGCCAACTCCCAACAGCTAAGTCACTTACTAAAAGTAAGGGCTGGAATGAAGTGAGCGTTCGTGCTTTTTTTTTTTTTTAATCAATATGAGGGATCGAACTCATGACCGCATGCTTGCAAGGCAGGCACTTACGCCTCTGAGCGAAATCTCCAGTCCCATGTGCTCTTGACCTAAAGTAAAACATGCATCCATTTCTAGAACTATGTTTGACTAAGACTGATAATTGAGTTAGAAGCTATAAATCTAGCTCTATCTTTTCCTTCAAACCCTAAGTAATATATAATAATTAGACAGCAACAATCTCGAGAACTTGTGTCTCAGGCTTTGGCAATTCATAATCACACAACAAATAGGGCTAAAACATTTCACCAAATGAAAGGTTTTGCTGATAGACCTTCAAAGCTATACTTTGTCCTAAATTATGCTTTTCCCTAACTGGCTAATAAACTTCTACCAAAAAAAAAAAAAAAACCAGAAAACAAAACGTCTACTTAGTCATGTGGATGTCTTTGGATATTATATTGGTAGTATGGAACATTATATTGGTAGTTCTGTACAGTGGCACTTTGGTTCAGTACATGAACTTAATTTGTTCCACAGTTCTGGCTGGAAATCAAACTGATCATGAATTGAATCATGTTTTCCCATAAGGTTCAATGTAAAAAGGGTAATCCATTCTACACCATATGCATTTTTTTAAACCACTAAACTATGAAACAAAGCACAGTACAATATGAAAAAAGAGCACCAATCTTGCTTGAGGCAACTTCTGTCGTAGAAGACAGGAAGGACACTGGGGAGATCTCCTTCAGGGGTTTCCTCTCTGTCTCTTGGCTGCTGGGTCCATTTTGATGAAAAATCTGTGTATGTTGTTTGCTTCTTCCTGTGCCGTGTAACCCTCCAGAAATGAGAGAGCACATTATCATTCATTAGATGCAACACCATTCCTTACAGTCATGTTGGGTGTCGGTTCGCAAAGAAACCCTAGTACTCCTTCCATTTTTCCACAGTGCATTTTACATCTCTGCTGAACTCTACCCTGTCTTTCTGTCCCTAGGCGAGCTGGAGTTCAGCAGGTTCTGCTGTGGTCAGCTCCTTCTTATGGTCTTCAACATGCCCCTCTATGTCTTCACCATTGATGTCCAGACCTGTGCTCTCACGCATGGACACACCCTCCTTCACTCCCTGTGCTTCAGCCCCTTCAAAGTCTCATTCAGTGACCTATTCTGGCCAGTTTCCTCCCGGCTGAGTTTAAGTGCAGTGTGTGACATCTTCCCAGGCTATGTCAATGAGGCTGATGCGGTGGAGGACAATGAGATGTTTCTTCTAGCTCTTTTTCAGAGTCAAGCCTCTTTTCAGGTCTCTTCAGTGAAGAGACACTTTTGTGTACAGCTTCTTCAAGTTGCAGATCAGTTGCTGGTCCTTGGGCTGCAGAAGAGGTGTGGCAGGGGAGAAACCTGACCTTTACAAAATCATACTCAGCGTCTGTATCATCCACCAAGGCTGGAGGGTGTGCCAGGACACTGTCCAGCAGAAGAAGGCGCCTTTCAGACAGTGGGCTATCAGAACACCTCGTGCAGCCTTGTTCTCATCCAGTTCCTTGCATGCTCGGGGTCTGGGAGTGGTGCACTGTAGTGGCTGCATCTTCACGTTGGTGCTTGTGTTCGCACACAGCAAAGGGGTCACTCTATCCTTTCTGGGCTGCTGCCCCAGCAGTGCTTTTTCCCCGTGTGATTATGGCAATTATTGTTTTTTAAACCACTAAACAGCTGCACTGTTTCACTGCAGCTGAACACTTGATGAGCAGCACATCCTTCTGCCTTCAGGAAGTCTGTGAACTGTTTCCCGAAGGCTTCTGCAGCAGCCTTGTCAGACTGGAAGCCTCATCACATCTTCCCACACTGTGGATGCCACTTCTCCTGTGGAATTCATCGAACACTTTGTACTGGTTTTAAGTCTATCACCTGGTGCTCTTATAGAGGGGTTTTCTTGCAGTAAATCACTGTGTAATTGCCTGGCTTTTTCATCAATCATAGCTTCATGGCTGCTATCACCTGCCAGGTGTTTCTCATTTAATTACACTAATGAAAGTTTTACCACCTCTTCTGGCACTTGTGTCCAGTTAACATTACTGCTTTTGCCACATTAGCTTCTCTGACATTCTTCACAACAGTCGAGGACTTGGCCTTCTTGTCAAGGCCAGATCAGTCATGTGAATACCACACCACATTTTTCTACAATTTCCTTCTTCAGTTCAATATTTACTTTCTTCAAAACCTTTTCACTATTCTTGCTCTGAATGTTCCTGTCTCCTGCATTACCGCTCTGCACTTTCTTCTTACCACTATCTTGCTCTGCACTTTTCTTCTGATGTCTTCAAAATAGCTGCCAATAACTTTTGGACACATTAAACATCAAACAGCACAGAACAGAATCAAAACAATGGAAACAATATAGGACCTCAAAACAAGATCATAGAGAATCCAGCAATGGCTACAACCCTCAGAAGGAAATCCCCCTAGATGCCACATTGCCTAGCTCTATCCTCTGAACCCATGATCAGACCATTGCAGGCCCTAGACCTGCAATGTTAGTGAAACACCAAAGCACCAGAGGCATCCCATTGCAATTTCACCCCCATAGCTATCAACACAGCCTGTGTTTCTCTGGATCAGCTGGTAGCTTACAGGGTGTAGTGGGATGCTGGTCGTGGAAGTGTTGGTACTTCTTGTTTATGGGGGGTTGGGGTCTGGTTGTTCCATTTGGCAGTGGCCCGCACGGGCACTGGTTCCCAGACTGGGCTTGCTTGCTGGTGCGACCATTCTTCTCTCTCCCCTTAGTCCACAAATGGTGCTGACTCATGGGGAGAAAGGCTGAGGTCTCTTACTAGCGCCGTGCATGGCGCTAGTACCCAGACTGGGCTTGTTTGCTGCTCTGCACTTTTCTTCAGAGCCAGGTTGGATTGAGTAATACTGCACAGTACCGTTTATGCTAAAAAGTACACAAGCTTCACGGCAGGTGTGCACAGATTTGTCTGTGACTGCAGTCTCAACCAGGGGAAGTCATGACTGTGTCTCAGACTGGGGAGGACCAGCACCCGTGTCAGTGCAGGGAAGATGCCATGGTTGTGCTTGTTACCTGATGTGGAGCTTGTGAAAAGAAGCAAACTTTTGCTGAACACTTCTGTTTGTGAACCAAGGTGTTGCTGTCTATGTTTAATCAGTAGTCCCACTGCACAAAAGCAGGAATAAAGTCAGCCACTGTGATACCTGTAACCCCAGCGCTCTGGAGGTTGAGGCTGGAGGGTCTTCACAAGTGTGAGGCTGACCTGGACTACACAGTGAGACCTTGTCTCAAAAAAAAAAAAAAAAAAGAAAAACAGAATAAGACTGTAGTCCTTGGTTTCCACATCATTTAAACGGAAACCGACTCTACCACTTTTGATGTCTGAAGCACTTTACACTGCTTTGGACAGAAGGATTACTCCATTGTCCTCCTGCGTCCACCCTTCTTCCACAGTCTGTTTTCTCCAAACAGCCAGAGCAGCCTCACTCAGATGTCAGATCAATTGCTCCTGCAAAAAGGGCCCAGTCCCTTTCCCAGATAGAGGCAGTGGGCACAGAGAGCTCAGCATGACCACCATCCCCTCAGAGGTCTTCCTCTTTCCCTGCTGGCCCTGCTCCTGTTTGATGCAGCTCACATTTCAGACACAGGGCCTTTGCACGTGCGGCTCCTTGTTTCTGCTTATACCCAGAGAGCATGCCCAGTGGGCGATACTGCTGCGCCCACTTCCTTCAGGTCTCTACAAGCCTTCACAGTCAGGCCCATGCTTTCAGGGCACATCCACAGCACCACAGCCACAAGAGCCCTGTGCCTTTTGTTTATCTGTGTCACCCTAGGAGACTCGGAGGCTCCTCTGGGTGCTCTCTATTCACCTGTGTCCAGCACACACTAAAGGGTCTGTTAAATCTTCCCTTGGTGGACACAGCGTACACTTCAGCTATGGGACTGTGAGCCCTAACCTCCAGGCGCTGGAAACAGAGCCGCTGGGTCTCTCAGATTCCCAGATGGCACCCGGTGCTCAGGAAATCGCATGCGGCGTCTTTTGTCTAGGACATCATTCTCCCTGATTTTCCTCGTTAAGACAGCAGTAAAATTCCTAACTAGTCTGCAGGGAGGAAGAAAAACCAGCCGCGCAGGAACCGGTGTTAGATGATGTGACCCTTATTCATAAAGCAGCAAGGAAAATGCCCTCTGGTCCTGCAGTCTCTCCTCCACGGCCCAAGAAGATTAAACTCCGTGCAGCCGCCTGGTGCGGGGCCCACGGATCTCCGGGCTCCGCAGCTCGCCCGGCCAGGCCGACTTTCGGGTGCGGCCGCTCGGCCCAAGACGTCCGGGTCCGAGGTCGAGGAGGCCAGCGAGAGGCCCAGCCCGGAGGGCGATTGGGCGGCGCGGGTGAGGTAGGGCCAGGCCTCCTCGCGCCCCGCGATGCGGTCCCGGCCTCCCCGCGCCCCGCGATGCGGTCCCGGCCTCCCGCGCCCCCGGCCCCGCGCCCCGTCACCTCGGGCTCTCTTCAGCGCGGTGGGCTCCTTCTCCTGTTCCGCGGACATTACCGCCCGCAGAGCATGGCTCCCAGGCCGCGGGGACGGCGCTCGGACGCGGGTGGCGCGACCCGGCCAGCTCCGGGCGGCCCGGGCAGGGACGCGGCCTGGGCACCCGGGCGGCCCGGGGCAGGCGCGGTGCAGGGACGCGGCCGGGCCCGGCGGCCTGGGGCGCCCCCCACGCGGGCGGGTGGCGGTGCGAGCGCGCGGCCACTCCGGGCCGCCGCCTCCGCTCCGCCTCCTTCCTCCTCCTCCGCCTCCTCCCCAGCGGCCGGCGCCGCGATCCGCCGGGACCGAGGCCGCCGCCGCCGCAGACACAAAGCCTGGCCGGGGCCGCCGCCGCCGCCGCGCAGCCCGGGGCGGGGAGGAGGGGGAGGGGCGGGGAGGGCGCCCGCGTCCCGCCCCCACCGCGCGCGCCCGGCCGCAGGGACGCACTTACGAGGCCGGGAACTTCGCGGGCGCGGCCGCGGGGCGCACACCTGTTTGTGCCTGCGCGGCCTCCCGAGCCAGCGCGGAGGGACCTGGGGCTGCGCGTGGGCGTGGGCGTGGGCGCACGGGCTCTGGGGCGACCTCCCCGAGTCAGTTGCCTGATCTTTTATACAAGGTCATGCACGGCACCCCAAAGTCTCGCCCAACTCTGACGTTCTTTGATGTGCTCCTGTGAAACCGTTCTCCGTGTGTGTGCTTGCGTGTGTGTGAGGTTTTCTCGTTAACCGTTTCTGGAGAACCTGCTGGGGCAGACTGTGAAACAAACACGATCGAAACGGCTTGTTTCGCTGTCAGAATCACTGAAAAGCTCTCAAGAAGTGTGGAGGGACCTAGAAGGTGCCCGCGCAGCAGCGGTCCTCGGGAACAGACTCCACGCGGGAAGGAGCCACCCGTGGGGTCTTCCCTGAACTCGCGTGGGGGCAAGGGCAGGCCTAGGCCGCTAGTTCTCATGAGGCTGGGACCGGGTCTTGGTTACATCTTCCGTGTGGGGGCGCAGGGCCGGGGCGCCGATGCAGAAGACCCTCTGAGGAGAAGGCTCTTCCACCTGGAGCGCCAGCGCTGTGCGAGTGAGCGCAAACCGGGCCAGCCCGCCTCAGCCTCAGCCTCAGCACCAGCCCGGCCGGCGAGTGCTTAACGTGTGTGCGGGAACCGCTCTGGACAGCTGCGTTTGCAGTGGCAGAAGGCTCTGATAAGCCAAACCAGACGCAAACACGGCAACGCCAGCCATATCTAAAAATCCACCTCTCTAGGTTACTGAAGGGAGATTGTGAAAGCACTTTGAAAGTGTTAGCCAGGGTTTGTACCCAATAACTAGTACAAAGGGAATGAGAAAAATCACTGCTAAAAGATTTTGGATTCTTTATTTTAGTCCCTTAAGGGCTAGCAACTCAAAAATAATTTGTGAATCAAGAGACATGAACTGGCCTCTATTAAAATGACTCATCAAAAATTTAAAAAACAACCTTATTTGGACATGGTTTTTAAAATCTAAATCCTAACTGCTTGTTGCACTTCTCAGAATTACCTGAAATGCATTCTAAAATTTCAGACACACCTGTTTCCTCCCAGATTTGTGACTCAAGTCCCTGGGAATGGCACAAATCTGTCTTTAAACGCTCCCTAGATGACTCAAAAGCAGTAGACTTGATGACACGTTTGTGAGCATTAAGATGTGCAGCTTCGTTTCTCTGTTAAGGTGGTTGATGGGACAGCAGCCCCTGTTTTGGGGAAACACTGACAAGTCAAAGCAGGTGAGAGACAGGGTTAGGGCTGCATCTTGGGAACATCAGTCTAGCTGCAGGATGGATTGAAGTGGCACAGAGCCTTAGTGCCTGCCAGGCCTGGTGAGACGTGCCTGGCATCCCAGCTACTAAGAAAGCTGAGCATGAGTATGCCATCCTGGGCAACAGAGCAAGACTCCTGTCTCAGAAAAATATAATGCTTCAGCACATGTGTTTCTATAACAGTATGCACTGCCAGGATTGGGTTATCTATGAAGAAAGTGAAGCCAGCCATTTCTCACAGAACTGGAGTGAGGGCTGCTCTCCACTTTCAATATAGCACCTTGAGTACAGGATCCTCACATGGCTGTAGACAGAAAGACAGAAAGTGGACAGACTCACCCGGGCACGATGGTAAACACCTGTAATCCCCACATTCCAGGAGGCACAAACATGAAGATACTAAGTTGGAGCCATGTCTGGGTAGTAGCATCTTAGCAGATGCCTGTCTTAAAATGAAAAGGGCTAGGGTTGTAGCTCAGTGGAAAGGCCCCGGGTTCAACCCCCAGAACCAAGGGGGAAAAAAGTGGATAAGCTCGCCATGTCAGATCCTTTTACGGGGCACCTCATCCCACTGATGAGAGAGGAGTCTTCTAGGTCTAATAACCTCTTAAAAGCCCTACCTCCTGATATCATCACATTGGCAACACCTGATATTTTAAAAAATTTTAATGAGGTAGGATCTCAGTATGTAGCCCAAATTCAGTATGTGGCCTCAACTTTGGGGTAGTTCTCCTGCCTCAGCCTCCCAAATACTGGGATTGTGGTGATAACACTTGATTTTGAAGAAGAGCCATTCAAACCAGAACAATTAGGAAATAATATACAAAATGAGGCAAGAGATTGGTGAGGGCCTTAGAGGTTGAAGCCAAGTGTCAGAACAGGATCCAGGAAAGGGTGGTAACAACCGACCACGTGAACATTGTTTGGACGTGGAGGATTAGAGATAAATCGGGCATTTGCTCCCAGACTTGTGTTAGGGGACCCAGAATCCAGGGATAGAAGGTTTGGTGGTGAGGCGGGCTGAAGATGAACTCAGTTCTCTACCCCTGGAGTCTGAAGAAGGGAAGTATGGCAGACACAAGCACTATTCCCGAAAACTTGAGGACCTGTGATTGGAGTCACCCTGGCAGTGAGGAGTTAGCTTGTGTCTGTTTGCTCTCTCAGTTATTACTTTTACTGTTGGATGGTTTAAAAATCAATTTATTTGGTCCTCATTCTGAGGACAGGCTGGCGGTGCTGGGCATACACAGTGGCTTCTCCCCACCCCCCACAGAGCAGTGGCCTGGCAGGCTCAGGTGTGTGGTCTGTGGTAGCTATGGCCACAGCGGCACAGCTGATGGTGGCTGTGATCAGCAGAGTGGAGAGGCAGCTTCCCTGGGTGCTAGTTTCCGTGCTCTTGCACATGGACATGGTGACAAGATTTCTAGGAGCACAGAGAGGGGGCGTGCCTAGCACACTGCACTTCTCAAAACCTCCCATGGTCTCACTGGCTGAAACAATGTATTTGGCCAAGACTAGGAGCTTTGGTTTTGAGAAAGACAGAACAATTTGGGGTCACAGTGCAGCAGTCTATGGCATTTCCTTACTCTTGAGCCTCCAGGGTCAGGAGATGGCAGAGACAGCAGGGATGCATGGTACTCTGAGCAAATGCGCCTCAGTCCCTCCCGGCATCTGTTGGCTCTTCCACTGTAGTTCATCCCAGAAATGTCAGGTTCCCATAAAGGGCCACCAGTGTAGCTCAGCACTGCGGGCCAGGTCCAGTGCAGTAGACACAACACAGTGTGCCCGGATGGACACCTTCACGTGTCCAAGTAGAGCTGTGATCTCACTGTGCTGAAGCCCAGCTGCAGTCCTCACAGACTTGGGAGCCTGCCCACCGATACTGCACCCCATTACACTCCCTATGTCCCCAGTAGGACAAAATTCCTACAAAAAAAGTTCCTTCATCTTGCTGCAGTCTCATCAATGGGACCTGGTTGAGTTGATGTTTATTCCCTGTCTTATACAGAGAGCTCAGGAAAATATTCTTGGTGGGCCTGCTCCTCCATTTAGATATGCATGCCCAGTCATGCCTAAACAGTGGAATGCGCCTCAACGGTGGCATGCATGAGGCTACAGAGTGATATCAACAAACTTTCTGTGGTGGGCAGATAATGTGGGCTTTACAGACCCTGTGTCCTTTTGCAGCATGAAAGCTTCTCTAGATCACATGTAACATGTAACTTGTGTTACAGTGTAACTTTACAAAAATAGGCAGGGAGTTGGATGTAGGCCATGGCCTGTGATTTGTTGGGTCCAGGGCTAGTGCTTGGACCGTGTAAACCATTGAGCTCAGATACCAGGCCTATGCTGCAGATACAAAGGTAAGGGACAACACTGCAAGATGAAAGGATAAAAACTCTTAGGACCATGAGAAACAAGAGCCAACAACACAACGTAGGGAAATGAATTTAAAAGGTTAGACAAAAACTGGGGTGATTTAAGAAAATTAGGGAAATGAAAAAAAACCGAGAAAACAGGAATACCAGGGCAAACGGGAAAAGGAACAAATGATCAAAAATATCACTCACTGCAGGAAGAATTGCTCGCTTCTCTTGTCAGTTGTCCTTGACCTGGAATCTCTTTCCTTTTTTTCTACCTTCTGAAGCACTGGTCTTACAGTCTTTGCTGTTAAGAGTTTACATTTCAAATTCGCCTGTCTGTGTTATGGACGGTAGCATGATGACGTGCTCAAGCCGCCAATGTAAACAGGAGTCTCACGTAGAACTTAGAGTGACATGTAAATGTGTTTTCAGGGAAGAAAAAAGGGGAATATTCCTATAAATTCTCTTTTAAAACTTCAAATTATACATTTGTTTTAGATTGAATAGAAATAAAAACCAAACCCAATCAAGGCATTCCTAAGTTTTTAAAATTTTGGTTTGAAAACTTGCACGATGTAAATGGAATAGGATCCTTTCAGTCAGATCCAGGAGCCCTATGTTAGCTAATGTGTACGAGCTGTCAAAACTCAAAGTTGAGGGGAGTGGTTTGTGGGTGTCAGAGTGCAGTGAGGCCACAATGACCATACAGTCACTGTGTTTTAAGTGACTGGCTGCTAAGGTTTGTATGTAGCTGTCAAGCGGGACTCATGCACTCCGAGGGTACACGGCAGAATCGTGGGGCTTCTAGTTGGCTTGCTGTTCGGAGGTGGCTCTGGCCAGCACAGGCGGGTACGGGGGGGGGGGGGTGATGTGCCCAGAGGCACACATTTCCCTCCCCAGCTCCTCCTTTCTCTCTGCTTTCTGGCCGCCACGAGTGAGCAGCTTTACTTTACCCAGTCTCTGCCACCAC